ATATATATATATATATATATATATATATGTATATGTACATATATATAATATATGGTATACGTACATACATGAGAAAGGGAAGGTCGAGATGGATGAGGATCCATGTTATAAGAGAAGAGTGAGATACCATTTCGAAAATCCTATAGAAAAGAAATGATAAAGCGTGCGATTAAAAACGTAAAGTAAGTACGTCACGCGGGAGGAAGTGACGTATATGAATAATAAAAATTAAAGGACCGAGACACTAACGGATGACAACAGTTGTGTTTGCAGCTGGTTCCGAGCGGTCTTCCATCGCTCCCGCTCAACCGGAGAGGCCACCGCCCCCGCTTCCCCCGCCACGCTTTCCGAACAGTGGTGTCTGACAATGGGAAACTCCTCTTAATATCGGGAACTTTATGATGATGAACGCACCGATGCCCATTCCTTTGCCGTTGCTACTCAGCACGAACAGCCTCACCCTGGAGAATCATCTCTACGAGATAATCACCGAGCGCAGCAAAGCCTGTGCGACCTTCTTGCGGAACAGTCTGCGCCGTGCGGCAAATGCGAGCACCAATATTGGATGGAGCTTGACACCAAGGCCGGAAGATGAGCCACACGACAGCGATCGTACCTAAAAGGAATATCGCTAGTGTGCGCTTAAGTTTCATAGGTTAGAATTAGCTGAGAGTTACTAAAGACCATTTAAATGGTGGTTTACAAACGGTCGAAAATCGTTCGTACCAACTTAACGCTGATCGATCAATGGACTCGTAACCCTAAACACTTCTACCTTCTATTAGCGCGTAGTGAATCTGGTTACGTACCGAGTTAATTAATTAGTGGGCACTATAGAGGACTGTACATTCACTGGGTTGATCGGTTTATGGATATTCTCATTTATTAATGGGATCTCAATGGTGCCGTATCCGCCTAGGATATAAATTTCGCGTAATCTCGGAATCTGTGCGAGAAAGACTTGTGGGTGTAATGGAAGGTTTCCACTGATAATTTACTTTAAATTGAATACATTTATTTTTAGGTTATATCTACGCGTGTGTGTGTGCATGCGTGTGTGTACAGTATGCATCCATTAATTGTAATAATTAAATCTCTGTGTACTTACGGGTCTCGGCGTTCCAGTTTATCCTTCGCGTTCGAACGGATCTCCCGTCGTAAGTCAAAGAGGCGAAGAAGAAACTGAGAGGGAATATATTCTTTTGTGCCTAAACTTGATTTTGATGAATGGAGCTCGAATTTACGGAATATGAATATTAGTAATTAATCTTCCGTTCGAACGTGGATCTAATACGATTGGAAGCAACTGGAACTCGATTTAAAAATTTTTACGAGACGTTTACTTGACTATGGCGGTTATAGTTCAGTCTATTAAAAATGGCGACAACGCATTCTATGCTATTGCCGCTATTGCTCGTAATGTTCGGTATTCTATAAGTGCATTATTAAGGTAAACTTTATTTTCTACGATATCATCCTTTTTTAATGACCAGAGAACGAAGATCCATGGGATCGATTAAACTGACGGCTCTCAGGATGCGTAAGTACTTGTTATTAGTCGTGCGTGAGATATGACATTCCTTTATGTACGAATAATAAATCGAACCTAGTGTAGGGCTGCATTATCTTTGATGCTAGTCATTATTATAATTACATAATGCACAAGGATAAATTATAATTGAACGCAAAGTATAGTGAGAAAATTACTTTTGTCTTTCTGTATAACGACCAATCATATGAGTTATCGACTATCTACTATCAACAATCGTACTGCTGCCATTATCGTTTATTGATGCCCTCATTGACTGCTTTCTTTTTTTTTTTATCATTTAATCTTTTATCAGCACACTCGTATCAGGTTGGGAATGATCCGGGAAACCTTCCCTTATATGTACATACTTGTATATACGTGTATACTTCTACCATATTAACATACCACGTCATTACTCAGCAAATGTATAATAATCCTTCATTACTCGGTAGTGCGGCCAATTTCATGGCGAAGTAACCCTAAAGAAAATTTATTCGAGAGATAAAGAAAGAAAGAAAAGAGACGTTACCTTGGATGTCGTGACTTTCAAGGCCTCGAGTTTCATTAGACAAATGAAAGAGTAAAAAAAATGAGGAAACTCAGGAAAGAAAAGGAAAAAAAAGTCAATTCGATGATGTTTTTCATCTTTACTTCAAGTTCTAAGACCAATTATACGTTTAGCTACGTTTACGTACGTGGGAGGCAAAGATCAGGATTCTCTAGTCTTATTGAACTCGTGATCGATCCACGTGTCGTATTGATTTTTATTTACTTATTCTTTCTCTCTTATGCCTTTCCTTTAACGTTAAACATACAAGAGTAAGCATACTATGTATTCGATACCGCCTATTGACAAGCGATTTTCGCCTCCACTAATCAAGCTAACGATGATTTACAAATCATTGCTAATCTTTCTCTCGACGTTCGTATATCTTATTGCTCTTGTTTTGCTGCAGTACAAAACGCTACAAAATAAAGGGAAAAATTTTTAGAGTCCATCATTATAACGATGGCACGCACAGTGTTCTCGCTTGAATGGAGTATGCTAATGATCAAGGACAGAAAGAGAGAGAAGTGGAAAAATGAAGTAAAACACGCGAATCGACGTGAGTAATAAATAATTACACGTGATCAAATTAAAACGTGTTTTTCTCATTTATTAGAATAGACTTTCGTCTATTTCGATGCTCCATTACGACACGAGTGAGACGCATGCGCTAATCACGGATAAATAAAAGACGCATTAATTCTTCAGCAGCCTCCCGTCATCTGCTTATACGAATCCTCGAAACGACCTATTAACAGTGTGGATTATTTATACCAAATATAATGAATGGGAAAGATTCTCTGCGACGTAAGCGTAAATAGGATACCTTAGACTAGAGAGGATAAACGAGTAAATAAATAACATAATGGATGATGAAAATGTGGAAAAGAAAGGAAAAAGGAGAATTCAAGCGCAGCGCACCGTATAATGGTTATTAATGAGAAACTTTTAATTATAAGCTGTCCAAAACATACAGAATCAGTGAGAAAGGCAATAAAGCTATTGAACTGAAGATATGCTAATGTAGGTTTCCTCGCATTGTGGTATTATCAGACTTTAACGATACTACTAATAACGATTTAGGCTAGGTATAGCTACTAGGGGATAGTAGCGTTTAATGAAACAAAAAAAATTTAATAATAATTAATGAAATGAAAAAGAATGGAAGGAACACAAGATGCTAACGTCTGATGTGAACTGTAATAACGGGGCTACCCCATGTTATAAGCGAATGTCAAAAGACGCGCGGGTCTCATTTATATAATGGCTGTACAATAATTGCGGACCGAGTAACGCTAGCATATCCATTTTTAAATTATTATAAGCTTATTAACTCAAAATATACTGGAACATAGTTGCAATTACATTGACTCGAAATTAAATATGTGGGTATTGGCAGACGTTCTTATTATACCACTCTTGTCTTACCGGAAAAGCTCATTATATAACTGTACTTTTTTTTGTATCCCTTAACCGGCGAGGTGGGTCTGTGAAATGCATACCGGATTATATGGCGACCTTTATACCGGCTGTAAAAGATGGGGTAATCACTTGGGTTTTTTTTCTATCTACGTGAATACTATGCGTCAAAATGTGTAAAACATTTTAATTGATTTGGACTACCAAAAGCGTTCGTATCGAATTTTTTAGTGAAAAACCAACATACCCCACCTCATTGACAACGTAAGTCTTTTGACCTCTGGTTAAGGGTTAAATTGTAGGTTAAAAATTGTTCTTGTCGGAAATTAAGAAATTTTTGTTATTTACAGTAAAAGGATGGTAATGTCATATATATTCGTTTGGTTAATAAAAGTATTATCCCCCGTTTAAGTATAATTGATAATTATTAACGAAAATTAGAGGCGTCATTTATTTCGCCAATTATTAATATTGATACTCTCATAAATCATTTTGAGTCGTTGATACGATATTAAGCTCATTGACGCAATATAGATAGTCTTACAAAAAGAAAAAGAGAAAAGTTTGGATCAGTCCATCAAGCAAGTGATCACAATAACAATTTGTAAAATAAGTTCACTGCCATGCAAATGACTTGCGCTCCCACGAAAGCGCCAATATTCCAAATGTGGATGTGTACAGTTATGTGAAAAAAATACTTATTATAACGTAATTATATCTACACGATGATACTAATTAGTTATTATATGAAACTAATTAACATATGACGATATTAAGAACGGTATACATACATAGGGTAAACGAAGAAAAAAAAGCGTGAAAAAAAAAGAAACCAATGATTAACACGAGAAATCGATTGCAGAGCTATTATATAACGAATGAAAATGTTTATACTCGCTTGTTTCGATGATGTACCGCAATCGTCATTGCGAGGAACGAGAGCTTCTTTTTTTTCGAATTTTAAACGACATTGATCTGCAATCATTCTCAGGGGGACCGATTTCCGTAAATTCAATTCTTTCATTCAATCGTATATGTATAATAACGTTATACCTTCGAATGAAATTCACACTAGGAATTTGCAGAACAAATTTTGTCTGGAATTTACTTGCGTTTTGAGACAAAATGAAGCCAATCGGTTAAATTTTTAATGGGCTACCGCCATTTTATTACGCTACGAACTTACTGCAAGGAGACATGTCCTTTTTGTCGTCTTTTAAATATCTGTTAATTGTTATACCACTTATTTTCTCTTTTCGTCGTGTACTTACGTCTCGTTTGCTAGGATTACTTTAACTCAAGTTCAATTATGCGAGACGCAAATCGGCTGGTAAATTTCGCAATGCAGATTTATTTCCAATGCTGCGTCGTTCCTCTTTGATGAGTTTAGATGAACAAAATGTCTACCGAGTTTTTGCGAATGCATTTTCAGTCCATATAAGGCTCTGTGATTTACTTACATGCTAGTAGAGATTAATCACAATAATATACAATAATGTATTGCAGATTACCTACTTAACTAACTTGTAGAATCAATTATGTACAGTGCATAAATTATCTTACCCTAATGGAAAACCCATTCAGCTCATCAGTTTGTAGGTATGAGATTCTCTCAGTAATATCAAAATTAATTTGCTCATTGTTGTTTCTTGGTAATCTCATTTTAATATATATATTTACAATATTCTCCAAATAAATGTATACACATATGTATAGATTAATATCGGAATTAATATTCTCATTAAAAAAGTCGACAGACACGACATGGAATACGAGAATATTTGATTTTATTCATAGGATAATTTTATTAGGGGCTCAACATGATGGCACAGTTTAGGTGTACGCTAATTGCCTGAAAGAAAATAACGGAATATGCCTTGACAGTCTTTATTTTATTGTCGATAACAATGACGTGGTTCAGTCTTGTATTGTTGGATGGTTGTATTATGAATTAATTATTAAGATACTTGATTAATTGTTATTTCCGTATTGATCTATACTTCTGTGCCATTCAAGAGCGAAAGCAAATAATCGGTAGAACGTTTTGTTACTGCATATAGAAAAAAAGGATACAATGCGAAGGGTTGCCTCGAAAACTTTCTAGTCCCTTAACTTTATACTATTATCAGTTTTGTTATTCATTGAATAAAGATACAGAGAAAATTGATGAAAACTTGTTTGAATTATTTTTAGCTGACCCTCAATGCATGGATATGAATTATTTTCAAGTTGAATAATGAAGAATTTCGTATTTTTTCATATCGATTCATGGATTTTTTCAATCTAGATGTATCATGATTGATATAGTACAGTAGGGGAATGTCTGTTGATAATTGTTTTATTAGAAAATAAAATGTACAGTTATTGAATATCAGTTGTCTGGATAATGAACTAACACTTTATGAGAGATTGGAGTTGCTTATAGAAAAAAAATTATAAATCTCGCAGGAGCATCTGACAATATTATGTATTTCGATTTAAAATACTTTTTTATCTTCGATGATGATCATAATGATGATTTGTATAATTAAGGTTTACATTCTTGATGATAAGGTTCCAGAGTACGAAAATCTCTCCATGTTGGAGGCAGTGCACTGTGAAGATGCAGTCCACAGCGTTTGCAAGGTTCGCTAAATAAGTTGATTAAACTGTGGAACCAAGTCTGCAAGACGATAAATTTTTTATATCATAACTTATTTTATCATCAAACAAATAAGTAAACTTGACTTACCATGAATGACCTCACAGCCAATTCAGGTAACGCAGGAGAGTAAAAATGTAACATTGCAGCATGAGCATTCTCTGTTACTTTTCTAAATACTTTGTGACGGGACTCTGTCCATAAGTCCATCGTTTCACCATATCCTGTGACAACTACTCGCTCAATCATTAATCCTTTAAATGCTATCACTGCTTTCAAAACATGTCCTAACGTTACATGGAGTACAGCGTTAGACGCAAATGGTCGTGATACAGAGACTGTCATATCATTGAATTGACGATCAAATGTTGATATCAATGAATCAACTTGCCTGTTGAAAACATAAAATACAGATTTATTAATTTACTAATTTTAGTGGATGGAATTAATTATAGTCATGTTACTATAAATACTTACTGTGGTGACACGTTGTGACTACTTGTTTGTATTCTCCCTCTTTTTGTTCTATTAGAATTTGTATAGGATCGTTTCAAAGAATTTTGACTGAGCAATGCCTGTGCAACGTTGCTATATTCATGAACCTTATCAGTCCATTTATAACTATTAACAAGAGTGCCATAAAGGGCCTGTCTTTCTTGTGTTGTTTCTTGACTCAGATAGGCAGTACTTGCTAAATTAAATGGGCCTGGTGGAGGGTTTAAACTACTCACTGCCTGCTCGACATCTCTGTTGAGCAACCATTAACAGAAGATATTAAAATTAAATCAAGAAATCGCATGTATCTTATAAATAAATATAATATGATGCAAATGTAACAATATCTTGATCTGTACAGACCTTAAATTAACATTAACAGTCGTCAAGAGTTCCTGAAGTTCCAATAAATATTTTGTTTCCTTATTTTCGTCTCCATGTTCCGCACGAAGTCCACTTCCCAAAGAATCAAAAACTTGACCTACACTTGATCGCAACACTTTTATTGCCGTAAGAGCCGTTTGCAACTGTTCCATTGATTTTATTTTTATTGAAATTCACTTTTGTCAAACCTGTTGCAGATGTAACCTATTTCATTAGTTCTAAACCTAACAAACATAACCCTACTTAACTCTCTTAAACATTCTCTACCTTTACCGGGATAAGATAAAGCAGCATAGACCGATATATGCGCTCGTGTTTCTGTGGATGTTGAAACATTCAAGTTTACTCACATTTGCAAGTCATTATATAGGAGTATATTTAGAAATTTGTTACTAAACTGCGAACAAATTTATACGTATCTAAAAGTGACGTAAGTAACTACTTCTGCAGGCAGTATCTACTGCAATCTACTGTAAGTAAATGTCAGAACTATTCGGAATTGACAATTGCTCTCAAGTGGAAATATATCCGAGTAATCTCTAGAAAAGATTTATCAGTCAACTTTACTACATAAACGAGTATTTGTGATTATTTTCACATAAGACTATGAAGCTTTTTTCACATTTCTTAACGGGAATATAATAAACGTGTTGTCACAATGGGTAAAGGAATAGATTTTGTCAAAGCCATTTTAAAAAACACAATTGAAAAAAAAGGATTTGATCAATGTTTAAAGAATGTAAGTTATTAATTTTTGTATTAATACATAAAATATATTTTATAATGTTTCAGTCATGCGCTTTCAACGTGTGATTAACTTTAATTAAATTCATTACTTGCTTGTATGTCAATTTAGAACTCAAAATGCGAATACAATTATGATTTGGTATTTATATTTAATGATATTAAGATGATTTGCATAATTTCACCAATTTTGTTATAGTTTAATGTGGTTTCGGCAGGCAATGGAAACTGTAAAGTTGAATTTACTGTTGCCGAAGAGCATTTGAATGCAGGAGGAACTCTCCATGGTGGTTTTACTACTACACTAGTTGACTGTATTTCTGGTTGTGCTCTAATGACTCGTGGAGATGTTGCTCCAGGTGTTTCTGTAGATCTTCATGTCTCGTAAGATATATTTTAATATTTTTTGCTCAACAAAGAACAGTACTTTTCTTTTTTTACATAGTATACAGAACTACTCAAATTATTAAATATCTGTTTATTAATCAATGTTAAAATTTATATTATACATTGTCGTTATTAATGGCACAGGTTCATGAAAGCAGCATTTCCTGGCGATGTGGTAATAGTGGATGCTAAAACTATACGTGCCGGCAGGACTTTGGCCTTTCTCGAAGTGGAACTTAGAAAGAAAGATGAAGGGAGTGTCATTGCTCAAGGACAGCATACAAAATTTATAGGACAAATATAAACTTTAACTAATAAATGCAATGCAGTTGTTCATGTACAGACGATCTACTATTGTAAAACCTGTTTATGTACATACTAGAAAATATAACACATGACACAACAAATAAATGCTAATCTGTGAGTTTTCTGTTCCCAGGATCAGAGGTAGCCAATGACTGTACGTGATATGCTGCATCTGCTCCCAAAACATGTTCTAACGTTACACGGAGCACAGCATTAGATGCAAATGGTCGTGATACAGAGACTGTCATATCATTGAATTGACGATCAAATGTTGATATGAATAAATCAACTTGCCTGTTGAAAACATAAAATACAGATTTATTAATTTACTAATTTTAGTGGATGGAATTAATTATAGTCATGTTACTATAAATACTTACTGTGGTGACACGTTGTGACTACTTGTTTGTATTCTCCCTCTTTTTGTTCTATTAGAATTTGTATAGGATCGTTTCAAAGAATTTTGACTGAGCAATGCCTGTGCAACGTTGCTATATTCATGAACCTTATCAGTCCATTTATAACTATTAACAAGAGTGCCATAAAGGGCCTGTCTTTCTTGTGTTGTTTCTTGACTCAGATAGGCAGTACTTGCTAAATTAAATGGGCCTGGTGGAGGGTTTAAACTACTCACTGCCTGCTCGACATCTCTGTTGAGCAACCATTAATAGAAGATATTGAAATTAAATCAAGAAATCGCATGTATCTTATAATCAAATATAATATGATGCCAATGTAACAATATTTTGATGTGTACAGACCTTAGATTAACATTAACAGTCGTCAAGAGTTCCTGAAGCTCCAATCAATATTTTGTTTCCTTATTTTCGTCTCCATGTTCCGCACGAAGTCCACTTCCCAAAGAATCAAAAACTTGACCTACACTTGATCGCAACACTTTTATTGTCGTAAGAGCCGTTTGCAACTGTTCCATTGTGTTATTTTTATTGAAATTCACTTTTGTCAGACCTGTTGCAGATGTAACCTATTTCATTAGTTCTAAACCTAACAAACATAACCCTACTTAACTCTCTTAAACATTCTCTATCTTTACCGGGATAAGATAAAGCAGCATAGACCGATATATGCGCTCGTGTTTCTGTGGATGTTGAAACATTCAAGTTTACTCACATTTGCAACTCATTATATAGGAGTATATTTCGCAATTTGTTATCAAACTGCGATCAAAACTATACGTATCTTAAAGTGACGTAAGTAATTACTTTTGCAGGTAGTGTCTACTGTCAGTAAATTTCAGAACTATTCGGAATTGATAATTGTTCTCAAGTGGAATTATATCCGAGTATCTCTAGAAAAGATTTATCTTATCAGTCAACTTTATTATATGAACGATTGTTCGTGATTATTTTCACATAATACTGTGAAGCTTCTTTCACATTTCTTAACGGGAATATAATAAACGTGTTGTCACAATGGGTAAAGGAATAGATTTTGTCAAAACCATTTTAAAAACCGCAATTGAAAAAAAAGGATTTGATCAGTGTTTAAAGAATGTAAGTTATTAGTTTTTGTATTAATATATAAAATATATTTTATAATGTTTCAGTCATGCGCTTTCAACGTGTGATTAACTTTAATTAAATTCATTACTTGCTTGTATGTCAATTTAGAACTCAAAATGCGAATACAATTATGATTTGGTATTTATATTTAATGATATTAAGATGATTTGCATAATTTCACCAATTTTGTTATAGTTTAATGTGGTTTCGGCAGGCAATGGAAACTGTAAAGTTGAATTTACTGTTGCCGAAGAGCATTTGAATGCAGGAGGAACTCTCCATGGTGGTTTTACTAGTACACTAGTTGACTGTATTTCTACTTATGCTCTAATGACTCGTGGAGATGTTGCTCCAGGTGTTTCTGTAGATCTTCATGTCTCGTAAGATTTATTTTAATATTTCTCGCTCCACAAAGAACAGTACTTTTCTTTTTTTACATAGTATACAGAACTACTAAAATTATTAAATATCTGTTTATTAATAAATGTTAACATTTATTTTATACATTGTCGTTATTAATGGCACAGGTTCATGAAAGCAGCATTTCCTGGCGATGTGGTAATAGTGGATGCTAAAACTATACGTGCCGGCAGGACTTTGGCCTTTCTCGAAGTGGAACTTAGAAAGAAAGATGAAGGGAGTGTCATTGCTCAAGGACAGCATACAAAATTTATAGGACAAATATAAACTTTAACTAATAAATGCAATGCAGTTGTTCATGTACAGACGGTCTACTATTGTAGAACCTATTTATGTACATACTAGAAAATATAACACATGACACAACAAATAAATGCTAATCTGTGAGTTTTTTCAAGATACTTCCATGTAAAGTACCTCAATGGGGACATTAACAAATGGATGGTCCATAAACGTTACTCATAATATTTTTACTCATTTTACTAAATAGACTTGTTTAGCCTTAACATTCGCCAATGAATTCCCGGAGTATAATGTCCATCATAAACATGGGAGATGTTTATAAAACGAAAGAACATACCGTTGAAATAACGAAGCATATATATATACAATAATTGCGCGTACGATTGATAACAACGATATAAGCAAAATACATGAATGGTGAACGATAACGCAATGAGGTCATTTAAAAAAAATGGTGCCCGGCCACAGAAATTCATTTAGACTTCTGAACTTCCTCCAACCGTAACATCAGTTCCTCTAACCGGCGCGAAATTTCGCCAACTTGTTCCGTTAACTTCTTCGTCTTCATATCAGATTCAATTAACAATTGTTTAAAGCATTTCAGATCATTGCAATCGTTACTCTCGTCGAGAATATCATTCTGCTGCAAGTTATTCGTAGCTGAATATTTTGCAGCACTATGACGTTTAAATCGTGACACAGTATTACCGCGATTCTCGCAATTCTCACAGCAATCAGACCATATCCGTAGATCCACTGTAGGGATACCATTGCAAGCACCCAAAGGATTATTGTCGTTAGGCAGGAGGAAAACATCAGGTTGAATACGAGAAACATTGTCACCATTGTCGCAGAGTATCCTCGCCAGGGTGACCTGCTTGATCTGGGCCAATTGTTCAGGAGGAAACGAGGATGGATTCTCGTACCAAAATCTGTCGCCATCCCTCATCCTCTTGAATTGTTCTACCAGAAGACACCGAAACAATGGACCGACTTTGGCATTGGGTAACTGATCCTCCAGAATACCACCTACCCATACATCAATGTTACCAGGATGTCCATAGAGTTCTCTCAACTTCTGACGCACTTTTCTGTCACTGATCTCATTAGCGAGATCCTCGAAGGTTTCCACGTGGGACATGTTGCAATACTGACGCCAGGACAGGTATCCTGGAATAGCATGATCACGGGAACGCTGCACGTTCATGGCGGCCAGATCGAGGGCAACGGCGTGAGCCGTGCGGAAGAGCTGCTCGGTCAGCTCGACATTGAGATTCTGTTCAGGTAGCTTGAGTTTTGCAGCAGTGGCGAACATTCCTCGTATAAGAGGATCAACGCCGCCTTCATCGACCAGACGCCACGGCGAGAAGAATGCGTCGCGCAGATGCAATGGACCCTCGGGTATAGATTGGAAGGACTCGTCTAGTCGCTCTAATCGTGGTTGAATCAGTGAGTGTCCAAAGCGGAGTGCAGCAGTGGCAAAGACATTAGCTATACTAGCATCTATTGTTGGATCGTATCCTTGATATGGCTGTAACAGTTCATCAGTATCTGTTCCCAGGATCAGAGGTAGCCAATGACTGTACGTGATATGCTGCATCTCGGCACCGACGATCTTGCGTGCCTCCTGGTAAATTTTCTCACCGTTCCAGTGAGAATTCAAGTCGTAAAGTGCACGAGCTATACGATTGTGTTCTCGCAACCATATAGTATGCATGGCTAGAAGACCTACTTGTTCATTGGCTCTTATGTCACCAGCTACAAAACAATTGACTGAACTCTCTTGAGGATCCCGACGACAGTCCACAAATTGTCCGTTTGCGTAGGGAAGTAAAGCTTTGCGTCCTGGAAGAGAAGGACCTTCGCGAAGAAGTCCACGATCTGTTGTAAGGTCCCGCAGATCCTGAGCGACAGCATCGTTGTACCCGTATACCTGGGATGCGTCCAGGTAGCTGGTGAGTTGATTCAGTTGTTCACGAGGGGTTAAACCGCCCCATAGTAAACTAGTCTCGCCAGAACCACATACAGCGCTGGTCCTAATGAAATCTATGCAACGTCGATTGTTTATACGTGGGTCACCTGGTGGAACTTCCATAGGGAAACAGGGTGCGGCATTGTCGCAGGACTTCTTGCAGTCTATACCATCCCAGGATTCACTGGTGACAGAGGGTAGAGCATGGTCCAGATCATGGTCCAGAAATTGTCCCCATTGCATAACCATATGAGTGATTGTGCTATCAGAGGTGATATCATGCGTCGATATCAAAGTGGTAGAAACGAGTCTTGCAGCAGGTTTTGGATACCCATAATACAAGCGACCTTTTTCCCAACCTACGGGCATGGAGAATCCATTCTCGTAGATGGGTTGCAAGATCCTTCTGAAACCAGTATAAGATGATCCCCAGGTAGGGTGCTGCAGGTTGTTACAGGACCCATCGATAGTGCGATAACGATTATGGAAACACATATTGGAGCAGTCGCTACGATGTCTGTGTGCTGTGCATCCTGACAATCTTTCAATCTCTGCTACCTGATCAGCAGTGAGAATTTCCTCATAACGAAATTCCCGGGTAGTATTGGCAGAAGCTCCAGCGTTCACGAGTCTCCGGATGTTTACCATGGTACGTTCAAAGAGTTCAGCAGGTCTTGCAGCTGCACGACCAATCGCATCAGGAAATCTTGCCAGACGGAAAGGATCGGCCGTACGTGGTCCTTTTGGGTTAAAGAGTGACTCTAGGGTCTTATTAATTGCCCGGTCGATAGATTCAGTAGCCTCCTGAAATGCTCGACTAATAATTGTGTCTGTTGCACCAGGTTGACGTATCTTCACAAGAGCCTGCGCAGTGGCTCTACCAAATTCATTCACTGCAGAGCATTCATACCTCCCAGTATCCTGAGAAGAGACATTGTACAGGTAAAGGCTACCTCCACGTGATATCTTAAACCTGGTGCCCTCGACAGCACTGCCATCTTTCTTCCATTGTATTAATGGTTTTGGATTGCCCTCAGCTCTGCAAGGTACCTCGACAGTCACACCAGGTTCAACTTCCATATCCTGAGGTTCATAAAGGAGACGAGGTGGATTGGACTCAGCAACGATCACAGTCAAGTCTGCAGTAACTTCTGCAAAACCATCCAAGCTCGTGGCCTGGCAAACGTACCGAGCCGAGTCACTTTCTTTAGCTGCTAGGATCGTCAGAGTGGACCCAGAATCTTCGATGAGTATTCTTCCGCCGGAAGCGAGTTGCAGACCATTCCTCCACCACTGGATATTTGGCAGTGACTGTGCATCAGCCCTGCAGACGAAGACTACTTCGCTACCGACAAGAACCTTTTGCGACTGTGGTACTTCAGTAAATCGTAAAGAAGGACTGACTGTAATAATTGCCCTGGCTCTTCTTGACTTTGTAGATCCCATTTCGCTGTTGGCGATGCACTCGTACTCGCCCTCGTCGCTTTCCGTCACGTCGGAGATCACCAAAGCACCGTCCTCACGAACGACGTACCTGTTACCGTCTACGATCAACTCATCGGAATCCCTCATCCATTTGATTTCCGGCTTCGGATCACCGACTACTCTGCATGAGAAGACAATCGTCTCGCCTACTTTTGTCTCCACGTCGGCAGGACCCTCCATGATGCGTGGTTTGCCTGCAAAAGACAGATTCATGAAAAATTTCACGCATTGTTCAAAGTCCATTCCTACGTTCGCTTGCAGTAAGCCAAATGGATTCACCTTGGCCTATTAACTCACTGCACAATGCACTCTGAGAAAGGATCCAAGGGAACTAGTTTTTAATAAGACTCAACTGCAATGGAAATCCTTGGTTGTCATTCCCGCCAAGGAACGTCCTTTCATCTCTGTAGGTAATTGACATACTGCAGCCATTTCTGAATGTTGGTCTTGGAGACGTTCCACCAGCCACATAATGTCACAGTCACAGACAAGGGCATTGCTGTCAAGTCGTAGACGAGTCATTGGTCCGACATTGCGAAAAGCATCGGAAGGTACACGATGCAATTTATTATTATGCAAAAAGAGTCTCTCCAGGGCTGGTAAATTATTAAAAGTTCCTTTTCGTATCTCTGTCAATCTATTGTAATGAAGATAGAGATGCTCCAATTTTGGCAAATGACTGAACGCACCAGGCTCTATGTGCTCTATACGATTTTTATAAAGATACAAAATCTTAAGATTAGGAAGTCCATTAAAAGTATTAGCACGTATCTGCTTTATTTGATTGTCATTCAGTAGCAACGTATGCAATTCTTTTAGACCGTCAAAATCGCCAGGTCTCAGTTCAATGATGTTATTGACCCTCAGATCTCTGAAACAAAGAGAAATACGTATTAACTCAGAAAATTCAAATTGGCGCATGCGCTCTTAGGCGTTCTCATGTATATTAAAACAATTCTTGGTATTCTTATATTCACACTCAATTACACGATAAATTTATTTGCCAAAGAATGATGATAATCTTCTGAACTCTGATTAAATTCCTCAATTTTGTTACGTTTATTATTTTAATTTTTACCGTTATCCCTTTAATGTTTCTATCATTACTTTTACTAGATTCTTTAATTCAATGAAATTATATCAGGAATAATGACCGATTGCTTGTGCAATTTAAAACTAGAAAGATACACAACATATTGACGGTTTTTAAAAAACTTATTACTAAGCTGTCGAAATCCGGTTTGTGCCTCAGATATAAAATAATTGACAACGAGAAGAAAATCTTACATGGATTTCGTTCAAAGTCGAAGATTCACTTTATATGTTCTTATCGTTCTCCACGAGACTGTTTCCTAAAATATAACTTATCCGTATTTTTTACGATTTTTCTTGCCATTATCGGCGGCGCCTCTGCGTTTCTCAATGTTAAAATATGTTTATGGCCCTTTTCAAATTTCTATCTCCTCCAGAAATCCATTGGCAGTCTATCCAAGTCCACGCCAGCCATGTTTACATCAATAATACACGAGCCACATTACACGTGTAATCCAAATTACGATCATTCTTTTCTGACTGATAAATATAGTTTGTATATTGATTATAACATGATTGATCTTCCCGTCCTAAAGCTCTTAACGGCATCCAACATAATAGTATAAGACTTTAGCAAAGATGGCGATCCTCTCTCCTAGAATGTCTTTTTCTATTTATTTCAGCACGAGGCAACTTTAGAATTGCTAATAGCTCCGCGGGATTGGCTTGCTGAACATGAACATCTGAATCGAATAAAATTTTATAAACCTCATATGTATAACAAGGTTCGTGAATCATCCAATAAGAAATTAGCCTCATTACAAAACTCGAATAAAATATATCCACCATAAAGATCTTAGTTATGATATTACATTCATATAAGGAAGTCGTTGATACTAGATAGAAAATCCGTACTGTGTACAGTGGAACCGTTAGAATTCTTTTCAATAATATATACATACATCTCAGGTCTGATGACCAAAAATTGGGTTACCACAATCAAATTGTGCGATGAAGTATAATAAGTCTCTGACATTATCATCATTGAATTATTATGATATCAAAGATGAAAATAAAGATGAGTCAAATCTGTATCGTACCAACAAGAATAACCGCATGGCCTTATGTGTATACATAGCCTGATCTCAAGAACCAAGTGATAAGTTTGATCATACATACTGCTTAGTAACTGCTATTAACGAATCAATCCAAATAAAAGCATACGGCCTATATATCCCGTAATCGATACAAAAAAAAGCAACTGAGAGACGATACTAATAATTAAGAAAATTTTCCATCATTGAATTATAAAAGATTAATGTTTAGAGATTTATAAAAAAAGTATTAAACCTCCAAGATTGGTTTATATGACAAATAATAATCTATACTGTCAATTAAGGCTATTAAAACTGTCTATATCTATACGTACTAGTTGACAAATTTAGAAACCACATATAACTCTTTGAATAAACTGTACGGTTAGGTCCTTAAAATAAGAACCGGTACGTTATATCTATATATTATTTCGAGGAAACAAGCAAACACATCATTTTCTTCTTTTTCAGATCTATCTCCGTATCTTCTAGTAGCTGACTAAGCAACGACGATGTTCCAGTAAAATTCAAAGAAGAAGAGACTGCAGGGGCATATATAGCTTGAGCCCAGAGGAAGTGACACTAAGTGAACTCATCCCACAGCTTCATATAAATCCAAGCAACATGAGAATCTATTATACATACAAGAATACAGATAAAGACTAATATCATAATAAGGTTTGTATGGATAAAATAAAGTTAAAATAAGGATTGTCCATATCATCCACTCACAGGACGGTAGCATTGTCCGGTATCCTGGGGACACGAGTCAGCCTCTGAGACATGCATCTCACGGTGTTGGCAAGACACATGCACTTATGCGGACATTCCCTGGTATTAATTCCACGAGCCTCCAGTACTGCTGAACGATAACACAGCACCAGTAAAAAACCCCATAGAAGAAGAGTCCAGGGTAGGCTCATCTTGCTCAGATCAAAACGAGTACAACCAACTGTATCCGTGTGCAGCAGCGGCACCTACTGCAAGAACTGCAGCAACTCTTACTTCACCAGGAGGTTCCTCAGCTAATCTTTGCAACGCGAACACGAAGCAGCCGGCGTAGATCTGCTCGAGTATGAAACTGGTCAGGAGGACGCACGTCGAAGCTCGTTCCTCTCTCTTCCCAGCTCGAGCAGCTACTGGCACTGTTCCTCTTTGGCCAACTCGAGCTAACTTAACCAGTCAGCATGCGGGAGTAGTACGAAAGGTTTCGTGATCGCTGGGTAAGACCCATTGGCTTCGTTGAGAACGAACGAAGAGGCTGGTTGAGGGGAATCACGAGTCTTGAGAGAAAGAGAGATGGAGAGAGAGAGTGAAAGAAGACTTGGTCTCACGTTCCCTCTTGTAAAAGAGATACGAAGCCTATGACTGCATCTTGCTTACTAAGGGACGCCTTTTCTTATGTTATTCTCTATTATATCCATATATATCTATACATGGTATCCCTTTCGCTCTTACTTCTCATTCTGAGCTCATGGATTCCTGAACTCTCATTTTTGGTTGGTCAATGTAGTTTTGTAGGCAGCATCAAGTCTTCTCTGGTAATGACAGTGAACCTTGTTTATCTAGAACAGTCATTACTTTATGCTACTTTTTTTCTTAATAGTTCTATGTTAACTTTCTTACTTGGTGATATGTTTATACGTTACCCACTTATGTTTATGTCAATGGACGTGCAAATGGAGGCAATGTTTTGCCACTGGAACGCTTCGTTTAATTTTTATTGTTACTTGTGAGAGCAAAAACACATAAGACGCCAGCTACGTTCCTTCCTTGGCTGAGTTTATTCACTTCTTCTTATGTTTTGTCCTTGCACCACTGAAGACCTTTGTGCGCGGTTTACCCATACTTTCCTATATGTTGGTGCAGTCTAGCATGCAGCTTTGATATCCTGAACCCTTGAGGGAATGCAGTTCCCTGACTTATAACGTTAATCATGGGACATGTTGCTTTATCAACATCGTAAATTCAAGGTACCATGGAGATTCATGGTTTACCTTGGGATCTACTGTCAGACTCCTTAGAAAATTTAGTAACCTGGCTTATTTAGTCTTCTATATATATTATATATAGATCCTCTTAGTATCCTTTACTGCATCCTGACAGTGAGTACTGTATTATTTCTTGATATTAATGTTTTTATGCAATTACTCAGACTTATACTGTCAATTCAAATAAATTAGCAGATTCCACCATTGCAGTAATGATAACAGGATGGATACTGGGAAGACTCTTCATGGTACTACCGACGTTACAGATAATGAATCACGGCTTCCAAGAAATCGTCTTCTGGTTATATCGCTCGATTTACCACAAAATCCTTTGCATTAATCTGGTATCCAATCGGAATAGGATTCCTTTGATACTTGCCATGTATGTAAGTACTTAGGGTGACCTAAAAACAAATATTATTGTAGCTTACATAAATAAATCTTGCAATTGGAATAAATATTCATTTTTCAGGATTGACCTTATCGAATGGTATCTACAACGTCCACACATCCTGAGATGAGTTTTATTTGTTAAAGAGACGTTTGTATGCTGTGTCAAGGAAGCATCATCATTGGTCCAGTCATCAAGATGGCTTGTGATACTGTCATGACCCTAAATAAGTTTGGGATCTAACAAAGTGACAAAGCCCATGTTCTACAGGGAAATTATTATTTGCAGAAACAGTTAGAAATGAATGATCACCTTCATCGTGTTACGTATGTATCTCTCGTGGATCTTAGACTTTGATCATTTAATTTTACAAACTTATAAAGTCTGATGCTTTTATATTTTTAGATTGTCGCTGTCGAACGTAATGAGAGTTCATCAACTGTGCATAACCTTCGTCACGCCAGTCACGTATTTGAAGTACGGAACAATTTTCATCGCTAGAGCAGCAATTCAATGTCAAATCGTTACAGGAAGTATCATCTGGGAGTGGCTCGTATTATTTGATTAACTATATAGTTAATTGTAGACTTGCTATATCCAATTCTAATTTATGGTCAGTATATAATGTAATGAATCCACTGAGAATTCTATACCTGTGTATACTTTTCATTAGTAGGATCTTAGCAGTGGGCAACTGGCCAGTTTCAAAAGATAAACTCTACATTACCATTTTCACGTAATTCATTTATGCATGATTTGCCTTTGGCAACGTAAACCAAATGTAAAAATTTGGCATCGGCTACGAGTCAGAGGTCAATGATTAAAGTATTGAACTAAAGATATACATGTATGACGTTAACCGCAAAAAGCTCTTGTATCACGAAAGATTTATTATGTGATATTAAAAAGGGATCTGTGTTAATTATTAAAATTAACCATGCGCCTCAACTCTGATATATATAATATACACGTATATGGTATACACTGACATGAGTCTAGAGATTTCGTAACACCTTGACAATATGTATTAACACTACTACAGTCCGTATACAGAATACTATACTATAGCAGTCGATTATTCCGTAATTTCCCCTTCTGTAAAAGGAAGAGAATCTACAGTCCATATCACTTTCTGTACCCACATAAGCATATGGGTATGCCTATAGATATAGTATTTATGGATAACGTATGTCTCCTACAGTCTTACACAGAAATAGATCATGACTCAATATTTAGGCAGGACTGATTTACTACCGCGTTAAACGGAATTGTGAAATAGAATAATACTGGCGAATCTCCATCGAATTTTATTATTTTTGACACTTTAAATATCCTTGACCATATTAAAGCGATGAACTCTCAGTGATGACCGCAATATAATTGTTTTGTCAGATATTTAAATTTTGATCGGTATTTTCAAACAATGTATATAAACATTTGATAGTGAAGCGTTTCATACTTTGACATATTTCTTTGACTTCTGTTATCAAAATGATATAAAAAAGACATATGGGTCTGACGATATCATCATGATTAAATGACAATAGGTCATTTAATGATAGTGAAGTATGAAAAGGAAAAGGAATATCTTTGTTGAAAAAGAAAAGAAAATTAGAACAGTGGATTTTTATAATGTACGGTAATATAGCTTGTTAGGTTATGAATATTTTCTTGTTCATTGATTAGAACTAGAGATTTGGAGTCTATCGAGTGAGATGGATAATAATGACAGCAGAATTAATTAAGTTTGAAATATAAATTTATTGAAGTCTTCGTGTCCTCGCACTTGTGAACGTAACCGCACAACAAGATAGCAATTGCTAATGAATGAACCTGTATCGTCGGCTCATGACATGTCCATCACATAAATATTACTTTACATCTAGTCGGTGTGTAATAATATATAGTTTTTATATAATAATATATACAGTGAGGAGTAACAATATGTAATGTACATATTTGTCCACAGAAAAAAAATTTGACATTCTCATTGTAAAGATAGTACTCGTGGTATGTACTCTGATCTTTAAAAGTAATTTAATCATACGTGCAAATCGTTCCGATACGTTTGTGCGTTGGGTAATCAAAGAAAATATACTGAAAAAGAAGAGAAAAAAATTAATAACACGCATTGCGATTCATTGCACGAAAAAAAAAACATTTTCTTGGAGATGAGTCTGCACATGTGAGATTTGATTATTTAAGTTATACGTTCTGTAACGTATACAGAAATTTTTCGATATTTTTTCTTGCCTACTGCTTTGCTTCCCGTGCTCTTTGCCACATCGGCCATTGACAGTAATAAAATATACAAAGCATCCTGAAGTTTGCAAAGCCAGCGAATTTGGACGTGAAAGACAAACTTCTTGGAGAAGTTTCGAAATTCATAGGCCATCAATTTGAAGGAATTCTAGGGAGATTTTTGTGCGACGCTAAACCAAGTGCGAATTAAAGTTGAAAAGTAATTTCTTGAGAAAAAAAATGCTTGTTTAGCATAATGATAAACCCACGTGTAACGTTATTCGGATAATATTACAAAGTGACTGATATTCACATATTTTTTCTCTTAATTTTTATACATAGAAAAAAAATCAAATTGCATAATCAATAAAAAAAAAAGTTACGAAAGATAGTCACGTCTGTGACTTCACTAAGTTCTATGTGTTTGAGAATGAAAAAAATAAAGATAAAATGAAGCACATTTTGAGCTCTAATGATCTGGCATCAAACTATGTATATTTATTGCCATGGTATTCATAGAACAATGTACAAGGCGGACTGAAAACTAATATTTACAAAACGAATAATGTTCTGCCTTGTGCATTGGAACTTGGCAAGCGTCACGTTTCGGTAAAGTCAAACAGTTTTTACCGCCATTATGTAGAATCAGCTTGGTAAAATGGACAAGCATCAAGCAAAAGCGATGAACTCAATAAGATCGACTATTACCGGAAACAGAAAATTGTCTCAATTTAAATGATCGAACAAAATAATAATTAACTTTGACATTACAGGAACCATACACTGACTATAGCTATAGTTCATTGAGCGTATGTCTACACCTGGAGCACATTGTCACGTTAATCATTCATCAAAGTTCTCCCAGGAAACGAGAGACAAACTCATCATAGAGAATGGTTCCCGAAGAATCATCCCACGATGCTGATAATTCATCAATTCTCAATCAGATTCAACGGACGTTCACGCAATCTTCATGAATATAGTACGATCACGCATTTTGCAGTGCCTCAGTTCACGTAATGCACGTTGAGCTTCACCAGGTGATGAAAACGCGACCCTGGCATCACCAGTGGGCATCCCTTTGTCGTTATAACGTCTAATAACATTTTCACGTTTAACATCAAAATCGCCAAAGAAGTCAATAATCTCATCGATGTCAGCTTTGAACGGAACGTTCTCCAAGGAAAGGACGCAACCTGGTTTACCAAAACCTTCGACGTAGTCCAGGGATCCAGGATGACGTCCAGGCATATGCCTAGGCATACCCATCATAGGTGGACCTCTGGGACCAAAACCAGCATTACCAAAGCGAGGCGGATGATTGGTCATTGGTGATGAAAAACGGGGTCTGGATTCCTGAAGTGGTGGATAATGCTGCTGCTGTTGCTGCGGCTGTGTTCCTTCGAGCAACTGGGAATCCACTAGACCCAGTGTCTCCATCATTTTAGTACGCGGTACCAGCTCTATTGTAGGAATATTTTTTCCTAGAGGCAATCCATTCTTTGCTGTGGCACGTACAGCCTCCTCGGTGGAGTCGAACTCGCAGAAGCATTCACCAGCTGGTTTACCGTTCTGGTTAAGCATCATGTGTATCCTATGAGGTACTATACCAATGTCTGAGAAAAAATCTAAGATGTCACGATCCATAGTCTGAAACGGTAATCCGCGCATGATGATGCAGTCTGACATTGATGACTCGTTGAGTGTCTCCTGCTCGTGCTCCCTCTTCGCCTGGGCGAACTTCTCTTCTGTAATACTCGTTGCAGTTACTTGCTTAGGTCCTATCTTCAAAGGTATAGAGAGTGAAGACTTTGCGTCTTCCAAACGAGCAAATTGGACATACGCCATGTACTGCGTGCTACCAGTATCTTTGGTACTCGTGATGAATAGGTCATTGATCTTCCACTCATGGAAGAGTTTGGCTATATCCATTTCCTTAGCGAATGACGGCAATTCTGTAAGATATATACAGGTAGACGATCTGGAGTCAGAATCCATACCATCGTCGTGTCGGTCTTTTTCTCTTTCAGGTAAATACGAATCCACTGCCTTATCAAATATGGTCTCGTCCAGGTGAAGAACCTCGACCTCGGAACCGCGAACAAATCTTGGTGTCTTCAATGCCATCTCCTTGCCTTCTAATTTACCAAATTTGATATAAGCAATGCCTACGCGATTACCATGATTATCGTTTATCAATTTTAATCCATCCTTCCTAATGTAGATACCCTGGAAAGCATGGCGCACGTCACCGTATCCGGCATTCAGTGGCATATTGCGAACCTCTACGCAATTCCCACCGCCTGGGTTAGTCTTCGATTCACCACCAGAGAAACGACTGTTATTCGTTGAGCTGCGACCGCCTGTTTGTCTCTCCGGTCCATTTTCAAAGTTACCGAACTGCGCCATGTTTGTCTGGAATGCGTGTGGATTACGTCTGCTGTCAAGTTCCTGCATCTTATTCATAAAAGTATTATTGGGTCTGGTAGTTGGTCTATATGGTACAGTGACAGGATTAGCGTTATTCATATTGTACACATTAGTATCCGGCGTTCCACTGAAAGGACTTCCTCTGGAGTTAAATCTCATCTGATCCAATCGTCCTGGTTCGTTCTGTCCCCAGGATTCACGAGGTCTGTTAATAGATCCCATGCCAGTGCTCATGTTAGGCATAGCCGGACTGCCTAGACTCTGCGGTAGAGAATTCAAACCAACAGGATGACCAATATTTGGTACATGAGTTTGCATGAGGTTCCCAACCCCGTTTAATCCATTAATACCAAACTGATTAGGCTGTAACATCGGCGTCTGTTGTTGTCCCATTACAGGATTACCAAAGGACAAAGAACGCTGCTCAGGATCCTGAGGTAGAGCAGCTACAGCTGCTCCTAGAATACCTGGCGCTAACATGGCCGCTTGCAACTGGCTCTGTGGTGGCACTTCCCATATACCATTTTCAACTATAGGAGCCTTTTTAGCAGCAGCTGCAGCTTTTATATCTTTAGGGAATTGACCAACGCATACAACGTCATTGGTCTCATCCTCAATGGTGTCCTTCCTACGTTCAGCGGTGTTGCTACGCTTTGTGTCACGATCTCTAGATCGCGTACGATCGCGAGATCTAGAACGATCACGACGACGACGTCTGTCCCGCCTGTCACGATCACGATCACGTGATCTACTTCTGTCCCTACGTCTACGATCGCGTCCTCTATCCCTATCGCGTCTATCACGATCACGATCTCTGTCGCGAGATCTTGATCTATCTCTCGATCTAGATCTATCGCGTCTATCCTTACGATCCTTACTGGACTCGCTGTCATTATCCTTCTCCTTATCCTTCTTATCGCTTGGGGAATTAGGCTTTACTTGTACCGGAACCACTGGTACCGGTGCACTCTGCATAAATGATTGCAGCGTCAATGTCTGTTGTCTAGCTGCCTCTATAACCTTCTGCATTTCCGTACGTGAACTCAGTAACAATTTAATCTTCATTTCCTTGATCTTACCGCCATCGTGCATCATTGCCTGTCGAGCATCCTCGTCGGTACTGTAACAAAAGTCAATCGTTACCCCAACCATCCTCCTTACTCAAGTATTAAAATAAGTACAGTCGATAACAATGATATTTACCTAAAGGCGATGAAGGCATCGCCCAATTCACCACCAACAATATGTACACCACCTTCAGGAATACTTAATCCACGGAAAAATTGGCGGATGTCCAAAGCATTGGCAGACCACGCCAGGTTCTGCAGTCTAATAATAACACTCATATTGATTTGATATCTGAAACATTAATTTTTATCACATACCAATTAACGACTCATCATTGAAATACCAATTGAAACTGAACATTATAAATTGAAATAAACTCTCTTATTAATTATACAAATAAAATTCTCAATCAAGATTGATGAAGCAGACTTCTGCTACGTGTACAATGCAAAAGGTCGCTTTCTGCTCCAATAAGGATTGACTGTGGCCTCAATTGCTACGAGGATAACTCCAGCGAGTTAAACCACAAAATTACCATCATCTTTTCGCCTGGCTTTAATAATCGCCAGTGTATCCAGCATATAACGCGCCGCATCATCTGGACGCGTGCGCAGGTCCAAGAGAATGCCAATGAGGAGCAAACATACGGACAGCATAGGAGTGAGAGAGACAAAATAGAAAGAGTATAAATAATATACCACCTTATACGATCCACATAAAAACTCAGAAAATAGATAAACATTTTCGAAATAGAATTCAATATCAGACAAATATACCCATCGCCATATGCTATAAGTGTTACATAACCGATAAAAGATCAATAAATAATTCAATTAAATCTCCGTCTGCCGATTAAATATAATCGACCCATTATCCATCTCTTGGCCCTCGACAAAACCAAATCCAAACTGCCAGTCAGAGAGAAGCGACGTCGCATTCACAATTCTTATATCATTTAAATATAACCTATCTTCTGCACTCGTACTAAAGATTCCTTTTACGGAGTACATCATCATCATCTCAATTCCATTTCTTATAATGATATAGCTTTCAGGTTCATAGTTATATTTTTAATCTACCCAGTTATTAGGAACGCGCTGTAACAATGTACCAGTAGCAACTCTGTTTACGCAATGCTTCTATACAGGGTAATTTGTATACATCCACTGCTGTCCCAAATCCAACGACTGTCACACTAGTAGAAAGGTATTTTGAATGCCTGTTAAAGAATAAGACACGCGTGACGTATCTCGTACACGAAGTGTACGTAATACATCGCGCGTAAGAGAGTGTTAAAGAATGAATTAACGATTTCTAAGAAAGAGACGACACGAACGAATGGAAAATTAGAACGTCAGTAAAATTTTAAATAGGACTGTAGACTATTTTAAATGTATATTCATAGTTTTAACGGTTATCCAACCAAGTATATATATATATATATTTCTGTTGCAGTCGATATACGTATATCCACTTCTCACATCAAAAATCTTATGTACACGAGCGATAAGTAACGTTTATCGTCCGTTCTTATTTTATTTATTTCGAAAATACGGGATGTTCATTAAATAAAAGAAATATCTTTGCCCACGAAGCCACGAGCATAATAGCCAACGTACGTTATAAAGGTAGCAGAAGGAAGTTTTGAATCGACAATATAAATGGGTCAATTTAACGACTGACTGTTGGTTATAATTTATATAGGAATTATCACTTTGATTGTTCGTTCTCACTGTATTGTTGTTTATAAAGTTATTAGCATCGAACGTAATCTTTTCTGTATTGCGGGATGATATGATGGATGCTTGTCGAGCGGCTGATTGAACTGCATACGATGAGTCTTGAGTTCAGTCTGGAACGATGTCTGTCTGCCATTTTGGATTCACGTTTCGTAAATCATTCTAGCAATGCACGTGGACGTAAATAATCAGTATTTAACAAAAGATGGCTGAACGACTGCATGCACGTCTGACAAGTCCTGCTGTGAGGGACATTACTTGGAATCCTGGAAATACTTTTCTCACTCCTACATCTACCACTGTCGCTCATTCTTTCCTTTGTGTTTTTTCCAGACTTCTCAGCAATGCGAAATCTTCATGACGAATTCACGTGCCGAATAGAAACGTTGCTGATAGTTGACCGGACGATTTGTCGACGTAAGAAATGGTTCGTCTCGCTTCTTCGAGTAACTCCATTATTTAACAGTTTCATTGATCAGAAAAAATATCACAGATTTTTCATACCCGCCAGCTTGGTCGTGTTCAATCTTATATAATCATCGATATTGGCTTAGCATCCTACTGATAAATTATTGTTAAAGTAACAGCCTATTCACGAAACGTTAAATATAAACAGATCTCATACAGTGTCGCGACAATGACGGTTCTCAAGGAACTATCGATTTATTCGTAAACGTTCAAAAGCACTTTCAACAGGATCGACGGATAATGCCTGTGGATGTAAAATGTCAAATCGTGGCGCTTATAGATAAAACTATATAAATCGAGCGTGGGTGCCGACACAGTTTCCAGCCAAAAGCAACGTATATCATCCTCGGCGAACAGAAATCAAGCAGATACCATGGGGGCTGTCGAAGATTTTTGCCCGTCGTCAAAGTTGCATTCGAAAGATACGAAGTGAACGCAGCAGCCCACTTGATTCCTCTCCTTTTTCGTAAGAATTACAAACGGGTGTCAAGATGGCAGTCAGTGGCAGGAAGTGGCGGCGTGTCGACGGGCATAACAAGACCATAGTATGGAAATGGCGCAGAGAGTTCCTTGAGGTCACGTTTAAATATATTTGTCACAAGACGTTTGTATCCGATGACGCAACTAGAAATTCTAACTCCCACCAGATGTCTCTTGCACATAGGAGAGACGGCAGCTGCAGTTTAACATTTGAATAAGGAATAACGTGGAATTGCAACGAGAATGGTGGCCGTATGGATGAAGATTTCAAGAATTTATTTAGGAACAGATACTCGGGACCGATTGGAAACAGGACAACGTCCTGGACTGAACAAAGACATGCAGAAATTAGACTGGTGTATTTTTATAACTGCATCGTTGAGAGATTATCTTGATAACGGCAATGCGACTGCGACTCGTAAATCTTTGTAGAATCATTTTTTTTTATCTTGGAAGAATTGATGTCGGCTGTACTGAAGTACTATGCTGTATGGGCCAGGGGTACTTTTGAGGAATAAATCAATAATTAATTATAATAATTGAGATTCAGTATATATTTCTGATTAATTCATCAGGTACTATCAGCCTGGGTATATTTATATAAAAAGTAAACGTTCCTGAAGTATCCAATCAGTTATCTGTAGGTAATATTGAGTTAACGAATGTTCTGTATAAATATTTCAGGAACGGAGAACGGTCGATTAATCACGAGGATCTTGAAGGGTTCTGTATGGAATCGAAATGAATATTGACAATCGATGATTTCGAAATTTACTATCCTCATCGAATCCTCGCATACGAAGTATTATGTCATTGATCTCTACGCAAAACTCACTCCAACAGTATATATGTCATCTGAATGACCTATGATCTAATTTTGTTTTTTTTTTTTTGTTAGAAAAAGTAAAAGGATCGATTATAAACAGTAAAAAATAATAAATGAATAAAGCTCCTGCACTTATCAACAAAAAAATAAATGCTCCACTGAATTAGACGGAACAATCATCGACAATAGGTTTGCGTAATTGAAATGAAAACATGCTGAAAAATACAGAGTGGAACTAAAACCGGAGACAAAGAGTGACTGCATTATCATTGAGTAAGAATGATCCGAAAATTACTTGTCCGACGTAGAATAAAAAAATAAATGTCAAGCGTTATTTCCAACATAGAAAATACAGCGACTGACATTTCCACCCACGGAGATGGTCGTAGAGGTCAACAGACAAAGGTAACAGCAGGATTCTGCATTTTCCCTCTCCCTCTCTCTCTCTCTCTCTCTAGATCGTATAAATCATTCACGATGAATTTCATGAGTTATATCCTTTTTTTTCTCCTTTTTTAAATCTCATACTTGTCTTACCCACACAAATATCTACGAGACGCTCGACGAGACACAGAGCCAGCTGGAAAAGAAAAAAAAAGGGGGGGGGGGACATGCGTAGGTGCGTCACGATGTGAGCGTCAGGCTGCCGTAAATTCGCTAAGCGTCGCGGCGAGACTTCGCTCCACTCATCGTTAGAAAGAAGACACGAGGACGACGCCATTATCGACTGGATGAAATTCTAGACGATCCGCGGCCAACAAGGACGGAATCTCGAGGCAGAAGACAAGTCCCCAGCGTAGGAAGAGCAAAAAACATGTCGACTCCGGCATTGTTCCACGTACAACACGATGAGAAAACAATACAAAAAAAAATTAACGAACGAAACAGCACGCAGCACAGCACTGAAGACACAAGTTCCTTCGAGACCAGGAAATTTGGGAGCAGCGATGACGAATTTTCGTCATTTAAAATATGTCGCATTCCATTTCTCTCTCTCTCTCTCTTTCTCTCTTGTGACGTACTCGAAGGAATTCTGTCCATCCAATTCGTCGATGACATAAAGTTTCGCGCTTCTCGAAGGACTCGCAGCGCCGCATTGCCAACCTTTCCTTCTTCCTGCCGACTGGAGACTATTGCCAAGTGAAATACAGGACACGATTGGAAACAGAATGATTCTGGACAACTCGGCGAGTTTATGGCAAAGTTTATTGTCCTGCGTATTGAGGTATGATCGTGTGAGGTTTTTTTACCCTATAAATGATAGATCGTAGTTCTTTCTTATTAGAAAAGAACAAAAAAAAACCATATGTATGTTTCAAACGTGAGTTTCGCGTGATCTACATAATTGGACGGTGCTTGTACGTCGTTGTTTTCTAAGAAACGTGATAACACGTTTGGCGTTTTTATCCTTTGACGAAGATATTGTCGTTATATATGTTTGATTAGTCATTCCCAAACTTTTATCACGCCAGTTATCACTAAATTATTTGTCGAAAGTTTCACGTCATCCGCTGCAAAGGCATTTAAAACCGTATCAGGATTAATTATTTTGATACAGCGGATGAAGCTGAAAGAATCATGTGGTTTTATTTTTGTATCTTTGTTACCACATTGAGTTTCAATTTTTATGGATACTATCAGTGATACGAGTATCAAAGTTTGGGAACTCTAGAAGTAGTACGTAGATCGATAATCGTAGTGGTAACTTCATTGAAGGGCTGTGATAAGGTTCTGGCATAATTACGTATAAAGGAACAACCACCCAGCGGTGTTAAATTACTCATGTCGCATTTCGGTTATGTAGAATTATGGTGTGCCTCCTTTCATTAGTTGGCCCAGTTGTCAAGTCATTTAGATCAAATAAGCAGCAATAGCTCTTTGAATCGCGCGTAATAATCTTTCAAATGAAATCCTGCTGTCATAAATAACTTACCTTTTTGTATTTTTAAAAATTATGTATAATGTAATTGAAATTCCTATGTAATATCTATGCTCTTAGATATTAATATAATAAATAGTAATTAAAGCAAACTAGTCATTTCCCGAATTCTCATTTCGTTGAACAGAAGAGATGCATTTTGCAGGATATCATTAGATGCATCGTTTCTCGTTGAGAATTAAAATATTATGTTAACAGCAAGCAGAATTCAAAGAAGCTCTGATTTCCGCTGAGTTTAGATGACTGTGACTGCAATTTACTAATCTATAGACATGAATGTTTATGTAATAGTTTAAACACTGTTGAGATATCATGAATTATATTGCTTCGTTGATATAATAACTCAAATGTCATACCCTCAAATTTGTATTTGCATAGCACACTGGTGTCTTTTCTCATAAATCATAGTATAATAAATGATAGTGTCGTACCACATGGAAAGTGGATTCTTTTCATGTATTCATTATGACCTCCTAAACAGGAGTATTATAAAACAGAATCTCTTAAATATTCCATTTTGCTCAATTCCCATAACTTACATACAACACAACACTCATTGAAATTAAGAGTTGTGCATATTTTGTCAGCAATATAGTTACCAGTCTTACCATTACCAATTCAAGGGTTACTTACCATATATTTGAGAAGCCCTGAGAATATAATGTCGATAATAATATTGCCGAGTAAAAATGCAGCTTAACTGAAGGCTTGTGGAGAGCCAACCCATGAGCAAAGGACTAAATGACTGTACAGTAAATCACAACACTTCCCTCCCAAATTACAAACTAGTTTTATTATGTTACTAGAGGAGAATTACCTTCACAGAAACTTCAGAAAGATCTTCTTTCTTCACTTCGTACGCAGCTAAAAGGTACGATGAAAGATAAGAACTCGACGAGAACTAAGATGGCCAAGCAGCAAGTGGTCCATCAGCGAAGAACAATGAAATGTAGAAGCAGAAAAGAAGCAGTCAACAGCACTGCATCATTGTATGAAAGTCCATTGACACTGTTGTACCTGCTCCTGACACCTAACACACACTGAGCAGCCTAAGATCCTGCAACACACACCATTTTTTCCACGCTGTACCTCAACCACTTATATCACAACACTGGTTGTAGCGACAATGTGACCAATTGTTGTTTACATTATATAAGATCATAACTATTTGTCTGCAAAACAAAAAATTAATAAGCTTGAGGAGCATAGGTAATATAAAAATTCATACAAGATTTTGCTACTAGGGTAAAATGCCTATATAACAATTATTTAAATCATTTTAATATTTCTTCATATAATTGACACCTTAGTATGTTTTCAATGAAAACTTAAGGTGCCAAATAAAACAAAATATTAAAAACTTCTCACAAATATTACAACCTCAAGTTAATACGCTGCTTAACATAAATATATAAATAACGGGCCAACTAAGCTACATCATGAAAACACGATAACGGTACTACAAAAGGCCTAATGTTTGTCGAAATGGCGCGAAAAATTTCATGAATATAGATGCCATTGTGTTGGACGAAATTACAAGCCATCGTGAAAACACTGGTATCGAAAATCTTAATTCCTGTTATCAAATTAATATCTTACTCAATGAGTCGCAAAGATAATAAAGAAGTAAAATATTAAATGGAATACTCCTATTTACTGAATAGACGCTTCTGCCTCTGGTAATTACTAGGCGTTGTTGATTCGATAGTATATTCAATCAAGCTCAGGCGTATACTAATAATCGAAAAAAAGATCGAGGAATGTTCTGCATTTCCATACAAAAAAAGAAGGTAACGGTAATAGAATATTCACGATATTTCCAAGAGAATATGAATTACAAAAATCATTAATTCAATCAGTTTACGTTATCAAATACGCATTGTTATCCAATACGCATGTTCGTGTTTTCTAGTCGTGTAAATATCAATGAATGAGTAATCCAAGAAACACTCCACAAAATCCAACTCACCGAACTTACAGTGTGAAAAACGATGGGCTTTTTTAAAATGCCGAATACGGACGACGCAAGCAAATTATAACACGGTTAATCGATTTTCTTGTTGGATAAACGCCGAACGCCTATTCTGCACAGCGTTCCGTGTAATGGCTGCCGTAATGCTGCTCAATGCTGTCCGTGTTTCTACTTATGAGAACCCCGTAGAATAATCCAGGTGTCAGCACTGTAGATAATCAACCAATGACGTAGCACCTTTGGAATAATGCTCCGTTCATTTCTTCATTGACGACGAAATCTTTCACAATAAAAACGTATAGAAGGATTCTTTCTACGAAACTTATAACTTTGACAAATCAATAATTGGTAAAATAAGAAAATTCTAACAAATATAAGACATTTAATAAAAATTATAGTTCAAGAAATCTCTGAAATATTGGATACGACACAAATGACAAGTGTCTTAAACCCATGAAAAATATGAAAAATTGAACAAATTAGTAATGTAACTTATCAAAAAGATGATTGAATCCAATTTACTAACACTATATAATAGAATGTATTGTGTTATAATACTATTAAGTGTATCTTGTAAACTGTATACATTTTTCCCCATTTATTTCAAATAAAATCATAAAACGCTTCACTTCAAGTCATTATTTATGCTCATCGTTAAAATAGAATTACAAATAATAAAATAGAATATGGGACGTTATTTTGTCTTCAGAATTAATATACATATATTGATAAAAGGTTAAGGTGTAAAATAAGGGTTGGTGAGGGATTAGTGGGGATAGGAAGAGGAGCTGCGTCGCGTAAAATGGGTGCGCAACTTCAGTATTTGCAGTGCTGTCCGACTCTACGTTGCTATCAGTTGCTATACGTTCAGGCGTGTTAGCGAAGCTTTCGTAAGCCAGAGGAAGCCGATTCCATATAAAAATGGCGATGGCAGCAACTCAAGTAAAAGGCAGCGGTTGGCCGAGAAGGGCAAGTAACAGTTCATTCGAAGGAAAAGTGGTACAGAACCAATCTGTTACTATCAACAGGACAGTTAATCTGTAAGTCAGAATTTATATGTGGTCAACCTGCATTTCTTTTTCACTCAACATCGTCTCAAGCCAGTTAGAACAGTTATGGCCGGTCGAGTGACGCTGATGGCACGAAAATATGAAACACACACAGTTTGGTTGGGAACTTGCGTCGCTCGAACGTTACATGTTACACTTTTTAAAATAATTATGCGCCTTTAAAATTTGTAGTGCATTCAAGGAAGCGTAGGTTATATTAATCTAAATTTTCTGTACTTCGAAGATATTTTTCGCGGCTACACCTTATACCTACTACCTAATGAGGATGAAGTATCGTATCTTTACCAGAAACGCACACGTGAGAGCGTACGTTTGCTTTAAATTAATTGAACCACTGTTCATTAACTGAGATTTTGGTTATTTATTGTTAGTGAATATCAGTAGCATCTAACGATCGATACTCAAGTTCCTATTCCAAAATTGTTTCTTAACAGTATAGTTTTTGTCTTTCTATTGCGAGTATTGTTACCATGCTTGATTCAGCAATTAACTTATAGCCCCTGTGTAAATTGCTGGACACTGTCTAAAATTAGGGATGTTTCAATTTGTACGTGTAATACAACTTCTGCATTTGAGTTTATAAATATTATCATGCGTATCAAGAGACTCTGTAGAGTCTCATGTCATGTACTTTATATGTACAGGCCAATTTTTATTATAATTTTCATAATCACTTTTTTTAGGAAAAATATATGTTCCATTCATGAAATATGTATTGTTTCCTGAATTATTATATTAAGCGATAAATAAGACAAAATATGAATGGGGATTAAATGCAATTTTTATTGTATTATAATATCTGAGTGAATGTTCTCTAACATGAATATATTATTGTACATACATTTCTTTTACTTTATTCTAGAGTTAAGGTTGCATTAAATCGCTATTCTAATTTTACTTATTAATATACAAAAACCTGCCATATTCTAGAGAATGTATACTCTAGAACATGCATTTGTACACTGATGTTTTTGAGAAAGAAACAATATGCGGTACGGTATTGTAAGAAGGATGTATAATAAGGTAATTTATGGCGTACAAAACTGAATTTCATTTGATTGTTTTTGGCTATAAAGTTTTATGTTCTCGTAATGATAGAAGAGTGCGGTATTTGCAAAATACTTGCATGTGGCACAAAGACAAGAGTTTAAAAAAGAAGAACATGAATAGCTTCTCATATGATTATTCAAATTCAACTTGCTAAATGATTAAACTACAATTTGGATATTGAAATAAATGATTTATATAAACTTAAAAGAAATCATTCTGATCAAAGAACATTCATGTTAAACAGATCAGTTTTTGTTAATAATTCATTTCTCTAAATATACATGAACTGATAATAATTATAATGAATTAGGCAGCTGTAATCTCTTTAGCTTTGTCTATAAATTAATGAATTTAGCTAATTACCTGAAGGATTAAGCTATATTAAAGTATGGTATAGGATACTATACGCTCTCGAAGATAATTAAATTGTTTATTGTTTACCTGCTGTATTAGCTAGTCGAAATATTACTAAGTTATTGCTGTACTAATAATGTGAGCCATGCTGTTGCGATATATTTTTACAAATTGATGAATATTCTTATGTTACTTTTTCAAGATGAATTATTAAAACAAAGAAAGAATTATTAATATCCTTATTATTTCCAAAAACAAGAGAATCTTACAGTATAAGTAAAGGAAACAAAATTATTTATCTCTAGTCAACTGCAAGTTATGATAATTTTGAAGGTTTTCATTAAAATCCTTCGATACTTGACATTATACAAATTGCACGACTGTTCAGATTATTATAATTAATTTTTGCGTAACCTTCTTCATTAAACTTATTATGCACTATCTCACAGAATAACACCCACGATGTTAAGTATTATCGTAATGTTTACAATAGAATGCATTTCACTCCGATACAAAATCCTATCCATTTTTTTACAACCCTTGTTACAATATGTATGCGTTATATTCGAGTACACTGTGCAAACTGCATATTTATTTAAGTACAGGGCACAATATGTACGAACACATTATGTCGTCCCTCAAATATTACTAGTATCAATATATGTCCGTCTATTTATTCCTTTTAAGGTCTAGGCCAATCGACAAGCATATTTTGTTTCAAATATTGAATTTAGAGATTAAAAGAAAGTTATGCTATATCTTAAAGCATGTACGCATCGATATCAAAATTTTCAATTACAAGTTTCACATCAAAATAAATTCTCCAATTGACTGTTACATCAGTTTTATTGTATGTGTTTTGAAAATATCATTCAAGTGTTGCAAGCAGTCATTTTCTTATAAGTACATACGAATAATTTGAAATGAAAAAAAAGGAGAAAGGAAGAGAGAAAGAGAGAGAGAGAGAGAGAGAGAAAGAAAGATGATAAGGAGAAAAATAGACATTAATCATTCTGAAATTTGTAAAAAGTTTTGTAAAAGAAACACTGTAAACACTTCTGTAATTTATCCTCATTAAAGACTTGAGTTCACATCAGAATATCACGTTGAAGAAGTTGGAACTAGTTACGGAACGATTGCGCAATGACACAGTCCTAACAAACGAATACAACTCATTTATCATAGATATCCTTTGACAAACTATACATTCGGAACGAAAGAGCCGCTGTTCGAGAAAGACCCATCAGTGCCAGCGAGGTTTCAACGAATGAGGGATGAATTCGACAAAATTGGAATGCGACGCAGTGTGGAAGGTGTCCTCCTTGTGCACGAACATGGCTTGCCCCACGTACTCCTACTGCAGCTTGGAACCACCTTTTTCAAACTGTAAGAATCCTGAAAAACTGACTGGCTAAATCATTAATAAGAATTGGAGAATGATATTGATTATATAGTAAGTATGAAATTCGTGTATTTTTATTAATCAGAATTTTTTTTATAATTTCAGACCTGGAGGAGAATTGAACGCCGGAGAAGACGAGGTAGAGGGCCTAAAACGGCTCCTTACTGAGGTAACAGTTAGCGCAGCACCTTATGCTACCCTTGAGGGCGGCTAGGAGCAGCACTTTGATTTGTTAGATCGTATTGCTGTTTCGATGGAACCTTTATTATGTATAAAGATCGTATGATTGTGTAAAATCTTTGTAGAACCGATGTAACCGGGCCTGTAGCTCAAAACAAAATTAGGGTGTTTCGACTTTTGCGACGAAGCGTCTTAGTATAATATTAGTGCGCTGCATGCCCGGACACCTTGATGTTCGTAGAAAAGTAAACAAGAGGATATCATTGTATTCTGGTTACCTAAGAACATCGTTCGCGTATCCTCGACGAAACAGTGAAGTTAGGGACGACCGATGACTCTGTTAAAACGTCAGGACACGAGAAAACTGTATTAATATAAATTATCATCGAATCGGTACTTAATCGCGAGAGCTACGGATATTTATTGAAGTCAGTTAATGGCGTGATTAATAATTGACTGTGTATAACGATAATTAGCGCGCTAATCAAATCGAAGTAAAAGTCTAACTGTGGCGCGTATTTTGTTTTTTGTTTTTCTCTTTGTTCTCTTTTGTTTTATCTCTTTGAATTCGCGTTGCAAACAAAAAATTGACGTTATTTGACGTTTCATAGACTTATTGCGAATTTTGTCTTAATTAAAGCTATCAAGATAATGTACAATGGCTGTTTCATTTAATTAGTTATTGTAAGAGGATTAACGATTCCGGCCAGAGGTATTTTACATAATTAAATACATGGCAAATACTTCTGGCATATATTAGACATCTACGCGTTGCGAGATCTATTTATCAAAATACGTGTAAAGGATTAAGCGATTCTTATTGGAAGATGCATTTGTGAAATTTGGCGTGATTGCGCAATTTACCACGAAATTGTAAATCTCGTGTATCAGCTATCAAGACTTGTAAACATTATGTAACCATGTTCTTAGTGGACTGAACTGAAGAAGAATGTATTTTATTTGTGTACCATGTCAGAACGCTATCAAAGTTCATCTCGGAATATAGATAAAATCCATTCTAGACACTGGGACGACAGGACGGAGTGAAACAGGAATGGGTTATTGAAGACACAATTGGCAACTGGTGGCGTCCTAATTTTGAACCACCACAATATCCCTATGTACCGCCACACATCACAAAACCAAAAGAACACAAACGACTGTTTCTCGTGCAATTGCAAGAAAAGGGTAAGTCTAAAGACATGATTTAGAACAAAAAGAATACAAAAGTATGTCTTATATCTTATAAATGCTCTATATTTTTATTTTATTGTTGTTACAGCCCTTTTTGCAGTACCCAAAAACTACAAACTGGTAGCAGCACCTCTTTTTGAACTGTATGACAATTCCCAAGGCTACGGACCCATCATTTCATCATTACCACAATCACTCTGCAGGTAAAATATTTGTACGATACTCGTTGAAAGAAAGAATTTCTTGTTTCATAATTATGGTCTAACGTGCAATCATTTGTTCTGTTTTAGATTCAATTTCATCTACATGTGAAGAAGACAAACTGACGAAAGCAAATAACGGTGAATTTTATTTAAGTTGATCGAATCAATTATCAAATAACTATTGATGTATGTATGAGATGATGGATGTGACTTCGGAAGGCCTTGGTTCTCTGTATTATAAGACGTGCATTACACACATTAAACCATTTTTCTAAGTAGCGCAAAGATTATTAATTTGACGTAACCTGCAGATCGATCCTTCAATTTCCTACGAAAGCTTTACGATAGCTCACAATGAATGAAAAATTTGCAGCAGATTAGTTTACATGTAATTTTTATTTTTATTGACAACATTGGATTTTTATTACATGTGTAATGGTTAAACGCTCATTTAATAAGTAAGTAGATACATTATTCAATTTTCCTCAGAGTAATGACGTATCAGCATGGAAATAAAAATACTGACAATTCCAAAAGATTACGTGTTATCAGTGATTAATAAATCTCAAAATCGAGTCAGCGAGCAAAACGAACATAAAACATAAAACATGTTTTTGCCTTAATCTATATTATATGATTGAATAAAAATGTCGATTAAACAATGCAGCGTGATCCTTTCATCTTTTTATGTGTAAAAACCAGATCAACAAAGAAAAAACGAAAACCTGAACGAATATCGTTATGGAAAAGTGTATGCGTTCAATGATAAAATAAGAAATGCTGAGAAAGAGGTAAAATGACAGTTGCAAGTACAAATAATGAATGAAACAAAGTTTCATTTTAGAAAAAGTTTGATGCCCATTAAAATATACATTAATATCTATCACGCTATCTGATTAATGCTTTAAACATTCGAAGCGGATAATTATCATACTTTATCTCTAATGAGTAAACGTAAACACTGTTATTTGTTTCCTTGAAGTGAAATACATCAAGGTATCTATAGAGAGACTATGTATTATGGAAATTCTGACAAAAATGATATTACACTTCTAATCATTAGCATATTTCCTACTATGCTATGTTACAATGCAGTTATTAAAGACACTGAGAAACTCGTGTATTCTTTTTTTTTGTTAATTTTTTTCTTTCTTTTACTTACTACATAGAGAGGTCAAGCACGATATCTATTAAGTTTAATAGACGTTTAACAATAATAGAAGGGCCCATAGAACATAGATAATGCTATCTTATACTAATTAATAGACTTAATTTATGCATAATGATGATATGGTGGATGTCATCTAGAGCTATAAATCCTTCTGTCAGTACTGATCAATCACGTGCATGTACAATACTGTAAAACATTTTTTTTCTATTTTTTCTTTATGCGCAACCAGTTGTGTAGTATTGTAATACATTTTCGCATCGGTAATAATAGCAGTACGGAATACTATTTAAATTTTTATTTGCATCGACTGACTTTTTATCATTAGACATCTTAATTATCTTATCTAGACTTAAAACAAATACAATTTTGTATATTCGAACGATTCGTGTCCTTGAGTGATCATTGCCTAGTGATTTTTATTAGAATTGGGATATTTGCTAATGGTTTGATTTTAATGCTCCTTTTTTTTTTATTCTTGCCTTCGTGTGTCTACCAAGATTATAAGTGCCTTTAGAAAAGTTTCGAGGATTTAATTAATGATTCACCGTCTAGATAAGACTTCACGTCGGAAGTGACGTCATTATGTATTCACTTGACACTTGACTCGGACTGTTTGTAATCTAAACTCGGGGATGATTAATGATACGACATAATTACTCAAAACCTAAATGTTCCTACAACAAATATTGTACCTGATTTCAAGTACGTCTAGCTTATTAATGAATAAAAAGTCAGCGTGCAATTAATAATGAAATTAACATACATATAACTGATACAAGAATCGAACGAGTATCTCTATAATAATGAAACAGAAATATCCAATCATAATAAATGCCTGTAGATTAATCGATATCTAACGGTAACGTAAAATAGGGCCAAACCTCATACGATAATATGTCAAAACTGATACTGTATTTTAAAAAAGAATTCAAAATGATTCCCCATAAAGTCTAATTAATATATGCACTCGGATCAACAATGATAAACGTTAACGATGTTACGATCCAAGGTTTCTCCTTCCCTTCACCTTGACAAAGCTCCACAGATAATTTTTGAAAAAAGTTCCGATTATGAATTATCTATTAATCAAACTCCATTGTCATAATAATCAACCACTTCCCTTCCTATTTTCTATTACCGATCAATGTCATCGATACTAAACGAGTAACTCAGGTTTTCCTTACTTCACGCTTCTTTCGCATTATTGTTACGTCATACACGTGCATCTCTTCTCCACAATGTCCCCGGCTCGTTGTCGATAAACTGATTGATTATAAACGAAATAATTAACAATAAGACCGAGATAAGTTCTCGTTACACTAACAAGGTATTTTGGCCACTCAAAATGGAAGCGATTAATATCCGATCGCGATATGAGGATCCATGAGAATGACGATTACGGAACCGTCAACCGCGATCAATCATATTAGGGTCAGTTAATCTTGTTCACGTACAGTAATAATAATCAATCGATATTGTTTATCGCAACTTGGTCTACAATGTAGACGTAAAGTTATCAGGATACGCATTTCCTAGGGCTGTAATTTATTATTGGTATCCCAACAACAAGAGTTTACGTTTGCAACGTCGTGAAAGTCGCCAACAGGAAAGGCGCATCCCCATCGAGACGACAGAGAGGAGTAGTGGCCATAACAGTATTTTTGATGAATTCTTGTTTTTAAAATTTTTTTCCCTTTTTCTTCTTTATCTTCCTCTTACTTAAACTTGCTGCGTGCATATCCATGTCATAATTAGACGATGGATCGGTAAAAGTTACACTTGGAAAACATTGGATCTGTTTTCATAAAACCGGTCGCTGAAGGAGAACGCCGCAGGCACAATAATTACCTTCAGCATTTACTGCTTGCCTGACTTCTTGTTCGACCGATCGTCTGAAATACGGTAATAAGTATTATACAATTTACAAAAGATACAACTCGAAGATCCTTATGAATTTACATACCTTTATTGGTAGTTTTCTTCGAGTTTGTTTCCGGCTTACACCTCCTGGAGACACTGCGCGTCTTGTCACAATTTGAATCGCTGTTTGACTTCAGGTTGTCGACTCTCTTCATTACCTGGTTGATACACGTACCCCAGGTACCCTTCTCATAGCGGCATGCTGATTTTGCCGCCACACATGTAATCATAGTATCATAAATTCTATTAGGATCATCGTCGCCCATCCAGGAGACGAAATTCTTCTAAGCCGTACAAAAATCCTTAAGTGTTTTTACAGGGATTTTATGCGTGTACTTTTTTCGTTGGATTATGTGAAAAGCACTTTCATATGCCTGAATGATTTACGATCCTCATGATCTTAACGATGACTGTCATGTGAATCCAAAGGGGAGAGAGAGAGAGAGAGACTTCTTTTAAAGGGAATGATTTACAATATAGGGCTTTTATGAGCTTACAAAATTTCTACCTTTTTTGCATTTCTTCTGAATAATCTTAGTCTCCTGACAGGATTTGTCGCCCTTCTTCAGGTTGAGGGTGCGTGTTCTCGTGTTAGTCTTAGCATCACACTCCGACCATTCATCCTTCGCATATCTGCAAGCTACACCCGGGATATAAGAAAATATAAATTGATAAAAATGTCGCCAGAGTTTATATATGAGACAGCAGACTCTCAATATATTTGATGATTTTTATAAACTACTTATTGACCGAATAAAATAGTATTTTATAATGAAATTATTTTATACCTCGTTCCTTGGTTCCACGAGCAGTCCTTACAAGCACCTCCTTTTCATCCTCCTCCCAGAGATCTGCTTCAGCGGATGCTGATACTATCACCATGAGGAAGGCGATTACACCCACCATCGACAAACTCCACCAGAGCTTCATTTTGAACTAGACAAAAAAAAATTAACTTTCCTGATGATACTTTCATCCGTCACTTTACACGGCTGGTGATTGAGTAAAGCTAAGAAATAGCAAGATCTCATTCAAGTTCGAAAAGAGTCTTTAGTTCAGTGCCTCGTCGATTCACAGCGAGAGTGTTGTAAAGGCAAAAGTAAAAAAGTAAATTCCTATACTCGACCAAAGGTAGAAAGGAATATAGAACGCAGTTAAGGTTAAAGAGAGATATCAATGTAGAGAAAAGGTATTTTCGACGTTTGAAAAATCCCTAAGCCGGTTTAGTATCCAAGAGCTTATGGTAAAACTAGTCGAAACGCCAGCATCGAAAGGTGCAATCAGGGCGAAAAACTTCCTCGAGCGTCCCGAATACCGTATTAAATTTGGAGCGTTTATTTGAAGAGGGAAGTTCACGAGTGGCGCTCACGAGTTGGATGGAGCCTGACTTGCTTTGAAAGATTATCAGCCTGGAAGCATATGCCAGCTCAATTTTCCTTACACTTAATACTTTCTTAACGCGCTCCCATGAAATGACCTAGCAGAAACTTCGACATCCTTTTTACCCTTCATACCATATGGCACTCTCTCACTCTTCGCTTACTAAATATTCAACATCTCTCTCTCTCTCTCTCTCGCTCGTTTTCCTCCCTCGTCTAGCAAAGTTCAAAAGTCCGATACTACCGTAGTCAAGATCACGTCCCATCGAACCGGTAGAGAACGAAATAAAATAATGGAGCCCTACTAAAGTCTCTTGAGTAAATGCTATCAAGTTATATGACAATTAATAGGGAAGTGCAGAGGCGGCGTTATTACACCGGCCGATATTATATCAGTAGCGTTTACATCTATCGTATTCCTCTCTTCGTATACGAAGTCAAAGCATTTTCATTTCAGCCCGCAAGAGTAAGAGAGATAGAGAAAGGAGGGAAGAAGAAAGGCGAGAAAAAACAAAGAGTAAAAAAATAGGATTTCACGCTTGGCTGACTAATGAAAACGGGCGATGCTGTCTACTGCGACTCGATTATCCTCCACCAATTAAAGCTACAAATTTAGACTTTCCATATTCATTTAATCCGTAGCCGTTGGCTGGTTATCTACATTGGTCGCGAAGATCCCAGAGGGAAAAGTATACGTTGCCGGAGTGCACTCAATATTCATCTTGTTAATTGATAAAACGAGTACAGTTATGAGTTTAGAAATGTAAATTCTTTAAGGTACCCGGATCGTTGCCTTTCGTCTGAGCTCCATGAAATAAAAGGTTTTTATGTATGCTGTACACGACGCAGCCAATAAGGTTACCCCTAATGGCCGCCATGATGTTAAACTCGGTAAGAGACTATAGCACTATATACGTACTAGACGAGATATTTGATATGTAGCAGAGCTTAAACAGTGCGGAAAATACATGAACGATTACTCCCGTACAAACGGGGTCGTTAACGATACAAACGGGCTCTTAATCTGGAAAAAAGCACTTCGTTCCCTTCGTGCATTTACCACCTCGTTTTCCACTGCGAAGCTAATTATTCTCGAAAGCCAACCCGTTGACGTTTTTTTTTCCTCCGGTTCTCCTATGTCCCGGTTTTTTTGGTTAAACCTCCACTATCCCTTTATTCCCTTTTGTTAAAGCGGTATTACCGCAGTGCGCTCCTTTTGTTTTCTCTGTTCCAAGTAACGACTTGCCTCCGGTAACGTTGCTACCGTCCCAATAAATACAGTCCGGACAAGGTAACCGAGGTAAAGGGAACGTACCGAAGATCCTCGCCGAGCTTGTCACTCACTTTTGGTACTGTGCCCGCACATCAGAGATGCCGTTAGTATCTTCTTCTCTATTTTTTATCTTTCTCTTTCTGTTTTGTTCTTTCTTGCAATTTCACAAAGGAACAATCGAGAAGAATGGAATGAAAGTGGTAACGGAAGAGCAATGACCGAGCCAATGTACGACAACTACAGGAGAGGAATCGTATCTCGTCCGGACGAGTACATATGTATACGTTATACTGTCCGTCCTGAGTAAATCTTGATTACAGTCCGACACCAAGGAATTGGATGGGACAATAACATAAGGTGACAGATAGCCATATACTTGCATACGTACAATACAGTTTCGAGAAAAGGAATTTTTAAGGTTAGAAGAGAAAAAGTAAAAGGTACATATTATCGTTTATATTATATCAAACCCACGGGTATCTCTCAATTTATTTTCTCTAAAAGGAAAAGAGACACGAGCAAGACGAAACAGTAAACATTCGTAGAAAGGTGAACGATACCGGGTTCTCGCTAACGAGACGAAAACTGGTCAAACGACTATTGTTAGACCGTGGTAGTTGGTCTAGAAGGTAGTGCACAGGAGAATTGCTTTTGTACTCGTATGTGGTACTTGGAACGTGCCCGAGCATATACGCACAAACTTACACGCACCTGCGTACAATAATAGGGACGATCATCCTGAAGAGGATTCTCGTCAATTCGATGATTGGAAACCGGCTTGATGGAAGTACACATTATATACAGGTATATGCTCCATATAAATATACATAGATATGTGTAGTATAGGTATGCATTATATGGAGTAGAGAATCACCGTGAAGAAAGGTCGAGATTAGTGTCGTTGAAAGGAGTCAGAATGGATGGAGGATGTTGGAAAGGGTGGCAGAGTCCTCGGAGGGTACAATTGTGCCCCGCGACGCCTCCATCCTATCTACGCTATGTATCTACACTATGTATCTACATCAGAATCTCATATACCAGCTCAAACTACCATCCCTCTGTCTATTTATCTCAGCAGGTCCACATGTTCCAGCTGTCCGAAATGTTGACAGGATCCCATCCTCCGGGCGAATGGGGTTGTCCAAAAACCCGTGGCCATTCAAGAGAACGAGGATCAGGAACAACAGAGGGAATGTACAAGGACAGTTAAAGCGCCTGGATAAGGGTGACCCTTCGTCCCATTTTCGTATCGCAGGTTAAATAAAAGCCAGTTATCATGATATATTTTTCAGTGGCACCACTTCCTGGCAAAGAGATGCCACAAGTGCCATGGATTATACAGTTATAAAAAATGAGAAAGGAACCAAGCTCTGGTATAAAGCATCCTCAAGATTTTTACTTTATAAAAAAAAAAAAAAAAAAAAAAATGAAAGAGAAAAATCACCCCACTTTCTACCGGCAAGGATCCTCGAAATGCATGACGGCGTCTATCGGACGTGCGCATGAGAAAATTCTTTTTAATTAGAGCAGTCCTCCAGTTAAAGCATACAAAGTTATTTTTATTCTTACCGTGCAAGCGAAGCTGCGCGAGTGAGAGATGAAGACAAAGAGATGTGTTGAAGGATGAAGCAAATGGAGAAGACCAAAGAGAAGGAAGCATGTGTGTCAGTGCCTTAATATATATCATCTCCATGTGCATGTTACGTACTAAGGACGAGTACATAGCCATATATACCCCATAGTACATGGAGAGTGAATCTGTGAACTACCGCATGTTTACAAGTATATAATATATACATGGTCGGTAAGAAAATCGGTAAAGGGATGTCGTTCCTCAAAAACGCACACGTGGAGCGCAGCTTTCACACTGTCCTCGTCTGGAGTGAATCTTTACCACCGGCTAAGGATTATCCGGCCCAGCAAGAGAATCATATGTAAAAGACTGAAAAGCAGCTCAGGCTCTGGCTTGGCGTACAAGTTTTAGTCGCCATCCGTAGCAAAATAATACATCCGATATAGAGCCTGAGTACTGTTACAAACTGAGTCGTCATCCACGATAAAGTGGGGAACGTATATCCGTAAAGATATTTCAAATGTCTGCACGACTAACGTTAATCCAAGGGGAAACGCCGAGATAGAATTTTTTTTTCAAGTATTTTTGTTAGTATCGATTAAACCATCCTGTTTCATCTCGTCGGGAGCTCTATGGGTATATATGGGCTGTGGGAATCCGTTTGCATTTTTCATAGAACCACAGGATTTTTCATCGTTCCCCGGATGAATTACGCGATATAGAATTTTACTCGGTACGTCGCACTTTTTCATTTCAATCTGCCGTTTCAAACTCTGCCAGCTCTTTCCTTTTATTTTGCCTTTTTCTACCTTCTATCTATGGCTCTGCTGTTGGCTCTATGTCCGTTACCCATAGTCTGTTCTCTTTCACTCATTTTTATTTTGAATCTCTCACTCTTCCACCATCAACCATTTTTTTTTCATTTATCTATTTTTTATGCAGCTGCTGCTTCACTAGACGTGCTACCTCATATAATGCTCGCCGTACACATGCAAGGGAGTGAACTGTAACATCATAATATGACAGACAGTAGCTATGAAAGATGCAATTTCCTGTTTAAAATACATACATAGCTCTATTGACAAAACTATAGAGATGGAAGCTTATTAGAATGATTATGAACCTAGAAAATGAGATCTCATGGGAAAATCAAGCTTGTCCGAATGATGTTTCGCGCATCAAGGTCAATTCACACTGCGTGCCCTGCAGTTGTTCGTTATATTTAGATGGTGATTACTGTAGTGCGTTATTTAAATAAGCGGTAATCGCTTCGCGAAGAATACTAAGGGGAGAAGAGTTCGAGGCTAAATTGCCAATGGCTTCGGCGGTATCAAGGATCGGGCGATGGTATACATTTACATACTATATATATATATATATATATATATATATATATATATGCAAATAGATACGTTTCAATCGTAAATCACTCGCCCTGCTTGGAATAATGAATATGCCGCGCTTCTGCGATCGATTAAAACTATATATGGAGGCGACGATTAAAATGTTTGTCTAGCCACTAACTCTTTTTTTTTGTACCGCCAAATTAATCCCTGCAGGCGTTCACCGGCCAGACCTTTTGAATCATACTGAAATTGTATCACTCTGTTTCAGTTAATGCAACGTCCAAAACAGCTGTTGAGGACAGTAAACTTTTGAGTAAAATTTCGTTGAAAAGGTTGCAAGAGGTTACCGTTTTAGGAGTCGTCGTAAACCCAGAAGGTCGGGTCACCGCGTCACACTTCCGTCCACTTACCGAATCTCTCGGACGATTAGGTGCGAGGGTCGTTGTAGAAATTGGCCAGGAACCTTCAAAATGTCGGATGACAATAGCCGAGCGATAGGTGCCAAATGAATTACGTACTGGTTAGAAAGCTGAAGAGTCTACCAAACCTATCAGGTACAGATAGAATAACGAAGCGCATCCCGTGAGGGAAGAACCAGGGGACTGAGTGAGAATGTTCAAGTCTGAAAATATACATGCGCCCGAAAGTAACCCGGAAGCGATAAAATCAGGTCTGCTATATACAAATATAAATGTTGATCGGGGTTGAACCAGATTGAAGATCTCTGGGAACAATTAAAAAAAATCTTTCATCTAGGGGATGCATGGATCACGATCGAGAGCGGTGATGCAAATCTAATTTCCGAATTGAGAGACGAAGGGATGGAGGTATAGAAATCGATCCGCAGGTAGGTATTATTTACTGTGCACGGTTTCGAGCCCAGCGCCGGGCGGGTCTCACCCGCGGAAAATCGATGGAAAGGCGTTTATGCTCCAGGTCTCTACTTGTAAAATCTCTAATATATAATGTCCGAGGTACTGGTGGATAACAAGGTACAAAGCAAAGATCCTAATAAGATATAATAAAATTGACTGTACATACCTCGCGCGACGGCCCGTTTCGAGGAGGCGAACTGATATAGGAACCGTTCCAGGGGCAGTTCGATGCTCGGCAGTTGATGATATGAGTTGATAGGAGCAGCCGGTGGTGGTGTGGTGCTGATGATGGTAGTGCAACTCGCGAACGGCGACTGCGCCAGGCAAACTGACTCTTGACTGAGTCTGACTCCAAGTCCGAGTATGATTCTAATTCTTATGCCGGTGGTGGCGGTGCTGCTGCTGTTGCTAGTAGTGGAACTGGTGGTGCTGCTGGCTGTTACGTGCTGCCATGCCCGATGCTCTTCTTACTCTATAGCTTCTTCTACCAGGCACGGTCCTTGGCGATCCCTCAATGCTCAAGAGTTTCCTTATCTTGACGTTAGGAGCCTTCATCCCTTCTCCTACCAAAATATTAGACTCTCTTAGTTCTTCTTCTTCTTCTTCTCGAAGCTTCACTGATCTTACCGTATCTTCGAAAAACTTAATCTTCTTAAACTTTTTTTTATTCTATTCTACATATAATATAGTACTATACTCCTCTTGCGCTTATGGACCGTGTTAAACTCCAGGACTGTATTTACATCCCTTTTACTTGGAAACTGTATATATATATATATATATATGATATATTATATCTTTCACTGGTGCATTCGCCTCACGTATCTTCACTGAATGCTCAAAGAAATTTCTTATAAAAAGAATCAATTTCCATCATGTCTGATATGCAAGGGAACACGCGTCCTACTGTTTTGCTTCCAAGTATAGCTCAAATGGGAGCATAACCCTTTGCGATTTCATGAATTTCTTCGTCTCCTGGGATAGGGTCGTTGTTGTTCGTTTATTGTACTGTGAAATAACGCAGTGCAAGTATACCGATAGTGATATCTTAATGCTGAAATTATGATAATGCATATATATATATATATATATATATATATATATATCCCACATCATAAACTCTTCACCAGTCGCTATTCATATATTCTTTTTCTTCACGTTTCAGAAATTGAAAAGACTCACTGAATATCTATTGATAATACAAAAACTACCTGAAAGCGGTCAGCCAGGTGTGCGTCTTCTCAGAAGTACTGATAGAATCGTTAAGATTAGACAGTATATTCCAGGGAGATAAGGAAAAGCGAGAGGAATGTCTGAGAGCGTTGAATGGAGAAGCCGTTAAGGCGTTCCCGAAGGGTCCGTACCTTCATGATAAAATTTCACTCGACTGAAATCAAAAATCCTATTAGGCACAAGATGTCCTGAATTTTCAACGTCAAAAATACGGCAAAAACGGTTCAACCATAAAATTCAAAATCTCTTTCAATGCGCCAACCAGCATCCTCTTTATAGTCTGCATACATACTGCGCTTAATGTATAAATACATATATAGTTCAGTATAGTACATACTCAGGGATATTCATAGCTAGCGCCTATAGGATTTCGTTTCTGCACTCATTGCATTTCTATATATAGTAGCATGTGTCAATATATATGTATATATACAGACACGTACATATATGCCTGGATACTCCAAATACTTGTTCTATTGTGTACTTTGTATACTCTTCATCTCTGGGTTAGTAGGTAGGACAAACTATGTCCAGCGCACTTGGTGAAGATTACGTTCAATACGTAGCAGCTGTCAGGGATGATGCGACCGGGGAGGAAATCACGGTGCCATTAACGCAATTAAATGAAATGACGGTTGCCGTCGGAGTTGCTTGACATCTCTCAGGAGTGACGTCTAACGTCGCTCTTATTTCGGCTACACGAGCATCCGCACTCGTGCGTAGACGTACTGCACACGCAAAGCAAGACTAAATGTCTGTCTACGCTCGACTGTCGCGTAATTGTCAAGGAAATGAGATCAAGTTTTGAGTGAGTTCAGACAGGCTGTAGGTAGATAGCATAGCACGATACTTGGTATACGCCGTATATATGTTGATACGTTATAGTGCGTTATACTATATTATCACAAAGTATAAAGAGAAACGTAACAAAGCCAACAGCGCGTTTACCCCAATGCATTTTAGTAAATTGACGAGTGTACATAGTATATAAAAAGTATCTGATATATATGTATAAATAATTTACCTTCGAGAGAAATTCCGATATTTGTGTTTGGCGAAGCGCGCTTCGTTAATAAACCATTATTGATTATAGATATATTGTACAGTAACGCTCTGGTCGGTCACGATGAAGGTATATACTTTGGGAATATTAATGAAAGATGATTTGGGAGTTCAGTTATTTTAGGAGAGTGTCAGTAGGGTTTATCAGGCATCATTCAAGAATTGACTTGTTGTCCGAAGTGTGGACCTTTAATGGAAATGAGAAGACAGTGGATTTAAGATTGCTTTCAAAAATAAACATTTATTTCAAAATTAATGCTTACCAGCTGTATCCTAAAACCTAAGATCTCTATCCTATACACGGACCGGCGACGAGTCCTTGTGTTTAGGTGTATCTTTAAGAGACTTCAGCACATTATTTAAGTTGTGTACAAGTTCTGTATAGTAATGGGATTTCATAGCAAATTGAAATGCCTTCGATTTTACATCATTACATGATTTCCTCTGCGTACGTATATTACATACAAATTATAGTACCGGTGCGCAACTTGACGCGTAACCCAGTGATTCGTTAACCGAAATCATGCATATAACTCCCATTAATAATCTCTCACATTGAGGAACTCGAAGCTTCCACTTCGAATTCATAAACTGATCTCTTCTTACACAGTATCCTGGATTTATGTCCGATACCCATGGCATTTGATAAACTTTAAAATGATGGTATCGCTAAGTATTGATATCACAATCATGGTTCGGAGTCTTGTGCTGTCCAGTCGAATCGAGATACGCAACAGCTCTAAACATTATCTTTTGCAGATTGTACCAATTCACCAAATGAAGTCTCCAAGCACTGCCGTAATTCCGCGTAACTCACAACTAGTACGCTTTGCTCATCCCGTGACATTAGACAGATCTGTTGAAGGATAATTAATAACAGATAAAAATACAATCTCGTTTGATAAAACTAGTCAGTGGGTATGTACAAGAAATTTTAGACAATGTTAATTTACCTTGTCGTGGGATCCCGAATCGAGTTTATTTAAGCAGCAAACAACATGCGCCATATCCAGCCACGGTCTCCCGTCGGCGGCTACCTGATGGAAAACGTAGTCCCTAAATAGTTTGAGCATGTAACGATCACCAGTCTCAGCCCACGTTGGATCCATATTAAGTTCGGGCCTTTCATTGATAGTGGCGAGTTTAACAAGCAACTTGAACAGTCTGCCATTTTCCAGTTCCTTGGCGAGCTCGTCTTCGAGCACGTCGGAGCGAAGTTGCGCGGCGTCCAACTGCGTATAGAAACGTGCTCCGATCATTGGCATTAGATCCGTTACGCTTCTCCGTGCCTGATTCGAAAGCAAGTACCTACGAATTTGCGTTATTTTTATAGCCCGACGATAAAAAGATTACTGTAATTCCAATAACTATACACAGGTCCTGTATTACAAACTGGGCTTGCATGCATCGTGTCTAGTTGAATTCATTGAGAATGTAAATATTCGATACTGGATTAGTCTGTTCAAAAGTCAACGAATACAGAAGCTCTGCATGACCGTAGAAAAAAAGAATTTCAACGAGCCTATATCTCGAGCACGATTAAAGTATTGCGTGCAAATAAGAAGTAAAAGATTTTGTTAAACCAATCATAGATTCAAGATACTATTTAGAATGTATACTGCATATACGAGTACTACATATCCTAAAATCTAATTATTAACTGACTACTCGTTATTGAAAATGCTTAGTGTTTAACGAGCATCTAGGAAGTACGACACGTCATAACGAGCGAGCGCGCTCAAAGTTTCACGTACATATTTGCTGATATTCATATCGCCGATAGAAGAAGAAAAATTGACACACAAGCGGGATAGCAATATTAGCGTAGAAGGTATACAAACAGAATAAGATTTCGAAGATCGGTGGAGTAGGAGCGTGCGACGAGCTCGAGCGAGGCCTGCATATTGTCGCGATGGACGGCAAGGAGGCTGCGACATGCTAAAGCCAATACCAGCTTCCCCAACGCTATTAGATCCTCCTGCTGGTAGTGAGGTATAAGGCTAAGAGGATTGGCAGCATTGCCATCGAACGTGACGACATCCGGAACCCCAATGCAGCTTAGACGTAGACGGGTCCGTGACGTGAGTAAAACTTTAGTCGGATCCAGACATCTGTATGCTAGACCTATCGGGTCAATTGGTAAAGCAATATTTAATGCCCACGGTGATGACTTTCAGTATTCTGAGGGATCGTCGAGGACGTTCACTTGTTTTAATATTAAAGTTACCCACCCGCTGCATGAACAACGCGTAGGGCTGCAGTTAATTGTATGATGTAGCTCCAGATCACACTCTCAGGAAGCATACTACTGTGCTGATGTCTTAAGATAGTGTTTTTAGTATGACTGTAAGGTCGTGGTGCATTTGGATCCGATGAGAATGGATCCGAGTAACCGTTCAGCTCGGTCGCTGAGAAGTGTTTATTCAAGAGGGTCTCGGACCCCGGGTGGTAATCGTAAACGAATACCATGGCTGGAATAGTGCTAATTCAGTGAAACAAAAACGGATTAAATTTCGATTGACTAAATTATACTTAGGTACAGACAATGATCACCAAAGGCCTTGGTGGTGAAAACCTCTCGCATTTGAACCAAGTTGGTGTGCGATAACCGCTTCCACATATCAACCAGAACCATACATTTTGTATTGGCCAACCTAAAATCTAAAATGGTAGAAGATACGTAATATAGATTAAAGTAGGTTAGAAGTCATTTTCAAAAACGTTTAGTGGATCTATTAAATATTTATGGTGCTAATGGCACTTACCGTGTACTCGACGTAGACAGTAACGTACGCCTGTTTTAATGCTGGTAGCTTTGTACGTTGAGGTCTGATATCCCAATACCGTAGATGCTGGTTTATGAATTGGTTCCAGTGGACATAATTCATGGTAGTTATCTACCTCGTTAGGCAAGTCAGGAAATCGTACCACGTCTGGTTGGGTCAGGGTTAATGTGTTTTTGTGAAGAATGTCCAGGCGAAGATTCTCGCTAACAAAAAAGCTAGGAGTTGCTTGAGGAGGAGGTGTGGAAGGAGCAGAGGAGCTGTTGGACGAAGGCTTCACTGCTTTCACAGGTTGAAGATGAGCAGGTGTACCTGGATAGACATAGCCTACCTGACCTGCTCCGACGTTTCCGATCTGAACGAACAAGAACTAGTTATAATATATGCTAAAAAATGTTGAATGATGCGTTAAGGTGAATTTCTTATTTATGCTGGAAAAATGATTATGTAAGGAATCTTATAGATTGATTAGATATTTAGTGTATACCTAATAGCATCATTTTAATAAACTTACAGCCTCTGTTCCATCCTCGCCTCCGACGGCATCAGTTGCTGCATTCCCAAGGTAAAAATAAGTGGTGCCACCTACATTCTCTTGGGAATGATAGGAATTATTGAAAAGATTTGGCGAACTGCTATTGCTACCCGTTAGGGCTCTTCCTGGTACAAATTCAGGACTGGAAGTTGCTTTTTTCTGAGATTCCAGAGATAAATTTGACAGGTGCTTAGTAACTGCTGTTGTATTCAGGGCCACCCCTGGACTTTGACGGTTCTAGAAAAATGGAAATCCTAGTACTACACGATTGTAGAGCAGTATGAATCGTAGATATATCGCAGGATGACAATGGTTTCTAGGTATTTGCGAAAATTGAAAATATCTCTAAGTACCATATAAGTAGCAAGTTTAGACTCCAAAGGGACTCCATTGGTTTGAGGAGTGTACGTGACAAACATTGACGGGTCCATCTCTTCTTCAACCACCGCATTTACCACTATCCCTTCTTCTTCTCACTGCCACTTTTCACACTTTTTTATTCTGTATCAATTTCCACTGTTTTTCTTATTTCCAATCTTCATCAGCATTAACATATACTTTATGTATCTCTCGCTATCATGGGTATCCGATATGATCCCAGCCCCCCCAAATCTGGAAAGAAATCTACAATTGTATTGATATACGTAATATGAAAATATATATAATAATAATCAACAATGCACAACATAAATTATAAATGCATAGGCACTCTATGGTACAAAAGAATACAAAATATATCTTTCCAATAATAACAAAGATTGGCACAAATAGTACAAATATTCTATAAAAGCTGAAAATTATAGAATAATAATTCATCCATACAATACAATAAAAATGATAAGGAATAATCTATCTCCGTTATACAAACAGTAAAGACAAATTCACAAATCTACATATATAAAAGAGAATCTTATACAAAGAGTACATAGCACATTTACAAATGATCAATGAAAATAAATTAATGACGGAACAAAGCTACATAAAAATCGCATTAGAATAGACTGGAAATAAAACAAGGCATAAAAAGTATATCCAGCAAGCAGGTACGCTCGGACGATCGAGCAATGGCAGCTGATTTTGACAATAGTCATGGGGTATGAAGCTGGGCATTAACCTTGGCCATCACGGCATTTTGCATCATGAATTTCGAACTTGAAAGGCAATCAGATCCCGAATAAATAATCAGAATGTTACGAGAATACGATAAAGAGAAGAAAACTGATAAAATCCAGGATAAAAGGACATAGGGTACGCTGTTAACATAACCAATTCGTACTGTCAGTGACGTCGCGTCAGTATACGGCGCCAAAATTCCGATCGTCTCAATTAGTACCTTGCGAGTCTTTTCTACGCAATTTTAAAGCGTGCATGATCAAATAGGAAAAATTAGTAGGATTACGTTGTGGCATGCTTTCTTATGTAGCAGACAAAGGAGAAAGCTTACCAGTGTGATCCTGTATGTTTATGGTACTCCACTGCTCTCCCTTGAGTCACCGTACGTCCTTACGCAGTTCGAATATAGCTGTCCTTATTCCACTCCTTCAGATTCTTATAGCATACTGCTCTATACTTCCTTCGATCGCAGCTGTCCGGACGCTTCGTTCTCGCGGCAGAGTGACTCGTCGTCGCTCTGTGAATTGACCCATCGAGATGGCCACGCTCATGATTTCCGTGATGCAATATCCGTAGTTTCATGCGGATATCACATTTGAATGAAATTTTTTAAATAGATTTTAATAGATTAATTTATTAAAATTAGTGGATCAGATGGACGATTTCAATTGATAATTGGGATTTGTTTAAGGAAATAAAATGCTTTTATAATTTGTAAATTATCATAAGAAACTTGTAGTAAAGTTACATTCTTTTTTAATACAGTTGATTCGCTATTGCTAATTATTCACCAGTGGTTGACAAATGGCGGAATTGTTTTTATCGGGGAACTGTCAAAAACTTAAATTCTTTATCGGTTCATGAATATAAATAATTAATAACGCGAGATGGATACCCCTTTGGAAAAAGTCGAATTGCATGCAGACGTTTATATGGTTTGCTTGCAACATGCACTTTCTACTGAAAACTTTGAGGTTATGGGTTTGCTGATTGGTAATGTAAGTCAAACTTTATTTTAGATAATCGTTATGTATTGCTAAAATTCTTGATTATCTCTTTAGTTCATTAATGGCGTTGCTAAAATATCAGCTGTTATAATCTTGCGTCGTTTGGACAAGAAGAAAGATAGAGTAGAGATTTCATCGGAGCAAGTTTTGAAAGCTGCTGCCGAGGCTGAAAGACTAACTGTTGAATTACAAAGGCCTATGCGTGTTCTTGGCTGGTATCACTCTCATCCACATATTACTGTATGGCCATCTCATGTTGGTAAGCAAGTTTTAGCTTCACATTTGTTATTAATATATTTTATATAATAACTCTATACCTTAAAATTAAAACTATACATTTTTCCTCTATTCAGATGTAAGAACACAGGCAACGTACCAGACAATGGATCATGGCTTTGTTGGTCTGATCTTTTCTGTGTTCTCTGAAGGTAAAGATTCTAAGGTAAAGCCATCCATATCCATAGATATTTCATTGATATTGTATTACATTACACAAATGACAAATTTTGCAATAGGAACAAGAAGTGCTGGTCACATGTTTTCAATCTCATAATGGAGAGGCTACTGAAATTCCATTGGAAATCATGTACACACCAGATATCTCGGATAGATGTTTAAAGGTGATTTTATGCCAGTACAATTTTTAATTGTGCAATTAAATATCTTAACATGATTATACAGACGATGACCGACCTGCCGAAAATCCTAGTTCAGGAAGAAGAAGACACTGCAGAATCCTGTAGAAATCATCCAGACATTCTTGCTTCCATACATAATAACGCAGGTAACTGTAAAAATTTCCTTCCTAATTGTACAGTTTACTCATAAATAAAATGGATCAGTATTCACAAACAGTGATCCATTCTGTTTATTATCTGTGAGATCACTAAGTTATAACGACATTAATGATAACGAATCACTATTATATTACTGCATTGTTAAAATTTCATTTTCAGTGAGAACACGCGCCCTGGCACACATAACGGACATCGTGACGAAGCCATTGTTATTAACTTTTGAGGAACGAATAGCACTGAATAAAATTCGTGCAGCACATCTGCGTAGGCAGCTTCAGGATTTGCAGAAGATATACAACGTTTAATAAGAAACACTCGATACTTCTCTTCATACTCTCTACTTTGGCCATAAGAATTTGTCTCTCCGATAAACTTCACTATGCATCTTACTATCAGTAAATGACAAAAGCTTCGACTCCGAATTCGCAATACACTCGTTAGATTTAATGTTACACGTGTGATTGTACAATTACAATCTAGGATAATTTTTTTTAAATAAAGTTTTCGTTGCGTTCTCAAATAAAATACTGTTCGTATTCCGTATTCATTCATTAGAGAACAACGTGGCGCTTTCTGGTACGAAACAATTCACATAACTCTAATCTGATTAAAGAAATTTGGTCCCGACCTTACGATCGCCCTGTATAGACATAATGATAAACTTTTGAAATCAAAGACACTAAATGTCATAAGACTTTCCTTCGCAGCGCCCCATTACTAAAATGAGATACAAGCACGAAAAAGTTGAAAAGTGAGTCGAAAACTTTATCTTTTGACTTTGATACGTGTTTGTAATCTCAATAAAAAGAAGTGGGCAATGCTCGGACCAATTAGCTATTTTTATTAGACCTTTCACGAACAAAGATCGGGCGACAACTGCACAGCGATATACGTATTTATAATATGTACACTACGAGAACAGTGTGAATAGCTTTTTAGATGAGCTACGAATCTCAGAAGACAGATTCAGCAGAGCGCGAAAGATGAATAGGATGTGAAGGACTGCGTGCCAATCTCTTTCTCGGCAGTTTATCCAGGGTGGTCAATAATTTAGCAAAATCAGGTCGATTCTCCGCATGATAGGACCAACATAGCATTAATATGTCCTAAAAGAAAAAGACTTACGTGTCAATACGACCGGAGAGGTAAAGCTATAAAATTAGTCTAAACAGATAACTTCGTACCTTGACGTCTCTGGATGCCTGTAGATTAGCCAGGGTTTGCTTCATTCCTTTACCCACCTGCCAAATAATTGCCTCAGGTGGTTGGCCCTTGAAAGGCCACTCGCCGCATAGAAGCTCATACCAGACAGTTCTGTATTAGAGAGAATAATTTAGACATAAATAGATACTCTTGATTATTAAATCTATAATTAAAACTGACCCAAATGCATAAACGTCAGAAGCATCCGTAAACGGAAGTTCCTCCTGATCACGATTTTGCTGAGGTCTCAAACGTCTGACTATTTCCGGGGCTAAATAGCACAGCCAACCAGGTGGTATACTGAGACCATTTCCTTTTCTGTAGAACAAAAATAAAATAAGTACACATAGTACGGAATAAATGTAAGTAATGAATTTATAAAGGCGTACCTGTTCCCGTAACAGAGTTTGGTAACGCTGAATAGGCCAAAGTCAGTAATAACGACTTTGCCGTTCTCCAAAAAAATATTTTTACTCTTGAGATCCTTATGGACTATTCCACGTGCGTGGAGATATCCCATTCCCTGATAAGAATGATAAAAACGATAAATAAAATTTTCATACACTAAAGAACTCGTTTGCCAGAAGAGTGAGAAACAAAATAGCCGAGTCTGGTCGACTGTAGATTACAGAAAGAAAGTAAACGGAGATTGAAATAAAGTAAAAAAAAAACCAGAGATAAAACGTACATTCCTTAGGAATGGTCATAGGATATAGATACCTGAGAGATCTGTTGGGCGATGATAGTGGTCTTATTCATATTAAATTTATCTTTACGCAGATGAATGTGAGTGTAGAGAGTCATGCCTTTGCTCATACTAGTCACTATCGCCAAGCGAGGAGGCTTCATGCAAGCTCCCATAAATAAAACTAGATTTTCGTGTCTGGTTTTTCGGAATGTTGCCACCTAGAATTGTCAGGGGGAAGAAAACAAACATCTGTCAATGGTGACGATTCGCGTTGCCGGACGCCATTAACACATTCCCAACCATCGAACCTAATAAAATTTCAATGCAATACGCATTTGACAAATACGATTAAATAATTAATCGCCAGTGCTTCGCGAAATTTTATTATAAACATCAAACAGACGCTTGAAAGCGTTGTATTTTTTCACTGATAATAGAAGGGATAACATTTGTATTTCTACCAACAATCCAGTAGTACGGACATTCATGAGCAATTAATAGTAATATGTGTAAGGGTAAGGAATGTGTTAATATCGCGGTTCTTAGCGTTAAGGTGCCTCCCATAATAAATGCTACCAGACCCAGTGAATTAAAAGTCGTTACGTATCGAACGTGTTAATTAATCGCGCGCATTACCGACTAGAAAAGCTAAAGAGGATTCCAGTTTGCAGTACTCAGAAAGGATTTTTAATGAGTAAAAATATTCACCTCTAATTTGAATGCTTCTAGGGTTTTGTCGTCATCCAGGTAATAGTCCATGTTCAATACTTTGATTGCTACGTCGCCGTGCCAGTTTCCTCTGTAGACTGTACCGAATCGACCGGTACCAATAGGTTCACCAATCTTGAGTTCATCATAGGGAATGTCCCACTCACGCATGGATAACTGTCAATGGAATAAATTTTGGATAAATATTTATTAGATGTTGTTTAGTCTGGTAAGTGTTACGTACACTGTTCTGTCTAGGCCAACGACTATCACCAGGTTCTCCATCTGAGACTTGTGAATCCTGAGAATCAACTCGCACTGGAGTTCTTTCAGAATCTGTACTGACACTACCAGATCCAGAAATACTGACTGTCCTTTCACTGTCACTCGATACTGTTGTACCTTCCAGTCGATGAGTTTCCAAAGTTACTCCTTTGTCATTCAAGGTGACATCTGAACAAAAATATATATATATTACATAAAACCAATATTCTGCCTGATTAATTTATATCAAACAAGTTATTTTTACCTGGAAAGTGAAATTGTTGCTTTACAGAAGCCTGCGGTGTTTGTGTCGCATTTGTAGGAAGCAAAGCTGGACTAGAAGGCGTTGAGCTATTACAGCTCGAAGTATTTGAACTAGAATCTGCACCCTAATTTTGAAAAAGAAATAATCCATTACAGTCAATTTAAATAATACAAATATTTATCGTATTTAGCTTCACTAACCTGAAATGGGATGTTCATAGAAGCGTGTGGATGAGAACGTTTGCGATCTCTCCTATTTAATGAAGTTAGTAAGTTAGAATTATGATGATTCGGCGAAGTAATGCCTGGCTTGCTTAGGATGGGCGAAACGTTGACCATCCCATCAGCTTGGAGAGTCCTTTTAAATTCATCAAAAAGTTCCTGAGGAAGTCCACAAGAAGGTGGTACTTTTGACTCGCAGTCTCGGTGACACTTATACTTGCACTCCTTGCACTTGAGGCCAGTCCCAATGAACATCTGTTTATCGCAGTAATCGCAAGTAGTCATCATCTTGAAAGTCTTTGTGAATCGATGAGCTATTATATGACCCATGCCACGAGTCACTGTTGGAGTCCTTGGAGACTTTGGCACCTGGAGACTCGTAACTGTAAAACATAAAAAACTTGAATATATTCACGCACAACAAGACCGAGTATATTATTCACCATACTACAATATTATGTACCAGTTCCTTTAAAACTGTTGTCATCACTGTCTGCGCTGGAATATGGTGGAGACTTTATAGGACTATTACTGTTTGGCAAGAGACTCTCTCCTGTAATATCTGCGGTACTGCTACAAGAACCAGGCTCTGTAGGTAATCTGCTTCTTCTGCCAGTAACTTGATGCTCATTTCCACCACTATATCATAAAATTTAATTAGAGACTAAAAGTAATTAAACAGTCAATACTCTATTGGAATAAAAATAAACCTGGAAGCTGTTTCTCCATTTTCAAGACGATTCGCCAGCTGGGATTCGTGCGACTTAGATTTGGTCAATGGAAAAACTTCAGGTTGCGACACTGTACTTTGCAATCCAATCTGATGTTTCTTGCCGGGTGGTGGGGTTGTGGGGAATTTTACACCGACTGTAGAGAAAAACTAATCTTTGAACAAACATCCACTGTAAATATACCCGTTCACTGTTAAAATATGCATGCACAATAGTACTTTGTAAATTAAAGACCTGCTTAGAAGAATTCTAGTACAGTGAATGGGTTACCAGGATACAATAATCTTACCGCGACCTTGTCTCATGAGCAAAGGTGTAGTTGGTGGACTAGTTGAAAGTGACATCACCGATGATGCCTGGCCCAATGTATCGTTGAGGTTGTTGTTGTTGTTGTGGTACGGAATGCTATCTTCAGAAGGAACTGAGCTACGTGTTACTCTAGATCGTATTGGCCTTGGCGATGGACCAGTACGCATATGGTGACGATCCCAGGAATCCCAGTACAGATTCATCTCGCTGTTATCCATATCACCACGTAGCAGGACATCTGTTAAATAATTAAAATTGAATTAAACCACCGTATTAAGTACTAATGTTAGAATTGTTCTGTATGTTATTTACCCATATAACGGCGTAGATTGTGCAAAGCTCGACAAAGTCTTCGCAATTCTTCTTCATGGCGAATATTGTTTTCACCCAGCATACTTCCTAATTCATGTTCAGACTTTTCCTTCAATGCCTCTAAGGAGTGTGCTTTCGAGCATACCATCTGTATAATTATGAGTACAATTAATTAATAAATAATTTCCTGGTTGGCACATGTGTTTGATATTCTTACCTGTATAGATTCCTGATTAAGTCCTACTACTCTCAACCATTGTTGCAGTGATGGATACTGTCTCATTTCAGCAGGCAGTAAGTCAACTGAAAGTTTTGCCTTTGTGACAAGTTGTTTGGAGTATAGCTTGATGAGTTTGCCCTGTGACAAAGAAAAAAGATACCATAGGAAGAGAGTTAGAACAGAAATATTTGGAATCGTTATAATAATACTACTAACATTTTTCTCAAAGTGTCCTTATATTAAACTAACAAAAATTAAAACACAACTTCACCATAAAGAAGGCCTATAGTACTGATGTTCCAATGACTCAATGCATTGCACCAATTTCATTATTAACCCTAATCGTCAAAAATATTAAAAACAGATGAAAGAAAATCAAGAAAAGTGAAGAATGAACTGAATAAGTAGAATACTCCAAAATCTCACAACTATTCCCTAAAGACTGTTCGTATAAAATCTCATGAAATTACAAAAGAATGCGAAAAAGAGTTTAAGTAGGATCATTAGATCGAAATAATGTGGTTTCTACCTCGAGAGTTCGAATTTCTTGCTGAGTAAGTTCGGCACTAGTGGAACACTGAGTGCGCAAACCCTCGAGCCGATCGGCCGAGATGTCAATCATGGATTGAACGACGTCCAAGGCTCGTCGTATCTCCTGCTCTGGCTCTTCACCGTCCGCCATTCCTCTTCTTGACTTCCTCCTCGTAGCGAGCCCTTCGCTGCTCTATTGTCCTGACGACATACTGCCTGCCCAACCCGGCACCCCTTCCGAGTTCCTCACTACGTTATCACCGACTTTACAAGTAACCAAACCACTTATCAACATTGACAACCATCTTGGCGGCCTATCAGTGACGTCAGACGATCCCGGCTATCTGGGATTTCACAGAGAAAAGCTTCTATTGCAAAAGTTTTGCCCTTAGGGCGAATTTCTAACAAGCGCATTGCCGACGGAGTATTTATTTTTAGTTTTTATTTATAATATACTTTAAAATCATATTACTAAACAATTCTCTATCTGACATATGAATATTCATTACTTTTCATTATCTCACTCAACATTTCAATGTTGTCTGTATATACATGCATCTTCGTGCTAATAGATTTAACATTTTTAAAAGGGGACTTAAAATTTTGAATATTTAATCACTAGTGAAACCGTTTCATAAAAGATTTTATTTATTTAATTCTCAAGGAGTATTGATCTTATTGTTCAAAATTTGTCTTTACCAAACGTCCATAAAAACATCTAAGTTATAGAACGGTTATAGCATTGAGCTCCTATCATGAGGTTTCCTTGCAAATCTTTTATATGCTCCGTGATCACTGCCATTTATTCGTCTCTCTTTATGTCATGTATCCGACTGTCAGATTTCATATGGTGCGCTCGGATTGCGAGCTTTATTGCAGTGTTCTTATTGTATGTTAACATTAATTAAAATTCACAAACATGGTGAATATAGAAACTATAAAGCGGACGTATCCGCTACACTGGCTTGTGTGGAATAACAACTACGATGAACTCGATAAGGAACTGTCTACCAACCAGGTGAAATCATCTCCAGATTTTACATATTTTCACTTGTCAGATTAACCTCGCCCATAACCTACTTAATTAACCGAATTTGGTAAACGTAATCGATTTGAAAAATTACGTGCCAGTATGACTCATGCATGGGAAAGGAAGAAACCTAGAAGCCTTACAAATTAGAAACCCTACATGTGTACTTTGCACAAAATCTTCTAAGGTTCACCATAATGCCCATCTTAGCATAGTACATAACTTTCACTTTATCATTTTATCTCAATTAAGATTATCCATGTCTCCTTTTTTTGGTTTCTTAAATGTGTAAATAAATGTATGATTATGTTTATAAGTTTGTTATTGTTTTAGCATGATAAGGAAAAAAGTGATAACAGAGGCAGAACACCGTTAATGCTGGCTGTTACCCTTGGTCATGTCGAGTCTGCTAGAACTCTATTACATCATCAAGCCAATGTTAATACAGAAAATACGCAAGGATGGAGTAGTAAGATTTTGATAGATTGCTCTTAGATGATGTAATAAGGTATTCCTAATAGTGCTTCTTATAACTATTTTTAATAATCATGTTATAGTTGTGCAAGAAGCAGTTGGTACTGGAGATCCAGAATTACTACAAATGGTTCTTGCACGTAGGGACTATCAGCGATATAGTAATCGTATTGCTGGTATTCCAGAATTATTACACAAATTAAAACAGGTTTGTTTTTGAATTAATATATTAGTGTATTCTAAAAATAGCAGAAATTATAATAGTGATACTATTTACAGGCACCAGATTTCTATGTAGAAATGAAATGGGAATTCACCAGCTGGGGTACAAATAACATTACTCATTTTCTTTTCCAATATACAATCAAATTTTTTGTCCAATATAAAACATTCATTTTGTAGTTCCCTTAGTCTCTCGAATGTGTCCTAGTGATACGTACAAAGTTTACAAACAGGGCAGCAATGTTCGTATTGATACAACCTTATTGGGCTTTGATCACACTAACTGGCAGCGTGGAAACCGTAGCTATATTTTCAAAGGTCAAAGTGAGTATAAAATAAATTAATACAATCCCATTTTTGTCTATCATTTTATCTTTTGCAAAAATAGTCTAAGTTTAATTACAAATTATTACTCTGAACACAAGCCGTAGTAAATGTTCTTTAATTTCTAGATGATGGCGCAACTATGATGGAGGTGGATCATGAGACCAGGAAAGTCTATGTGGAGCACATGAAACTAATTGGTGATGATAACGAACAAATTTCCCAACCCTCTGAAGATGGTATCATATCTCGGTTGACGAATCCTATCGTAACCACTTATATAGACACAGATAAAATAAGCTTTGAAAGGTACATCCTCTTTATATCAGCAATAACAATTTTCTCATTAAATCATGCAAGCTACGTTCAAGATTCTTTCTATAATTCTCTTATAGAAATAAGGCAGGACTTTGGGGTTGGCGTTCTGACAAGAGTGAAGTCGTAAATGGACACGAATGCAAAGTCTTCAGTGCGAGTAATGTAGAACTTATAACAAAAACCAGACTAGAACATTTATCGGAATCAGATAAGGCGAAAGCTCGTTCACCCAGGACTCCATTACAGTCCTTTTTGGGGATCGCAGAACAACAACAAGAAAATGCAACGGTAACTGCCAGCGTGAGTAAACAAATTGCTTGAAATCGAGATACTTCGTACTGTATTAAGGTTTTTATCTAAAAATATATATTTAAATTTTTTCCAGGAGGAATTCAGCAACATAGGTAACCCCTGTAATATCACTCCCGAAGAATACTTCGATGCCGACATCGACTTGAATGGGAAGGACATCGGTAGACCTAAAGAAATGAACACAAAGATTCAGAAATTTAAGGTACTTTTTCTCATAGCAAGTCATTACATAGTAGGTTGGCTCCTGAAAACAGAAACTGTTAACGTTGGTTCCTCGAGAATATATATAGTCGCAAGAACCTGAATACTTGGTTGCATATTAGGTCGGATTGTTTAACCGCAGGCAACACTATGGCTTAGCGAAGAGTATCCACTGAGCCTCCAAGAGCAGATTATGCCCATCGTTGACCTCATGGCGATATCCAGCTCGCATTTTGCTAAGCTGAAAGACTTCATCCAGATGCAACTACCGGCTGGATTTCCTGTCAAGATTGGTAAAATTTATTTTCAATAGATTAAAAATTTTCAACTCGCATTATGAAAAACATTTTTTTTCTTAATAGAAATCCCACTGTTTCACGTGCTCAACGCCAGGATAACGTTTGGAAATATCTTCGGCTTGGACCAAGAAGTATCACACGTAGGCCGTCTTCAGGAATCCAATAGAATGACCTGCCTTGTTGATGATGTCTGCTTTGAAGCTCCCACTGGATACGTGAAGCTTGGTAAAAATAATCTTCACAAGAATATAAATCTTGTCCAATATATTCAAATAATCGATTGTTATTTAATTACAAGTATTATATTGAATTAGCAGGTGCTGAGGTACGAAGACAATTCAGTATCGAGGAAGAGGATGACCTTCTTCAGTTCGCTATACAACAGAGCCTTCTTGAAGCTGGTAGTGAACGTGATGAGGTTGTATTAAGTTAATTAATTAATATATAACATATAATGATACTTGTACTAATTAAAATATTCGATTTTTAAGGTTGATATATGGGAGGCTCTTAGAGCACAAAAACCGTCCCGTCCAACAACCCCTAATATGATGACAGAAGAGGAACGACAACTCCAAAGGTATGTACGATTGTTGCCGGAATTATTCAATTCAGCATGTTATTGCATTAATATTACTCCTGTTCCTTTTGCATGTTTACTTTCCTGTATATTCTTACTCAGAAAGGTGGGTCAGTAGAGTAGCCTTCGTTGAGGAGAATGAAAATGTAAAAACAAAGATAAAAGGGGGTCACTAAATAATCATAAATTTCAAGGCAACGTTAGTCTATGAATTTCTATTTTATCTCAGGGCCATACAGGCGAGTCTGGTTCTTTACCAAGAGAGAGCTGGATGTACAGAAGAGGAAGGGAATGCGAACACAACTGGAAGTAACGACGAAGACGAACAAAGTTCACTGGAAGGAACTGCTGAACAGTTAAGATTGGCTTTGAGGTTGTCGGAGCAGCAACAGCTCGAAGAGGAGCAACGTCGTCTTCTGGAAGAGGAGACTTTCAGACAGGTTCTCGAGCTTTCACTTACTGAGAAGTGAAATTTAACTTGAATGACGATAGAAAGACACGTGGAATGGTTGTGGCAGAAATTGAATTAACGATAAAATGAAAAAAAAAAAGCTTCCTTGGGACGGTTTAAAGAATTGAGTACGTTATTTATTTCTTAGGCATGTTTAATATGAGAGTCCGTAGCGATACGTTTCGCCAGTTGACGAAGCCTTGAAAATTACAGAGATATAAATAATAGGGCAGGTGGAGATGGTAAACTGAAAGTATTGCATTGGTGCATAAAGGAAAGTGAGAGAACGTTAATAAAAGAATAAGGTGAAATAAAAAACAGCTATGGGAAAAAATTTCTTAAAATGTCAAACGGGAGTATCGTTCCTGTTTCACGTGAATCATCCTAACATTTGAAAGTATATATACTGTAAGACATTTCAGAAGTGTCAATATTCGAATAAATATGCGCTTGTAATTCTCAAGTCTTCAGCCACTGATCACCTCGTTCTTGATTTTTGGGTTAGTCGCGATGTGTTCAACTTTCCTTGGCGCGACTCTAAAGTGTTCACGAACTCGTTTAAATAAAATGAGAGAAAAGCCTTGATAATCTTGAATGTTTTCGCTACACGCATGCATACGACATTACGCCAGATTGGTTAGCCCGTCGTAAAGGTATATTTGTATAAAGTAATTTTACAGTTACATTGAGTCATTCAAATGAAATACCAATAAAGTGATACAATAACAATACTCGATAAAGAGTGCAGACATGATTCGCATTTACTCTCTCGATGCGTATCGCTACTCAAATTCCGACTGGGCCCTGGAATATAAATGAAAGGTTATTTATCTAAGGCTAGTTAAATGGCGAATAATGTTCCTGACGTGTATATTTAAATATGGTTGGTACGCACCTACGGTAAATGGTACCCAGTATGTTAGCGCTTTGCGCAAAGCGCTGTTCATTTTTATGAGCTTGCTGGTGCCATTTTTTTCGTACTGCAATCCAATGCGGTATGTGATCCCGCAGTAATGTCTCGCGGGATTTCAGCGTTTGTCCCTCCTGTACCAACAATTTATAACTAGTTACTAACGATAGATTATACTCGTTAACAAGAAAGAAAAGAAAAAGAAATAATGGACTATAGAAGTATTCTTAATTATTTATAATTTTTTATCACGTGGATACGCATTAGATAATGATTGCAAACTCCTTACTCACTAATCACTATAGTCAGACTCAATACTTATATTTACCTGTTTTAAGTTCATAAGAGTGTTATTCTTTCTATATGTAGTAATACGTAAGTGCTAGTTGAAGATACTCACATAATCCAAATTCAGTTCTTCTTTGCTCCCTGGTATCGGGGATGGAATTCTATTCTTTGGCAATGCTTCCTCTCTTGGTAACGGTGCAGGTAACGTAAAAACGTCTCTCAATTCTCCATCGATATTTATTACATTATTTGTAGAATTCAAATCATTTAAAACTTCTGGGCTGGGGCTTCGTATTCTATAAATTTGTATAGCGATGGTTAGTAAATGCTTAAATGACTTTAATTAAAAATTCAGATACTAACTTAGGCACAAGATTTGGATTTCTTGGTTGATTTGCCATCCAAGCCCTACAGATTGGATAGAGTGGAGTATCTTCACGAAATTGAGCTAGATCTACACTGCGGTCAAACAGTTTCATTACATATGTATGATGAAAGGCTGCATCCATTGGAACCTGTCTCCTACGACGGATCTTACGTGGTTGCTGGAACCTCATTGTCTTTGACGGGTACATTGTCTCTCTGAAAAAACATCGTTTAACATTCCAATTGAATACGCGTTTAAGAATTGAATCGTTGAGTGTTTCAGGGGTTTACATTTTTTTCAAATGATGCTTGTAATCATGAGACGAACTCTCCTCACTCGAATCAGCTGAAGAACCTGTATCACTGTGCTGTAATAACTCACGTAAAGCACCTTTCAGTCGATCTCTAGCAACGAGTACATCGTTATCACCTATCAAAAACACAATATGCAAATTAATCTCGAGACGGAATGTTTTCTCACGATTAACTATCCAACAATGGAGAAAAACATATTGTAGATCTCAGGTTAAATTGAGATATTTTACCTATTTCGTCTTTCACTTCCACTTTAACGCGTCCCGGTATTACGGAGTGTGAATGTCTCTTTTTACCCATCTAAAACCATTAAAAAAGAATTTTATATTTTATTCTTCAATGATTGTTTACATAAATAAATTGAGATTTTTTATTCTACGTTCGCATCTGATTATATTGAATACGCATGTTTGAAAATATATTCTTCATCTCTAACCCAGTATCGTCGTCTTACCTCTATTTTCTTTGTGCAAATGAATTAATAAATTAAATTTGTATAAATGTTTAATATCCTTGTTGATAAACGTCAGAAGTGTTATAGGTTAAACGTACGCGCCATGTTACAATCGATTTTTCGCTTATAAAGCTACTAGGGGTCTAACTCACGGTCTTACATACAGGTCTTTCAACTCCGATGGAGGAGGTAGCCTGTTAAAAAAGCATCTTTCATTTCGCCTCATGACCACAAGAGGCGTTGCGATCAAGCGACCCGTTCCTATTTCTCTCTCCCACAGCCGACTGTAGAGTGAGATAGATAAGGGATCATTCGATCACAGCGACGCTTGTGACTGAAAGTTAAAATGCACCCTACCGTGCTTCTGCTCGCCAAGTTGCACGTTCATTATCGCGGTCAACTCGGCTACGATGGGATACGCATTATCGACGGAGGCGATGATCACAAGATCCTACTCCCGGGCTCGTTGCTACGATTTAGCGTCATGCTTTTGGTCTCGTTTAAAAGCGGAGCGTTGTGCATCTCCTTACCCATTTCTGTTATTTGTTCCATGATTTTCAAACTATAATACAAATTCAGGCATTTGCTTGATATGCTTGATTAAGTTTTCTGTACAAACATTAATTTATTTTACAGTAAATATTTCAACAGTGTCGTCAAAATTAACTGCAATATTATCCAAATTGTGTTCTAACGGCAAACAAGAATGGCGAAACATCATCCTGATTTAATTTTCTGTCGAAAACAACCCGGTGTTGGTATGTATCAGTTAACCTGTTTAGAGAATTATTTTTCATAATTAATATAAATTCAAGTTATGTATTTTATGAGAATATCTAATTACTATAAGTAGTAAGTGGCAATATGCACAGTAAACTAATCATTTATTTTTTGAGAATGTATTTTTATATACATTGATATAAAATAATTGAATTATTTTACTTCCTTACAGCTATTGGACGTCTATGTGAAAAATGTGACGGAAAGTGTGTTATATGCGATTCATATGTGCGACCATGCACTCTTGTAAGAATCTGTGATGAGTGTAATTATGGTTCGTACCAAGGACGTTGTGTCATATGTGGTGGACCTGGTGTATCGGATGCATACTATTGCAAAGAATGTACGATACAAGAAAAAGATGTAAGTTCCATTAATTAACAAGAATTATAACGTGTATTAAATGTACAATTAAATCTGATGCTCTGTATTTTCAGCGTGACGGTTGTCCAAAGATTGTCAATCTTGGAAGTTCCAAAACAGACTTATTCTATGAAAGAAAGAAATATGGTTTTAAGAGGCGATAATTTTACTATTAATAAATACTTAGCTATAACTTTTATCACGATAATAATGAATCGAAGCTCATACGATGAGAATTTACTACCACCATACGCGTTTAAGAAATAAGGAAATAAAGTTTACAAAATTTTTGAACATTTGTCAGTTTATTGAACTCACGTGAATTGATTATTATATGTCATTACGTCATTAGTTAACGTCGAATACTATTATACAATACTTCCTACTGAATAATCAACGGCGGATACATTTTATTTACAGATAAATTATGCTTATATCAGATCCCTGTAAGCGAGACCTGTCGTTATAGATATTGGACGCTACAATTGTTTTGTTCATAAATCATATTTTCACTTTTTTATTCCCTAAATCTCTAAATTACCACGCATTGGTATTTCTATCAATGTACCTGACACCGAACAAGCACAAAAATATCTAAAGATATTCATACGACGTATCTACACCAATATATCTCACAATATTCATATATAATATCTGTATATATACAATTTGTCCTCAAGATCATAAAATTCATGTTTTTTTTTTTTCATACTATTTCATCTTTTTTTATATCGTCTCATTTATATAGGCTTTTACGAAAATAGACTTCGGCACAGCATTAATAGCATTCGTATTAAAAATAAAGATGCAGTGTACGATAGCAGGAATACAATTCTGCAATTGACAACTACGCACATGCTAAAAGATCTAACAAAGAATATCGATTTGCATATAGGAGAGCTAGATTCTAGTCTTCTCTATATTATTAACTGCTAATACTGAGTTCCCGTGGAATTAATGTGATGCTCAGAAAGTATTGACATACATTAGGAATACTAAATGCTTGAAAATACTAGACAAGTATCCTGCATAACTGATGACAAAATCGGATATCATTTTGCCTATTAAAATTCTCCACTCTCTCTTTCTCAGACGGAATGATTCAACAGATTATTGCTAGTTCTGTTACGATTGCTTATGAAAATAATTTTTTATCAGGTCTACGTTGTCTCACCACCCAAATAACATATAACCATAGTTAACATTTTCTTTTTTTAGTCCTGCTTTGTATTATCTTGCGAAGTTGATTGAGCCGTCATTGCTCCATTCGCCTTTTTGACTTCTCATCTGGACAGTGATGAACTGGCAATAGACCGGCCACTTACGGCTGATTGTAGGCTCATCATAGATCCTCTGAAAAGTTAATTATTATATTATTGTTATTTACCTGTATAAAAAGCCCTTCCTTAGAAATTCTATTTACTTGTAGTGAACCGATGGCAGTGTTTCGTAGAAATACATAAGCTGAGCCTTATGAGAACTTATAGATGGTAAAAATTCTCCAGGTTCCTCTTGATGTTGCCATTGCAGGATGTAAAGACCTGCCTCTTGCATTATATGAGTACCCTGACAAGAAAGCAGCAAACACTTAGCTTTCTCTTTGTTACTCGACAAAGAGGACTAATTAATGAATTCCTCGTACCTGTATGCTTTCTCCGTCGTGGCAAATCACACTGGGTTCAACTTTAACACAATCGACGCCTTCTTTCCATTCCTTGGTCATAGCTAGTTCAAGTTCTGATGGACTCGGTACCTCAGAGTTGGCTGGAAATTATTATAATAAGCCATCGAAAAGTCTCAATGAGTTTTATAAGTGAAATGAAAGATAGGATACCTGGGTTTCTATCAATTTCATTATCCTTAGTATGATGTAAAACAGAGAAGAGAACATTGTGTCTCATAACGTCAAAGTCCCAGGTAAGAACAGCACCTGGGTCATCGCAGTGGATGACAACATGATGTGACTGACCACGGCTCAAGCTAATAGAGTGGTAAAGACTATGTTCGTGCTCACTGGATGTAGTTTCCAGGTCAAGTCTGTACAAATTCTTGGGAACGACGCCACCCTCGACGATGTAAGTCTGTTCATTGAGGAATAAAATCTAATTAATCTTGGATATTGGCTATAATTTTGTTGAACATAGTAAATGAGTGGTCATCGAGCCGGGTGCTAAAGTGATACGAAAGACTATATCTATATTTCTGACTAACCCACGTAGCACGTGTATCTTTATGTTGTATTTAATGATTGAATTGACCAAACGTGAATTGTGCGACACAGACAACATTTTTTTTAATAACTTTTTGTTATTTTGCTTTTTGTTTTTGTTCTTTCGTATCTTACAGTGGCTGCTGTCATGTCGAATATGTAAAATCGTTGTGGTACCATACCGTAGATCTCACAAACTCCTTCCTGTTAGTCAATAGAACTTATTATTTATCTAAAGTTAATCGTGTGGCAATAACGAGACATTTTGCGCTTCTCAGAAAAATAATATACAGTGTACTTCTTATTAGAGAAACAAGTATTACCTCAGACGGTCCACCCAAGAAGTCAGGAATGAAGTCCGGATTGATATAATCTCGTAATCCACCCGAGCCTTGTTCCTGGTAATCGGTGCCGCAATAAAATACAAACTTGTTTCGTGTATTCTCATCTATAAAATAAACATGGAATGAATTAATCTAAAGAATTGTTAACTATACGTGAGTTTATGTTTTCCAATGTTGACGCTTACGGATAAAGGTGCTTATCAATGTCCAGAGTATTGGGAAGCAACGTGGTGCACGTATAATTAGGACTCTGCCCATCGTTTCTGGATAATTTGCCTCGACAATTTCAATGATACGAAGTAGAGCCTGGAAAAGAAAAGTATTCATTTATTTAAAGCAGCTAAACTGGATCACTGGAAGGAATTACGTATCGACCGAACAGCGTGTAGTTTGCATAACAGCGGTTAAAAAAAAAAGTAGTTTATCGTGTCGTGGCAGGGAAAGGTCATTCCAAGTACTAGAATATTGACAGACAATTATCCTAATAAAAGTACACGTTGACGAATCAACAATGAGTACGTACCTTAATGCCAGGTCTCCATAAGTGTCGCATATTTAATCCCTCTAAATCAATAAGAAGCGACCATTGCGAAACTGGGTGTCCCCATACCGTCGTGGCTTCATCCATTAACGAGAGACCTTCCTCGCAAACGTGTAAAGCCTGCCAAATAACATTTACGTAATTACTAATTGTTTTCTAGAAAGAAGTTTTCTATTGCGTATCATTTTACCAATAGAAGCAATTCGTCCTCTCCGATACTCTTCAAGAGACCCTTGACATCCATTTGGCCAAGTCGTAGAACATAGAGTGGTCTACCGTCTGTAATTTAAAAAATTAATTTTCATACAATAATAGAGTTGATTGGCATCATTTTTATCTTTCTTACGACTTATTTACCTTTGTCAAAATGATGCCAGCCTCCTGGAAAGTAATCCTTGACTACTTGTGGCGCCTCGTATTCTTCCAACAGGCGATCTACCTGATGCTTCTTTCTCCAGTGCAAGGACTGCGTCAACATCTCCCTCGCCTTCTCCACGGAGAATTCTCTGGCGCGTAAGAAACGGAGTAACGTTGCATCAGGTGGGACTGAACTGCCACGAAGTTCTTCTATGCTATGACGCAATTGAACCAGTCGACTCTCTTGCATCATGTCCAGTTTTCCCAAATAACGTTCTATGTAATCTGAAGATAATTGCATATCTGCAAACAACAGAAATATATATTAAAGGTGCATGTTCCGTTGTCACTTTGAAAACACTAAAAGCAAAAATTACTCACCTCGAGTACTTGGTAATTTTGTTTCAGCAACGCACAGCTCTTTTTTCTCTTTGTCCTCTTCTTGAACACTTTCTCTAAAATATATTGTTACGATAGAAATTGCACTAGAATATTATTATGTTATTTATATTAAACTTACAAATTCTCATCCTTCAAATCAATTTGCTTAAGTGGATCTACCCAGGGTGCTACGTAGGTAATTCCTTCTTCTTTTAATTGGTTTACAAAATATTCGATTATCTCTTTTCCCTGAAATTATTAGTAGGAAAATCAGTGGTGCGAATAGGTATTTTTTTACTAAATTAGGAAATCAAACAACTGAAATAGAATATAGAAAAATTATTAATTACTTTGGCAATATTTTGAGCGTATTGCTTCATAGCGAGTTTTTCCATCGAGTTCTCAAATCCAAAGAAATTCTTTATATCTAAACTTGCTGTTTGTTCGAAGCAAGTCCATTCTGAATTTTCAGGATGAACCTGAAAGTGATGAATATTTTATGGAATTTCAAATATCCCGTCACTCGTCTAATGGTTAATACTTACGAAATAGCGACATTTTTCTATCACGCTCACACGGGAAGAGAAGCTTTCGTTAAATGCTTCAATTTCTAAAATACTGCTTCTACGATCCAAAACATTCCTTTGGATGAAATAAACAAAATCTACGCCAATAATCTGAAAATTTTAAGGCGTAAAACATTGATGTATCAAAGAAAAACTAAGAAGTATATTTATATATCAGGTTATTTATAATTTCTAAAAGTAGTCTTTTCAAAACACAGTTTTATGATTGTTTTGAACCATGTACAACGGTCAATTAACTATTAAGGACTGTGCTCCATAATATTTAATGTAGATTGAATAATATGGTCCTTCTTCAAAGCATTACATACTACATACCTTATAGGGCATACAATGGATATCAATTGAAATTGTAATCCAGGAGTTGTATAAAAAAAGAAATTAAAAAAAAAAATTAAATGGTACCTTTTTTAAAATGTATGGAGCCTCAACATTAAGTTTACACCTCCTTTCAGTAGTTCTAATTGCTCCCCCTTGACTTTCCTCATCCAGAGTGATTTCGCAGCCAACAAAAACTGGAATTTGTGGGCAGGTGGGGAATCGCTTCTCGTATGCCTTAAAAAAAAACCCAGCCTTAGTAAATATTTAAATATAATAAACAAACAAACTCCACAGTACATAAAATCTGACTCAATTTCCATTAATATCCATAATACGGTCACAAATGAGAATAGGGTTTTTTGTATTAACATAAATCCCATTCAATATGATACAGAAGACACTGTTAAGATAAGAAGAATGTTGCTCCAATAATAAATATTCAATCTCAAAGGTTTTGAGCATCCAAGGCCGACGGAAACGTCACAGGAAATAAATGCAAGCTAACAAAATTAAATAAATTGGGCTTATAAATTAATTATTGTTAATTAAATAAAAATCCGGTAACCGCAAGCCATTTTCAGTTCTCATTCGTAGCTAAAATGTATGACAACTCTTGCAGATTACGTAAGCTTCTCCGCGTCTATGAACTTCGTCATAAGGCGTATAGTAAATACCATCAATTAAATAGGATAAGATTCATGAATGAATAAGCGACATAAGAAATAAACAGACCAGCATAACAAGAGCGAAGGGATGTTTGTAGACTCGAACGGGCGATTGATATTGCTGCACCATCTTCAAAAAGCGTCAAAAACTTGATGTTTCACTAAAAAATATACAATCCTGTCCTCGGATAAATGTAGCGACTCCTTCCCACGGGCCGAATGAGTTCTTCTGATGATGGATACTTTCCTCTGGAATTCGTTAAGGTCGTTGGTTACAATCACTTGTCAGGAAATCTGACGTTACCACAAGGTTCCTTTACAGATGGACGAAGTAGCAGCTGTAGCCTTAAGGTCCGTTCGAAAAGTCCGCGACAGTACGCCGCGATAGGCTTTACGTAGCTTGGGTGTGCCTGTACGTAGGCAACCGTTTATACACAGAACTAGCCCGTCCTCATTTGTCGAAATAGAAAAATTAGAATGTATAAACGTACGGCGGGTTGCTCGTCGGTAGGCGCCGTCACTAAATATGGCACCAATATGTCACAAACCTCACCGATGCTTCTAATATCCGTTTAGGTACCCTTATCGTGCCGTTTTCATTATTTGAATTGTATTCAAATATTTATTCATGTTGCATAGTACTTACAGTTGTTAATTCTAAGCTGTTTGTGGATCATAATCTAGTAGATGAATTTTTAATCCTGGGTCAATACACGCTCAAGATATTGAAAAAGAAATAGCCCGTCCTGTATAGGAATGTTAAATATTTTTGAATAAACAATTGTTCCTGTTTTGCGACACAAGATTTGAAATGACCGTGTGAGACGAGAACAAGGCCATGCTTATCGATGGTAGAGGGCAATAATCTGAGAACAAGATTATTAGCTTGTTTATTATTCATAGAAACTGGAGTTGACACTATAGATACATCTACTTGACAATATTTTTTGTACTCTCTTTTTAATTCCTGTCGAATAACATACCGGATCCTTTACTTCGTACACGCATGCATAACGAGAGACAATACATCTCCGAGGCTAATGCACTTGTCCAGGTCATTGCGCAATGCAGTCTGCAGGTGCATCGACAGTAGAGCCCGGGGGCCACAATGCAACTGCAAATTATGCATATTCATCCGACTTGTCAGTATAGCGATTGAAGCAGCACGCGTCCTGATACATATATATAATTAAATTTGTTTATTTAACAAGAACTCGATGATGGGAGTCGCGAAACTCAAAACACCCATGGGAATTATCCTCAAGGCAACCATCGTGACCGTAATGGCAATTATAATATTCAAAAACGCAACTTATCACTGAGTGGAATAATTGATTTGCGACTCTGACGCAATACCGGTTGCGAGATCGTTTCACGGCGGTCTTTTGACTTACTGACAATTTAAATATATATTATAAATAAATGTATATTCTTTTTTTCACGAAAAACGTTCAAATTATCTAAGAAAATTATTTGGATAACAAAATTCCTTAAATCTTTCTGGATTATTAAATACAGTTTCTCATGCACTGCAGTCACCCAGCTAACATGTCTAAATCGTCATATATCGTTAAGGAACCTTATCTGAACGACCCCCTCCCCCCCCCCAACACCTGCATCGAAGAGAAGATGAAGAAGAAGAAACAGATTAGAGGTGGGTGTAAGGCCCCGTATTTTATATGCGCAGGGAGCATTGCGCACATAATCGACTCAGGCGGGAAAGAATCATGTTAGTTCAGCAGTAGTTCAGTGGTAGCAGCTTGTTACCCATAGTTCTCTTGATCTTCCACATCGTTTACTTCTTCGTCTTATTCTTCTTCTTGATCTTCATCCACTTCTTCCTCTTCCTACTCGACCGGCTACTATATATCTCCACCGTGCGCGCCGATTTGACCGCAGAACCTTCCCGGTTTTCGCGTGTATATCGTCCCGCAGAAACGACACTAAATTGCTTGGCAATTACTAAGGCGAATTTCGGAATTTCAGCTGTTCATCAAGGACGGCCTGAAGGTACTCGAGAAGAGGGAAAATTACAACAGCGACCGACATATAAACTTTTCAACGGCATCTTGACCAATATTATTCGATCTACAACCTGATCACGTACAGCCGTTCGTGGTAAGTGCAGTTACTGTACTAATATTTCAAGACTTTCGGACTCTATTGTCATTCTTGATAAATAGGCTGACTCGATATAAACATCCTCTTGACAGGTAAGTCATGTCAATTTTTCATTACCGGCTGTAATTGTTCATGATTCTTATTTCTCATTCCTTCGTCCACTGGGTAACTTTGTTCTTAAAGAAACTAGTGTATTTCATAGTTCTTCCTTTTCTTTTATTTCTCTCGGCTTCATGCTTAATGCCATGACAGTTCAGAAAGATGATACTGTCTTGATTCTCTTCGATTGCTCCTTTTGGCATTTTATCCTGACCAGTCACAGAGCCAACGACCCGCAAAACTGGAAAGAAAATACATTTTACTAATATACATTCTTTATCTTCTTTTTTTTTCTTATTACGGATTAGTCGCACCCTTGTACGAATTTATATTACTGCTGAAGATTTATGCTTGGCGATATTTTACTTTTTATAACGTCATAACCATGAGTTCATAAAATGATCTATTATTTGCTAATGACTAAATGGAATACTATTAATTATCATTATCATTATGTATGCTTTCCTAAATTCTGTAGTAGCTCATTATGTATTTTACCTAATTTGACGGATAATAGTTTTTTTTTAATTATCCTAGGGCACATCCCATTTCTGTTTGTTTTCTAATGACGTCAAATTTCTTATCACGGTATCCGAAAAATTATAAAACTTAAATATAGTCAATTAATACATTGACGTATTATAATTCTAAAATCATTAACCTCTATTCTAAAGGAATGATAAGTATGCAACTGATTGCAATTTAATGGCATTCCGATCACGCGGTATCTAATTTGCGCTAACAACAGAAACTATCATAATATAACTTGTTTTCAATCTCACATCAGTGGATGACAAAGCTTTGCCAGGTGTTCAGTCCATTATTTTCACGAGAATATTTGTTGAATATCCTCAGCCATTGGCATTTGTTAAACTTTGCTATTGAAATAATAAGAAGTATTGGACCGTAATGCATTCCCGGTCTCATGTTGCGCCGATATTTAATCTCAAACTACTTCACACTTCTCCTTTTAATGTCTGCATCGTTACCAGTACTGCAGATTTACACACTATCATATCTACTGAGTACAAGAGTGTAGATTTTCATTCATAAATTATTCCTTGACTTTTCACTTTTATTCCACTACAAGCTCTCAATGATAAACAGCATGATTAATGATAAGTGTTCAAGAGCCAAACAGCAGAGTATTGATTCTGCATTAAAAATGATTTTACATAAATATTGAGACCAGTCCAGTTAAATATTTATGAATTTTATGATATTGTATGATAATCATAGCGGCTTTGAAATTGTTTAAATAATTTTATGAAAACAGTATAATCTGATGCATTGATGTTAATGATAAAAATAAAACTGTTTCTTATAATCTGATACGGTGACAAAAATTGTTAGAGCTCTCAAGATATAATAGTTCAATAACAAAGTATAACATCCAAGGAGGGTAAATTGCAGCAGAAAGATCTCCAGGGTTGTGGAGTAGGTACCAATTATCAAAAGGTATGTATATATGTGGGTAGATACAGAATGAGAAATATTTCTGAGAATGAAAAGGGCGTTGCCCGTACGTTAGGAATTCTTGAAGAGTCCTTCCCTTCTTGTTATTGTTGTCCATTTTTCCATTCTTTCTCTCTTTCTCTTTGGCCGTGTCTATAATTCGGCAGAGTCCAGGCGAAAAAGAGTGTGGCTGTAAAAGTGACACACTCTCTTGCCTCCTCTTACTCTCACTCTCAATATCCAGGATACTTTTCACTCTCTTTCTCCTCTGCTCCTCGTCGAAAGAAGCGAAGGTCAACCGGTTGTTTTTCGCGTTTTTAACATCTCGCCAAAGTCGAAGCGACGCATTTCTGGTCACACGTTGTGCATCCTTACAAGCATGGTTCCTGTCGCTAAAGGTGCATCCACACTGACCCTCACGACAATGCTAATCCATCTTGAAAGCAATGTCGTAATGACCTGCTTGGCACGAGCTCCCTCACTTTACTATAATATATACGATACATGCCTTAACTAACTACTTACTTACATTACTTTGTAAATTGCGCAATGGCGCGGCCCCTCAAAGTGCTATGCCAAGGACCCTTCTTCCGTAAGTCGTGCGTGCACACGTCATAATGGATTTTCAATTGTCTTTAATCCTACTTGACAGGATAATGGACAGGACAACAGCACCAGGGTATTTCCTCATAATATTCCATCAATGAGTAAGCCGGATATGTAGACTGTCAATGTACTTGGTTGCTGCAAATGGATTTAAAAAATATTAATTCAACTACTTACTAATAACCCATTTGCATGTGAACTGGTTCTGATTAGAATCAGGATTTTCTTTTTTTAATTGACTCATGGACATTATAGTGTTCCTGTTGGAACCCAATAAAACTTCACAAGTGTATCTGAAGTTGCAGTGTGCAGGCGCGCGCGAATACCTGTTCAATGTTTACTGGATGGTGAAATAACGTTTGGCATTCAGTACGGGCTTTGTATCTGCGAATATTTTAAATCCATGCAAAGCCTTTTTATCGTCTCTTCACGCGTTTACATATCTTCTTTTATCTTGTTTCAGGAAACCATGACCACAGGACGGCCTCTTGTTTTATGCAGAGTGATTCTGCTGCTCCTGTTGCAGGTATGCCTACCTACAAAAGAGAAACTTTATGGATTTAAGATATGACGTGGAACCTTTTTGACAATATTTTCCAGATACTAAAGGAGATTGGTGTTAATGGACATGGAAGACTAATGGATCCACCATCTCGAAATAGCATGTGGCGCTTTGGTTTTCCCAATCCGGTTAATTACAATGACAACGAACTCTTCTGCGGCGGGTACGCAGGTTCGTTTTATTTGTTTAACTATTCACGAATACGTCTCTAAATATAGAAATTATATCAACCGTTCACCAAAGAATTTCATAAAACATGATCTTTCTGGTAAGCTATGAACGTGGAATTTTTAATGTCAGAACTGTAGTTATACAAGAGAATCCTAGAACTATGCTCAATGCAAGTAATCGATATAAATACAAAGTAAAAAAAAAACTCGATACAATTTGGCGACCGCATTCGATACGAATTATGATGACTGTACCAGAGTAATAATAAAGATAAATTTTGAACAGTACAATGGGTTCAAAATCAAGGACAGTGCGGTATGTGCGGAGATGCTTATCATCTGAATGAACCAAGACCCCACGAGGCTGGTGGAGAATTTGCCAAAGGGACGATAGTACGACATTACACAGTAGGACAGGTAATACAGCAAAGCTAAAATAATAAGAATTATCAAAATTGAAACTGAGCGATAATATGACTTTTTAGGAAATTGACGTGGAAGTCGAACTCACAGCTAATCATCTCGGTCGCTTCGAGATGTATCTGTGTCCCAATAACAATCCTTCCAATGAGGCATCGCAAGAATGCTTCGACAGGTAAATAATATTTAAGTCAATACGTCACCAGGTTCCAATAACAGCCTTTTAACGTCTGCAGGTATCCACTTTATATATCTGGCACGAAGGAGGTCCGCTTCCAGATTCCGGTGGAAACTGAGAAGAAGGCCATTTTCCGCTACAAGGTATCTTTGCCGCCGTACGTGACGTGCTCGCAGTGTGTCATTCAATGGAATTACTTCACAGGTAAGTAGCCATCTGGAATAAGTAATGCAAGAATGAAGAAAGCTAACGATGTATCTATATTCATGCAGGAAATATGTGGGGTACATGTCCAAACGGAACAGAAGCTGTGGGCTGTGGTCGCCCTGAGACTTTTCGTAATTGCGCCGACGTCAGTATAGTAACTAGTACTGCAGGTGTTCCGCCATTGTTTGTACAACAGGACAATCCGTTCTTACTGTATTACAGGGACTACCGTTCTCCAAACAATGTATTCCCCTTAGTTATCAGGTATGATATTACACCGTTAATCAATAATGATTAATCAATTTTGATTTCTCTCATTCACTTCTCAGGTCTCAAGTGTGCGTTCCTACTCAGCTCTACAGAAGAATTCCTGGCATGGGAGAATGGTGCCAGACTAATTGTCTACGTTATCCTCCAAATTGTCCTACGACGATCTGTCAGTGTCCGTGAGTAGATTTTATCCTGATTTTGAAAAAAAAAATAAATAAATAATAAATTAAAACACTAAGTTTAAAAACGATAGAGTCAAATTCTCACCATAAAAATAATAATTCCTCAGAGAAGTCTGTGACGCCATTGGTGAAATATCCGGAAAGGAAGGAGCCAGTGTCTATTGTCTGGATAAATGTCTGGTCTATCCATCGAATTGCCCATCGCACCGTTGCCGTTGTTACTAAGAAGAAATAATGAAAATTAGAAACCCATAATAATCTATCTGTAAGAAAAGAGAATCGATGCAATAAAGAACCAACCTGAAGCGAAGTAAAATATAGGTCACGGGAGATACTGGAAATTATATATATATATAACAGATATAGTTTGATCCGATCAATACTATAATCAATTTAATGGCACTATAATGTTAATATTAGGACATTCTAATGACAGCTTACGTTATGTATGTATATATATATTTATGTATATATTTAACGAAACGGTTAAGTATTTCGTGTCCGACAAATGATCACCAGGGATCAGATTCGCTTATCATCATGACGACGGCGCTAGATTATAACACTTTACAAAACTATATACACTAAAGCTTTGTCTTCTCTATATTAGTAACGTGACCGACTATCTAAATAACGTTTCTCTTTTTTTTTCATTTCGTTTTAAAACATCGGCTCGAATGTAACTCGTATGCACTTGGCCGCTAGCATGTCTTATCATCATAATAACCATTAGTCATGAATAGACGTACATACGTACATACATCCTATGCCTTTATCTAAGCATGTCCGCCTACTCATAACTTTAGTAAAGATTTCCTTTTTTTTTTCTTTCACATCTTTTACTTCTAATTGTATTTCTATTTTGACTACTCAACGTCCATGGTTCGTTACTGCGTCGGAAGTAACGTGGCGTACGACAGGTTAGTTCATGGATCTTCTCATATTTTTGTTGTATATATCATATTATATTCGTTCTTCTTAAGCATTATATTAATTTTCCATTATCTCATGCACTCACTTCCTGGCCAAAGAGAAAAGAAAGAGCGTACACGCAAGCGATGTATAAAAGTCAAAAATATTAGGTTGATTTAAAAAAAGGCCAATGATAAATGGCGAAAACTTATGTAGAAGAGGCACGATCGAGAAATCAAACTAACACAAGGTAATTAAAAATTAATTAGGAACCGAGATTACTGCAAGACTCGTTTCTCAGGTACGATATCAGTCTTCCACGGCAAAAACGTAATCGAGATATATACATACAGTTTTTACGAGGATAAGTAATCGAGTAGTTAAAAAGTCCCAGATACGTGCCCCTATCGATAAGATAACATTAAAGATGGCGTTAAAGAAGCAGAAGAAGAAGAAAAAGAAGAAGAATTGAGGTACAGAGCGAGGCTTTCGACTATTGAAGTACAATTTCTTCATTTTCATATTGTACGTTTGTTCCTTCTTTTTTCTTATTCGTATATCTCTCTTTCATTTTGGATTTTTCATTTTTTTTGATTGAATTCTGCCAAAACCTAAGAAATCGCCTCGGGCTACGATACTAAATCTATGAGTCCCATTGTTTAATTTTTTTTTTTTCCTTTAAATATATATCCTAACAAAATTTGGCAATTCAACTGCCATCTTAGCCACACTGGGGCTTGTAAGCACATAATTCGCAATACGTTACTTCTTCATCATTGATCGACCTACGACGTCGAGTTGCTTACTTAAATTGAGCTCCGATTAAGAGTACGGTTCGTTATGAGTACCTTAGTGAATTACACTTAACGCCACGCGAGTGTCCATAACGCGGGATCAAGAGGATGCCTCAAATTTTATAAATAACGAAGCATACAGCTAAGTCAAACTAGAGCAAAGTAATCCTGTTGAAAGATCATCAGTATTTCATCTTGAACAGGACACTTCGAAGGATCTGAATTTGAAAGGTGCTTTATTTTGAGGACTCCAGGACCTGGGGCAGTCTCAGCTCCCGGAGACCCTTAATTAGACTAGAAAATTGTGATTAGAATTAATTTTCAACTTTGTCATTCGATATCTAAGTGACATCTCTTTAGACTAGGTTCCTTCATCGTTTATCATATCACCATCTCTGAACATTTACTTTAGACGTTTCTTCTTCGTTCTCTTTTTGCCCATTTGGCATTCTTAGCTCCTCGAGCCATCATTAATCTTCTACTGTTTCCTTTCACTATTAAGCTTTTTATTTTTTCTTCACGTTTAACTTTAAGTATCTTTTAACACGGCTTATGGGCGTTACGCCGTTTAAAATCTACACATTTGCTATTAAAGACTTTAGGCGAGAACAGCCACACGACTAAGAACACCAATATCGAAGATATAGTTTTTTTACTATTTAGTGCGCTCCTACACAGAATTACGAGACTTTCACATCGAGACATTAGTAGAGTAGAGTAGACAGATTCGTATAATCCCTGCGTACCAGGTTAACACGTACACGAGAACATTTAACAGTTCAACCTTGGCCTGTATAGCTCGGCAATAGCTGATTTATCTGTGCAATAAATACTTTCTTAACTTGGTATACACCTCTGAATTACTGTTCTCTAATAGACAGTAAGGAACACGTACGTACATTAGGATAATCAGAATGTAGTCTAATAACTGAGATTAATGAATCAAGGACAATTAGATTCAATGTTTGATACGCAGAGATTACCCGAGAACGATCGAGAAGGAAAGGTCGAGCGATCGATCTTAGGATGAGGTCACAGGGCTCATAGTTGACAGTCACCCAAAGAGCGTGGCTTTCAAGAAATGTCCTTTCGATCGTTAATTAAAGTTTCATCTTCCTTCTAAGTAACATTTCAATTCTATATCTTTTTTCTTAGTAATACAGCGTGCAAGTGCCCGCGGTACGCGACAGAATAGAAACCTGTAGGCCGTACGTAGAAATATTTCCGGAGAGCGAAACAACGAATGAAAAGGAAGAGTGACGTGTCGTCTTAAAACTCTCCGATAAGACGTACCGCGAGCAGCACATTAAGCATAGATTTCTTTTCTTCATTAGATTAAGAATAATTGTCCCTTTATCTTGACTTTAATAATCATTGTTCTATAGAGTATAAGCGCGCTCGTACATTTTCGCGCGTGTCTCTGGGTGAAAGGTCAGGACCGCGATTAGCTACGAGCACCATAAGTTTCAGCACCAAGTTATGGACACTCGGCTGGCCTGCAGAGTGTGTGAGAATAGTGGAAACTGTAATAGTGAGGTTTTTGTTTCATCAAGTGCAAAACGTTCGGATACGGTGGGCCGCATTACAAATAGCCTAAGGTCGCGTAGGTTTTTACATAGGGTGCGTCCACTCTACAATTTTCCCTGAAAAATAAAAAAAATGGTATCTTATAATTTAAGGTCTATAACAAGTGATTATGTTTGAATACTTACTCGTCTTCCCATGGGCACACTTCGTTAACATTATTGTCTCGCTGCTCCTGAGGTGTCGCAGTAGCTGCATCCGATTCCTCCTGATTATCTGGTTCCCAAACAGGAACGACCTGAGCCTCCTCTGCAGAGTCCTCGTTTCCGGTATTCACTTGCTCCTCCTTAGATTCTTTTTCTTTAATCTTGTCATCTTTCTCCTCGATTACATTCTGTTCCTCCAGTTCCTCTGGTTCTTTCTCATCTCCCTTCGGTACATCTACGTTCTCTGATTCTGGCTCTTCTTCTAGTATGACCTGAATGTCCTCAGTGTCTGGTTGATCTTCAGCCAGGTCGCCGACAATGGCACTGATACTTATTAGTGGTGCCATGGCTAGTCTGAGTTCTTTTGGAGCAATCTCCTTAGGGACAGACTCCTGTGGAGTAATCTCCTTTGGTAGAGTCTCTTCCGGTGTCGCTTCACGAACTTTTGAAACGGAACTCTCCTCCAAAACTGTTTCCACGGGTTCCGGTTTCTCAGCGACACTCAAAGACAGATCAAAGGACTGCTGTGGTGAGGAGTACTTGCAAGAAGGCGGTCTGCTCGTATCCCCAAGTCTGATCTTCGCACTGGAATTTGCGGAATAGTTCCTGGACATTGTGTTCTGCAGTGCACAGGATTTTCTTAGACAATCCGATGCCTCCATTATGGCCGCACTGAGGTCCGACGAGGAACTGCAAGAGTCTAGCTGGGACGAATTCTTTCTAGATATTCTTGCAGGGTTGCATGGTTGACCTGGGGGCTCGAACGACTCAGAGGATGCGAGTTCGCTGCTTGGCCCTGGCGCTGCATCCCATGGACACACGTCGTCCATAGGGCGAGTCGCCGGTTCCGGGACGCCAGCATCCCTGACAACACGAACTTCATTATATGTTTCAGTCTGTTACGGTAATACCTTGCCATTAGCAATCAAAATTCAGATGTCTAATACGAATATCATCTTCTTCTTAACATATCTAAAAACAAACTTGAAATATAACAATGACAGTCATCAGCCTATAATATTGAAATATATCATGAAGGATCAATGCAGTGCATTGATATCTAAGTATACCAACAATTCCTTCTCTGAAGCGAAATTATTATTGTTAAGCATGATAAGTTTGAGATTTTCATTTAATGAGTTTCTGATTCATGTTCACTAATGACCCTTGGTGTTACCGTTGCTAGTCTATTGTACATTACGAATTATACACGCTTCCCCACACAACCATGCATCCATCCAACGTCAAGAGATTTCGTGGTTAGGACTTGTGTAAAATTCAAAACGTAAAACCATTTGTAAGTCCAAAGAAGGTGCGCAAAGAAATGAGGAGCCTCAATAGAAAAAACCTTCAGGCAAGGCCCCAGATACTAAATACGACAGCACACAGAGAAAGAATATTGTAAACACTATTACTCGAATTGGACTTGACCCAAAAAAACGTCTTTATCTTCCCCACGTGTTAGACGCTTGAAAACTGAAAGCCCGCACTAGAACTCCATTTTCGTTGTGTTTAACATTTAACTGTAAATTGATATAGAAATAAAATATTATGTTTCTAGCATAAGATTAATACTAAAAAAGAAAGATGTGCAAGGGACGCCATTATTTGATCTACAAGTATTATATAACAATTAATTAAAGACGGAGAGAAGTCCAAGGGAATTATTGGTAACGCAATAACGAATTGAAAGGTGATATGAATATTTTCTGCTCACGAATGAATGTTTAAAACGTATAAGTAAATTTGGCAGAAAATAAAAAATAATAATAAAAAGTGTCTCTGCTACATATTTGTGTAAACATTAAAATAAATCCGAGCAACGGCCTTGCAAAAGACAGAGCACAGGAAAAACTTATTGAAGAAATTCAAAAGGTATTGAGTTTCAAAGTAAAAGAAGCAGAAACAGGAAGGCGAAGAAAGGAAGAACCCCTCCTACTTTTTAAAGCCCAAGTCCTGCATCATCGGACGTGGAAAAACCTTCATCAGGGCATGGGAAATCATTTGACAAAACATCGAAGACAGAGTTTAAACGTGAAAGATATGCCGTTGAGCATCGACAGTACGATAGTCTTAAACGTGAAGCAGATGAGCGTTTTCGAGAACTTACTGAGTTCTACGTGGACTAGGCCTCGAAGAAATCTTAACGAGGCGAGCCAGATCTCCCCTGAAAACACCGTAGGGATCAAGCCAGTTCTCATTCGATACAGGAATTACGGAAAAGGAATCGAGGTAGATAACCTATTCTTCTGGCTGATGACTCCTGGGTGAATTGAGTCTTCTGGATCGGAGGGATTACCTGTAAGGAATATCGGTGAGATTCGATTGGCTGTGCGAATGCGGCACTCTAGGTGTTGCCGCTACATCCCGAACTCCACAGATAGCTAGTTCATGCGCAGATCCAGAGAGACTTCGATCACTTCCTCGACGTCTACCACCTCCGCCACCACCGATGCCAGCGTGCTGCTGCTGGAGACTTCCTGGTATTGGAGCTGTGGTCGTCGAGATCTTTTTCTTAGCTTGACCGCCAAAGCCGAAGAATCTGAATGACAATGTTCATAGATTATTTGATCAGTATATAATCAAATTCCTTGCGAATATAGTTTCTATCGAGATTAATCACGTGCCTCTTTTTTTGAAGCGGCTGCACTCCGGCTGCCAATAAGTTTCTATAGTGCTCCGAACGTATAAATCGAGGATAACAATCCTTCTTGAGCAGGAGCGTATAGACATGTTCAGCAGCTGAGTCAAATGTGAATCTGGTTGGATTTCGCATTTCCTGGTGAACCTTCTCCATAGTCTTCCCGTCGATATTGATCTCACATGGCGCTCCGGCCGCCAGGAACTCTCTGTGAAATGAATTAGGTCCAAACGTATTTTATCGATATTATCGCTTATAGAATCTAAAGGCCACTTTCAAAATGGCAAGCCCAGATCAAACGGAGGATCATGAGACGAGAAAGAAAAAAAAAACGAGAGAAATTACGCACTCAAAAATCTCGTTGACTTTCACCGGTATTTGTGCCTGGAAGCTACGTCTCAGGTCTTTCACCGCCATCCAGAACCGTATATTCTCATGACTGTACTCCTTCCTCAAGTAATTCGTGAACTCTTGTAAACCTGATGTGGCAAAAAAGTATGGAAAGATAATGCATCATCCTATATCGAAACAGTAATTCGATAGTACAGCAATTACTGAGTTGCTACATTTATGGTATTTCTAACTTATACCTACCAGTCGGGTCAGACATCAACTCTTCCATGGAGAGGGCCCATCTTTTCACGCGCTTCTCGGTAGGAACTTCCACCCTAAATCATTAAACGTATGATTTATCCAATTATTTTGTCAATGTATAAATTACTCGTTTAATTGTTATATTTTAAATATTACAAAGGGCTGTTGAGCTGCCAGAACGTCTGATCATCTGTGATCCAAGGATTAGAAGGCTGAGGTTGCACGATCATCGGATCGTACTCCATATAAGTCTCGAAATACGACTTTAGATTCTCAATAGCAGTTGAGACTTTGATCCTGGTGCGCGTTAGACTATTCTTCAGAAGCTCCACCTTTGGGAACAGAATTATGCAATAAGTAATGTTGTTACTGTGGGAATGATTATTGTATGCAATGAGGATGACTCACTTCCCGTTGTAAGTCAGCCAGAGTTCGTTTCCTCGGTGGAGGTCTTGGTAGGCCTGGCCGTGCTCTTGTCGGTACTGGCACGACTTCCAAACTGCTTAGGCATCCTGGTGGTGGTCTATATACTCTCCAGAAAGCTCTTTCCTGAGAGTCGCTGACAATCTTATCACCCTTCTTACGCTCCTTGGATAATCGAATCTGAAAAGAGAAAGATTGAAATGATCGAATATAAAATTTATACACAGAAAAAAATTAATTACTTACCTGCTCCTCAGCCTGCAACTGAATGATGTCCCACTTGTTCTGTAAGTTCTTTCGAAGACTATTAAGAGCCTCCACTTCGTAATCCTCCAGGGCATGTCGTTGCTTGTTTCTCAAGGTACGCTTTGCTAAGTATATTGCGTACTCTACGTTATCCGGTGTTCTATGCTGCCACGGCCAATAGTATGGTGTCTAAAGATTTGGAAAAATACTAGCATGCTGATTTGACTTTATTTTCATTGAATAAAATTATTACCTTAAATAACGTGTTATCTAAATTCTACGAATTACAGCATATCACAAATATCGTAACAACTGGTCAAAAAATTGAAGATGCTGAAAAAGGTATTCTACCTGAAATCTGTAGAGAGAGCTATCATCCTTGACGGTGAGAGTCTTGGAGTCGTTCACTGGGAAGAAATAGCCATACTGGCAAAGTTGATTGGCGATATGGACCGCCTCTACTGTCAACATAGATATAATATAACAAAAATATATATAAAAGAGAAGAATTTGAAATTCAAAAGGCTGAAGCTCTTACGACGACTTAGAAGACGTTAGATACATAGAGAGGTGAGCAGTATCGACATTAAAAGAGTATAGAAAAAAAGCTAATAAATAAGAAATAGTCAAGACCGTACCTGATTCCTCGATGGCAAGTCGGTCGATCAGCCACTCGACAAGGTCGTAACCTGCAACACGCAGCCATCCTACTGAATTCTTCTGGTCGTTTAGGTTTAGAGGACAACGCAGGTACCGATGGCACTCACCCATGAACGCTGACGGGATTGAGGTAAGAAATTGCTTCTGGCTGCGCACGGGCACCCCATTTTCAGGGTCTTGCATCTCCCGCACCAGCCCCTCCATCTAAAGGAATGAATAATTATAATGTGAACAATATACATGATGCGAAGAGATTCAAACTCTGGTCTTCAAAATACCTTGTCGAAGGCACACGGCCTGTGAACGCGTGGCTCCTTCTCCTTGTGTTGGTGGGTGGTGGTGGCCTCCATCGCGTTCGAGGCGGCCCTCTGCGTCTTTGGCAGGGGCTGTGGCGATTACGATGGTGGAGGGGGCTGGGGAGCTGGGCTGGAGACGGGTCTACCCGAACTCCATGGGGCTCTGGCCCCATCCCATCACTCCAGTCACCCCCGCACGCCCACTGAAATACATTCACAACTTCTCAAGCTCCTACGAATAGTCATTCTTATTAATATATACTGATTAACTTGTTGCGCTATTGGTGTTATTGCTTCTGATATAATAAACCAATTTGGATTTCATTTCTTTGAGTCTAATATGACTGACCGTTCATTAAAGAACTTATTCTTGTCAAGATGCACTTATTTAGATTATGAAACATTACATGATATTATTCCATTTGTAGCCCAAACTGTTTCTGTAAACCGATCTGAATTAATTCATTGAGTTATCTTATTCGGTGACAGATTATAAGACACCACACATTTGTATGCCCAAGTACAAAATATATATTGAGGCATATAAAGTGTTTTATTAGAAAAATCTAAAGATGTAAACAGTTCTAAAACATCACTGTCATTTACTATTTAAAAATGGATAAATTTTCATCAGCCTGATAGTAGACAACCAGACTTACACGGCAGCTATCACCGAGAAGAAGCCATAACCTTTATCGAGAAATCAGCAAAAACTGATGAATCTCAGAGATTTTAACGTGAAAAATAAAAAATATATAAGATTACTTGCAAAACAAGCAAAACAACTGGTTCCATTGTGCACTAATAGATAACGGGAACAGTAGTAAAACTCATACCGTTAAATTCCTTTGAGACATTCTGGCGTAACTGAAAACAGCGCCACGTTCTACCAACATGACAGAAGGTTGAAAATAAAATAAAGGGCACGTTCTGAAATTCGCTGCTACGAGTATCGTTGTCCCTGTTAATCTCCATGCAATAGAGTGTGACACAATTATGCTCTCAGTGCTAGCAATAAATTTTCAACGTAGCCAAAGAAGTGATTTTTTCCAAGCCCTCTAACAAGTAAGGCACAATTAATTTGAGAGAAACTCGATAATGAACCATTATGAATCAAGAATAAACTGAACGAGCACTTAAGTTTTTCGAGTGACAGGCCATTTCGTTTTTTTTTGTTTTAATTCAAATATCCATAAAACCCTCAAGAGCATAAAGCACCTGAGACATTTAATAGGAAAGTCTTTGCCACACGCAACTTGGAATTGCGCCAAAAGTATTAAACCGAAGAGTTCACGATTGCAAACACTCTTCGCCATTCATCAAACAGTAAAAAATATATTTCGTAAAGGAGGATATATCTGTTTAGAAATCACACCCAGAAATTATGGATATCGCATGAATAAATATACCGTTTATGGAGGAACTAATGCCAGTCGCTTATAACGAGAATAAAACAATTATTTTCAACAATGCTTTCAAGTGACAATACTATAATACATATACAGATATATTGTAACTATAGTGCAAGCAGCGTTACGAAAGCCACATAGAAATACAGTACGTTAGTAACAGCAATATATTACCTACATGAGAAGCACGTAGCAAACGACAATGGTAAGACGATGGACAGTACTTAATCCGTACAATGGTAAATGCAAATGAAAACTGTCGTAGAAAACCCTGCGGAATAAGAAAATCAAGAATCACTTCTTTTAAAAAAAATGGAGAGCCGAGCCATGGCAAAGTCCCTCGTACAAATGGTATGTTAATGGTGTAAGTAAAAATGTCGCACTTTTAAAAAAAATGGAGAGCCGAGCCATGGCAAAGTCCCTCGTACAAATGGTATGTTAATGGTGTAAGTAAAAATGTCGCAGAGTCCAAGAAAAAAAAGGCACATATATATATATATATATATATATATATAAAGAATAATGCGAGAAAAATCAGCGTCATTTCCGTAATCCTCGTTCTTCCGCTTCCGTTGAGTCGCATTCGATCGATCCCTTGAGGAAACGTCTCGACAGAAAGAATTAGCATGCAAAAATATAGATACGGAGACAAGCAGGTTGGCAGAAGCAGATACACAAAAGGAAAGGAAGAGCGACGTTAGAAAAGGATATAAAGTCTGGTATACATATATAGTATATGTATGTATACAGCTATATAACTACGGGTATTGATATATAGTACAGTATATGAGTTGATACATATGATTTATAGTGTGTTATGATATTCTAGGATATGCATAGGTGGTCTACTCACTGGACGAGTCAGGGCAGTGGAGCCTCATGAAACTCGGTCGATCAGGCCATGGGGCCTAGGTGTTCCTGGTCACTTTCGAGCTTTCTCCAGAGTCGTTTTAGGCGCGCCAGAAGTCGAGCATAATTCGCGCACGTTGCACCACGCCCTGGACCGGGCAGAGGAGGCAGAATAACACGCAGCCTACAGAAACATCGTCCCTGTGTAAACTCTCGTTTAGAAATTAGATTCTCGCACAGCCTAGGACATGTCGTAGCCCTCGTAGGTCCGTCGTAGTCGCGAACGCGCAGACGAGGTTCGTGTAGCGTCGGTGATCCTCGGGCACATTCGGCTGGAAAGCGCCGAAAGCTCGCGCCCGCCGGGACCGTGAGCTTGCGCGAAATACCCTGACGAATACTCGCCCCACCTTCGTATAACCTCGACACGCGTTACCCTCTCCATAGGGTGGCCATCCTTATACTGAGACTGCGCCCTGTTTCGCTGGCACAGCTTTCTACCCTGTTCTGCGAGCTTATTGATCCCCGATCCTAAATATATAGGACGACCTTAGAGATGCTTGCACTACGTATTGCGACTCCAGAACCTCGTGGAGCTGTCATTGGTGAGAATGCCTAGGACGTCTGGATAACTAAATATGTCTGAGCAATATGTGTTTCATATATCTATCTACATAATATTATCATGAGATAGGTCATGGGATAGGAGTCCTCTACGTGTAGAAATAGATAGTACATTATAATGGATGGTTGATTATATGAATATTTGTTGACAGCTAATACTGATGATATGGCCTGGCGCGACTATATAAAAGTTTATCATTCACCGGGTTGAGGCAATAGTGCGTGACGAGGTACTATTATTCCTGAGAGCTCACGGAGATTATGTTTGAAAAGAAAATGGAAGGTAGCATAACTGGGCCGGAAGGCTGAATAGTCGTTGAATGAAGTTGTCGAGTGGATAAAAGATAAAAAGGAACCGAAAATAGGTGCCCAGGTAAAAATCGATGACTGCAAACGCGAACTCGGCTTCTAAAAGAAGACTTCTCCATAGAAAACTATTCAAGAAACTTTAAAAAAAGCATAAAGTCGACTTCACGGAGACTCCTCATTGATCTCTGGTGCACCAATATCCTGATCGAAACGTCAGTCCTTCCTCTCTCCCGGCTGAACTTCCGTCTGACCGGAAACTAATTGAAAGGGCTATTGTCATGTTTCCGGGCAGCGCGCTGCGCAAGTAAACACGCAACATCATCAGGTAACAAAAGACTATCTTTTTTATTTGTAGCCGAACAGTTTGGTTCCGTTCGTGGAAAGTTTCAAAGCTTAGCATAAACCTGTGGTAACGTGAGAGATCATTAAGTTCATATAATTTTTACTGCAGGTTTAATGTCGAAATATAATAACGGCATAAAAATCATAAGGAAAAACCAGCGCAGTACCGGCAGTCGTCATTTGCAATCAGCAATAGTCCCCAGGCAGGAAACAATTCCATAAGCAATAACGATTCAATAATAAATTCGTTATCGATGTAAGGCAAAACGGCACACCCAAGATACGTGCATGCTAGAAATAAGCAATAGGCAAAAGTGCACATTAAGTTGGTGCTGCAAAATGCCCTAGTTATTTTAAGGCGCGTTACACGAATTAGTACTGTTCTGGTAACACAGTTAATTGTCGGTAAACACGAGGTAAGTAAGGTGGCCCGGTTGTCGAGTAAAAAGGAGTACGGGCCTGGCGACACGGTTAATTAATCTTCGAGCGGCGAGAGTTCGAATGGCTGACTGGTTGTCTGTACTATTTTCGACAGTTATAAAACGACTGTGGCGCGAGCCCTGGCGAATAATGCTAATTAGCGACGGTTAATGAGGTTAAGTGGCGAGCCGAGACGGCGAGCCAGAAGGAAAGCAAAAGGGTCTGTTACGATGCCGTTAACCCTTTCACTGTCAAACGTTCAACACTCAGCCATATTTATTATATGGAATAATATTCCTCGTTCGATAAAATTACACCAAGGTTCTCAATCCATTATAGATTTGTAATTAAGGATAAAACCTTGCGGCCCAGTCGGATTACGGAAATTGGAAGAGAAAGGTCCTTTCCACCATATAAAGAATAAATAAAACAGGGAAGGATAGAGTCTTATACGGCAGGGTACCGAAGGATACCTCACGGCCCTGAATCCTGAGAATTGCTGACCACCATAGAACTCCTGACCTTCGGTGTAGTCGCGTGCGACAGTCCCGTTGCCTCTAAGGGAACAATCTCTAGGAAAAGAAACGTTCTGCGTATCAATTGACCGCAGTGAATACCAATAATAAAAAGCACGTCCCTTCGATGTTCCAATCAACGATCAGCGTACACATCCAATTGATTTAAATACATATGGATTCTAATCAGTGTAATATTGAAGAAACAGAGACTGTACGTACATATCTAGACGAGACAGAATAGAAGCAAGGAGGAGCACTACTGCCAATGGCAACGTAAAACGAATCGAAGTGTGCAGTGGCGCCTCAGTCTCGGTTCAGCCGCGTGCCGTGAACGTTGTGGTTGTATTACTCCCGCAGTAGATGTCCAAGTACATACCGTACGTGTCCCACGTAATGCAGTGAGGTGGAGAGTAGTCTGGGATATATACCGACTCTAATTGGTCAGTGAAAACCTGGTGGGAGCAGATAGTCAGAACTGTTGGACGCAAAGGGAACTCAGGCGTGCAGTGGCGCCTCAGTTTCTGTTTAGCGCGCGTGCCGTACGGAGGAACCGTGTCGTTTATCCATATAACCATACATTCGATATTGTCACAGATTGAATTGCCGTAGAACTCGATCGGCGTACAGTTAGAGTTGATACACAGGAAAGGTGAAGAGTTAATAAACGCAAGGCAATAAGATAGAGACTCTGTGAATAGCTGTCAGTTATGTGCTGGAGAAAGAGAAGCTGGAAGTAACTGCATGCCAACGATAACTGCCCGGGTCATGCGAGTGACGTAAGGTAACGGATCCCAGGACTTATATTATAGACCGTATACGCGTACTGCGGTATGCACGCAATCTATAATGTCATATGTACATAGTATATTATATATTTCACTTTGGTACCGTATACATAACTAGCTATACTGTTATGCCTTTGGGTTTGAGTTGCCCGCGACCAGAGACCGTTTCTCTCTCCACTACCTGTTATACCAGCCGCGTTCCCACGGTATCCTCAGGCTCTTTGGGGATGTATTCGACCCGTGTACGTATATACCGGTTTATATACGTGAGCTGAGAATACGATTCTTTTCACAGACTCAGCACCGGGTAGGCAGGACAGACCTGCACGAACTTTACACTCTGAAAGAATAAGAGTGAGATAGAGCATGGTCACCTCCTTATTATGTGTGAGAAGATGGAGGAAAAAATGAGACAAAAAAACGTGCGGCAAGAAAATCTACAGCGTAGCAAATTTACAAGTAGATGTATATTTAGCTTGGACAATCTGTTTCCTAGCCGTGAAAGGAATCGTATCGATATAAGGATAACCTTGTGAGATCGTACACATCACTGACCAAGTCTACCAAAGCCGTATGTATCTGCATACGTACCGTGAGTCATCGAATACGAAAAAAAAAACATTGTCAGATAAAACTGGTTCCTGTTAAGATACCCAGTTTCGTATACCTCACTATTGACACATTCGAGAACGAATTGTGTTTATATGCCTATGGTAAAGTATCGATTTTTACCGTATCGAGTGCCTTAGTATTCTCGTGCCTTAGACGTTACGTTTTAACCTTATCTATTTATTTGTCATGTCGGTAAAATTCGTACGTAAAATTACTCTCATTTAGATAAAGAATTAAATGCGTTTTATGACTGTATATTGGGCAGGTTGTTAATTTTAATTATCATTCTAGCCTGTATACGGATGGCCTCTTACAAAGAATATCATTGGGGACTGTATTGTAAACACGTACACGTTGAGAAAAGTATAAAGGATGCATTTGAAAGAAAAGAAAAATTCGTCCAGTGTGGATAAAGCATCGTCGCACTGACACGCATCGAATATTGCGCAACGTCTCTTGATAAAAACAGATGCGGGTAGAAAGTGCAGCTGCATCTTTAGCAGCAGGATGGTCGCGACGTATCCGTTTCGTACTGCGAATCCCAACCGCGGTGTATCTGCCTCGTGTTATATAGGTACACTCGTATTTTTCGGGGCCTCCCATAAGAACAGGCTTTGGGCAGGTAGTCGTTAAGGCCCTCTTCTCTTTGAGCTAGTAGAACCGCCGAATCGCGTGACCACCTACCTACCAGCCGACTCGAAATTGCCTTCTTGGAAACACGCCCGTATCCCTCGGTCACTCTCATCCTTCCCTTCATATTCCTTGTTTCCCTTGTAGTTACCGCTACCGCTTCCATAGGCCCATCTAGTCCCAGTCTAACCAGGATGCATCCAGGCCCCTCGCCCCCCCAAAGAGTGTTCGTTATCCTGAACATGTTCCATGGGCGGAAGCCAGTCGTTGAAATGTACAATTTGTTTGTCTGGACGATGTAAACTTCCTGTAGAACCGGACCGCACCGAAAGGCACTTAGGTTGATAAAAATTCGTTTGGGAATTACAGGTTCGTCTTTTTTTTCTTTTTTTTTGATGAATCACAGTCTATTGTATTTGAGGGATCCCACTGTGCCATCTATACTGTTATTTACACGTGTTTTTTTTTTTTAGTGCTTTCCATAACGCGCTACCAGTCATTGTTCATCCGATGTATAGTAGCGTAGCGTATTTCTCTCTGCTTAGTAAGTCGCACTGGAATGAAAGACTACACCGCTGTTTGTATCACGATGTTGCATCAGTCGCACCTGCGATGAATGGGATCCTCCAGTGATGCCAGTAGGCAAAGGAAGGGCAAAAAAGATTCCGCGGGTTATATAAATACGAGAGCGTTCATGTAAAAAGTAACCTAGTATCTTCTACCGACGTCGCGTTTAGTCACGGTGGATCGGTCTAACTGTACATTATCGGGGTCCACGTCCGCGTCCCCATTGCCATAGTCGTCATGACGAAAAATACTTATTTCGAATTCACTCGAAAGAAATAGATTCGTCTTGTGCGATCAGAGCGAATTGATTCCGTGGGAGAATTTATATAGAAACTTGATGGCGCGGCTGCTTCCTATTACGTGACGAAATAGAAGTGGAAAGTGGCTGTGGCAATATATCTTGGAAAACATATAGAAACGTAGTATAGTTCTCAAATGATTCCCTAATAAATTCCCAGGCTGACAAATATTGCCACTCGAGAGCCCGTGGTCGCGTGTAAACATAATTAGCTACACTTTTCTACGTACAAACGTGCTAATGTCATTTCTAATGGAATATCGCTAATTTCACGGCGTCCTGTCTTATGCATATACATACTCCTGGCAACGTGTTCTTCACACTTATATAAAATGTATACGCTTCTGGAGGACTCTAATATTAGCCAGATATCGAGAGTCTCTCGTAGTAATAATTTATGTATTGTTAACGGTAGTTGGTAAAAGGGAAGCGTCACCTGTAAAAGCCACTGTGACCTCTCACGCCGAGCAAACGGAGAACAAGGCCGACCGGCTTCGCCGTATATAACTTTTACTTATTTCTGCGCACCTACGTTTCACTCACAATGAGGAGTCGCTCTCGAGCAAAAACCTAAGGAGCACGAATAGCAACGGCAGCAGCACCAAGCGGCGGCAACTGCTATGAGAGGCATCGAATAAGCTTTAAGCCAGAGACCCCGACTACTTCTTGTTCCTCTTGCGACAGCGAAAACTTTCGATTCTCTTAATTAATCAGCCATACTTCCTTTCCCTACTCTCGATTCCGTTGCCCTCGGGAAAATCGTATCTCCCGCTAGAGATAACTTGCTCGACGATGACACACACACACACAGGACGGACCAGTTCGCGATATCTCGGAGTCGCATGCTAAGCTATAATAAAAGAACGTACTATTTCTCGGGAACGTTACACGCGTCTAAAGTACATTTCACAACAGGCCAGAATTAACATTGTAAAATTTCAATAGGTTACAAGCATATCTGTAATCTATTTTTAAATGTAATAAAAGAGTCACGTAGTCATGTAGGTTATCGAAATTTGATAGACTCCACAATGTTCATAATATACATAATTTTTAATCACGCGAATACGGATGGATATTGATATTGAGACTTGTCTCGTTTCAGACAGCCAGTGAACGGAGAGGAGCGCTTGCAAGTGACGTAGAAGTGGATCATCCACAGGAATAAAGAGACAAGGAAGATGGGAGAACGTCGGGGTACGAAAGCCCTGGAGCTATGGTGTCGTCGTATAACAGAGAGTTACCCTGGTGTCAGCGTGCAAAACATGACCACCTCGTGGCGCGACGGCCTCGCCTTCTGTGCTATGATTCATCACTTTCGTCCGGATCTGATGTGAGTATCTATCTGTCTTGTTCGATCGACCCAAGCATCCCATAACCATAGACCATGGGCTGGTTCCTTGTTCCCTTTTTCTAGTAGCCGCTCCGATACACCTCTACCGTGTCCGAAGGGGTCTTCTTGGCTATTAGGAAGGGCGGCCATTTCTTTCCTCTCGCGCTTATGTGTCTACCAGGGCAGCCTTATGAATATACCCCCGTATAACTGGCTAAGGAAATTCAATATCCCATGTAACGTGACTGGGCCTGGGTACAGGAGACACTGTTGACGTGAAAATTTGAATGGCTCGAGCCGTTCCGGCTGATCGTTTTTCTATGGATTATCGGTGAAAGACTTCTTTCGCTGCGGATGGATTCTAGGATCGTTAAAGAAATTGCAGAAAGAGAGGAAAACTTTGAAAAAAAAAAAAAAAAAAAAAAAAAAAAACATTAAGAAACGTCGACCAACACGCGAAGAAGCAGCTCGCGCCAAACAGAGCGCGAGCTTTCTAACAATTCTATGAGTTTTTCTTTAACTCGTTCGAGTATCTCCGGTCGTGATGACTTTTAAGGGACAGCGAGAGAAGCAGTCTTGCCACCATTTTCGAGTGAAACGGTACTTCATAACAGCACGTACCGCCTATTATATCAAAGTGTCCGTGTTAAATTTATGAATAACGATTTGAGGGAACGAGACTGCGGCTTAACTTTCAAGCTCAAATCCCCTTGTCTCTTGTACCTGTTGTACTTGCGACGGTACCTAGTCCGAGATACTAAAATGAATTTAGGGTCCTGGTTCTCTCGTTCGTAGAGTATGAATGTTATAAAGTGATGGGTTGGCAGTGTGATGGGGGTGGGTGTGGCACCATGGACCACTGAGGATGAGTCATCGGTTGATTTCTTGGCTCTGTGGAACAAGCAACACCATTACGGTATCCAGCTGTTGCTAGTCGAAAAGAGACACAACTTCGAAAAATCATTTGCTTTCTTTATTCGATTACACGATCTGGTTTATCAAATTATTCATAGTCGCCTTATGGGTTTTCCTGCTGACTAAAGATTAATAGCCGACTGTTTTAAATCTCTCAGGGAGCTGCCTGCCGTGCCATTAAAAGTTACGGTGTTTATTTCGTACGGGAGAAACGGTAAACAGCTATTCGATAGACGTTGCTATGAAATATTTAAATTTCTTATGCTCTTATACGAGCTCAAATTGTTTGTATAACAAGCACTCGGTACTTGGCACGACCGACGACTGTCATTCTGTGAATTTTCAATCAGATAACATTTTTAGCCCGTTGCGTAGATATCCAAAATAGAATTGCATCTGTTCGGTCAGTGATCCCGCGTGTAGTGTACAAATGGCCAGTCAGGTCGGCGAACCTCGTTCCGAACCAAGAGTAGACACCGGGGATCAGGTTCCTCTTTCGAAACACTTGGACTAGATCCAGGTTGAATATGACATTAATTCCTACTGTTTTGCTTTGTTTCACAGTGACTTCGATAGCCTCGACAAGGATGATGTTTATGGAAACAACGAGTTGGCATTCAGGACTGCAGAGGAGCATCTGGGTATCCCGGCACTCCTCGACGCCGAGGACATGGCATCGTGCGCGGTACCAGATCGTCTCTCGATTCTCACGTACCTCTCGCAATTCTATCAGACCTTTGGCGGTAAGAATAATACTCGGCCCTTTCACTATTATAACTTTATATAACTAATGCCTACTTTACTCTATTCCCAATCCTCCAGATACCGCCTGCCACTAGGTTCTTTATCTCCGAATCCTCGTCAGCCCTTAAGTCCTCCGAGACAAACGCCTGGCCCGTGATTGTAAATCGGACTTAAGAGCGTGGAGAAGCGATAGTTACGTGGTGGCACGCTTGGCAAGTCGCCGGTAAATAGGCCAGCTGCCGCTCGTGCCTTGTGTTGTCGCCTTTATCCGTACGGGCTTTCTCTGGTACGCGCGGACTCCGGCACCTCCTTCTTTCTTGTTTATCTTCCTGGTGTCTCGTCGTGAACGTAATGCCAGGCTAATAATGCATTATTACACAAGCGAAGATGCGTCTATCTGCCTGATCCTAGTCCGCCTGGGGACGGTTGTTGGCTTTCTCCGCGACGCGAAATCATCGCGGAGTCATCGATCTTAGAGTATTCGTTTGATATCTCCTGGTTATGCAAGGATCCTACGCTTTGATCCGACGGCAGGAATATAATTGGAATTGCCAATATTTCGAGGATTCGATTTAACACTTTTCAACACGCAATTTAATTAGATTTAACATTTTTTTTTTTTTTTTTATTAAATGTAAAAGTAGTCCTGTACCGTGATAACAAGAAGTCTTTTTATAATCGGATTGATCCGTATGTCATGATTGTGTTAAAATTTATTTTTTTTCTCTTCCAGGATCATCACCCAGCCGTTTAGCCAGCAAGAGAACTACGGAAAGTGCAGGGGAACGATTAACTCCAGCGCCAGAATCTCCACAGCCCAAGGTAACGATGATTCTCTTGAGGTCGTCCGCAAGTCAGGTCCGGAGAGCATTTCTCTTGCTGCAGCGGATAGCGTTTCAATCTACGTGGCGTCCTCTACAGAAAAGGCTCAAGAGCTCTTCCAGACTGTTTCATATACGATTAATAGACCTTTCTTTCTCTCTATCCCTACGTTCTTTATGCTCTTCTAACCCGGGATCATTAACCACCGGCATCGTATCATGCTGCTAAAAAAGTACATTAGGAAAAAAAAAATAATAAAGATAGATGGCGGTAGACGGTCTATCCGCGATCTGCGGTAAAACCAGGAAGGAACCGAAATGGGTCGACCGGGTCGATCTACGGTTTCAGTATCTCGCTTGCTTTCAGCTCCCCATTACTTCATTAATTTTCATACGATTTTCTATACGTCATTTCCTACCCGCCATGTAATTCTTGATGCGTATGGCTTGGGGAATATTTTATTTTCTGCTCAGATCTCCATCATACATCTAAAATATCCTTTGCTCGCATAACAGACATTCTATATATTTTTTTTTGTATAAAAAAATCAAATTGCTTTTTCATTATTTTAACCCGGTACTCAAAATAATTAAAAAGTTGTACAAATTATCGCTTCAATACTCGACATATTTTTGTTCCGTTAACACATTGAGTCTCTGCTGCATTGTAAATTCATGTACATACAGTATTATACCATACCTCTTCTCCAAGCCTGTACTCCAAGACAAAAGCGGACCGTTTACCTCTGTTCTACGCAGACCACGTCATCCACAGGATGAACGGTACCGGAAAACGTTACCAGAATGAACGATGACGAGAATCATCCAACACACTGGGCACTCCACGTCCGTTCACGACCGTGTGCTTAGCGTCCCCTTGGGACATTGTATTAGAGCTCTTTGTCTCTTTGATTTGTCCTTTTCGTTTTCCCTGCTCTCACGTGTCTCTTTGTTTTATTTTATAGGAAAAGTCCGCGTGTGTCGCTATCGTCTGTCTCTGAATTTTGTACTACGTCGATATTTTGTCCTCGCATTTAAAGAACTTTTAACCCCTCACCATTTATTTTTGTTCTCCAGGAGGAAAGCTTGGACTTAATGGGGCAATATAAACCTGAAATATTCTGCTAGAAGGTAATTGCTTTGTCGTTATTGTTTCGCCTGTATCTTGCTATCCTTGCATGAAATTCCTCTGCATTTACCGAAAAGAAAAAGAAAATCATAACACTGCTCGCTGCAACAATGTAAGTAAAAAAAAAAAAAAAACAATTATTGTACCTTGCAAGGTATTCTTGCGACTATCTGTTCATCTTTTTTTTTTTCTTTGCTACACATTCCTTTATCCCTTTGCATCACTATTGAATTTGGGTGAACTGTCTCCTGTGATCTATGCGAAAATCCAACCGCATCTGCAACTAACCCCAGTGGCATTTCTTAGAGAAATTCTCACATGCTCATCTGCATCTGAATCGATTCTTTTCCCTATTCTGTAATACTTTTGTCATACAGATTAAAAAAAACAAGTTTTTCCAAGACCTCCATTGCTCTTCGTATGTAAAACACCTTTTTCTTGTTTCATTGAAGGATGCACGTTTATTTGAAAAATAAAAAGGAGGTCTACCTCGCCTCTACGTTCTGCTTAGCGAGCGTTAAATGAATCTTGTGTACATTTTCTGCTCGATTACGAAGCGACAAATGTGCCTTATCTCGAATACGAGGCAATCTTTAAGGCTTTGAATTTAGAATCAAGGAATTGAGGTAAATTTTAATTCTAAATATCCTATTATCGTCCCCTTCTTCGAGGCGAGCCAGTGATTTATTAAATATGACATATCAAGATCCAATCTACACGATAGTCTCGTATCATTTCCACTACGAGTGGTTTCATTAATGTACGTGTTACGTGCTTTTGCAATTCACTCTTGTACTTGTGCAGAGTCAACGTGAAAAAAGGTTTTGTTTACTTAGTTTGCGACACGTGTTATTTGCTCCTGTGCTCATTTAATTATTTGTTTTGTTTTTTCCCTCCCTTTTAGAAAGCGCAAACGACCCACCGATACTTATATCTGTCGTGATTGGTGATTTGCGCGAGGATAAATTTCGTCTCCTCGGACGAACGCGAATTTTCATTCGTGCCAATTTCTTAACGAACGTAACGTCCGCGCGTCGCAACAGAAGTAGCCCGCTGCGACGAGAATTCAAAACAAAAGCAAAATTCCATCGAAGTTCAATATGCGCATCGAGTCCGTTTATGGACTTTTTACGTCACAGCTCTGTACGCATGTGGAGCATAGAAAATTCAAGTCGATACTAATTGCAGTCTCTTATTTTTCATTGTGCATCTAGAGAAAAGAAAAATTGAAGAATTTTTCCTGGACTGCTCTTTTTTTGAATTCACGCGAAAGTTGACAAGACGTACTTGTAATATGGAAATGTCAGGATTGTTATTCGAATCAGTGCGGGCTACTTTTGAATGGCGCTGTATGGTGGTACGGAAGGAAAGCTCACCCGTCCTCCTTTTCAAGCCACAAAGAGACTCATGGCGATAATTCCAGCACGCCTATTTATACGCTGTTTATAAGCGAGTAAAACTTACTCCTGCGTATGGAACGCGCACGCTTAGACTCGTACGCGACCGAAGAGTCGTAGAATAAAAACTTGACCGGCCCCCGGTCGACTCTCTCAATAATTATAATCGATAATCGTTAATTGAAATCTTTACGAATTAATAAATCTAATAGTTTAGTATAATAAATCAGCCCGTAACGCGCGATAAGAAAGCACACTAATAATTGCTCCGCTATGCGCACCGCCAGTGTTCCTTTCTCGAAAGTTCCGTGAGATGCCTGAAAGACTATTCTTTCACAACGCATTTCGCTGCTATTCTCGACTGCACCGTGTACTAGAAATGAGCTTAGAGCTTTCTGCAAATCAGGTAAAATTTTGATCCTAGATTCATGGGGGGGGTTTTGTTTTTCTTTTTTTTTTTCATGATGTTACAAACTATATACTACCGTTAAGGAAGTACGCATCGTCGGGCAACGAACAAATTGCCATGAGATGTATTAGAAACCAGTTTGAAGGAAGCATAATTTCCGCGACAGTTAATCGCGTTTAAACGCCCTTCCCTCCCTATCCCCCTTTAATCCTACTTGCAGTAATTGAGTTGGGACGTCGAAGAGAGAAAGGAAAAGCAATACGGCACGCATAGACACATTTATAAATTGATACGAAAGGTGGAGAGAAAAAAAAAGTGTATTTCCTGCAATTAGCTTTCATTGTGCACGAGGATTGAATCGAGAGGGGTCTCTTTTAAATATAACTAAAGGGAAAGAAATTGTAACCAATGTAAATAACTCCGGAGGTATCCATTGGGTCTTAACGTGACGTATCTAATGTTTCTAAATTCTTGTCGGTTCCCCAGGTGGTGCCCCGTCTTGGGACTCGGAGAGACCCGTGCGCAGCCTGCGGTCTGCCAGTTTTTCTTGCTGAGAAATTGGTCATATCGCGCACCCTGTATCATCGAACGTGCTTTCGCTGTGCACGCTGTAACAATCAACTGACCCTGGGAAATTATTACGAGACGGAGGAAGGCCAGTATTGTTGTGAAACTTGTCCGGACGAGGAAACTTCTGCCACGGCACCCAGCATGCACCAGGAGTACAACAATGTGGCGATGCTTCCCGTAAATGATACTAACGTGCACAAGCCAACAGAGTCAAATAGTATGAGTTATCAAGGATCCTTGTGCGACGAGGAGAAGACTGAACGACGAGGATTGAACAAGGATTCGGCAGGTTTTAAGGAATTTTTCAGGTCCGAGTCGCAGACTTCTAGAATGAGACTGAATTTCATGGCCAGCCATTTGCTCTCCGAGAAGCGCGATGATGATAGTCTGGACGACAGGGAGTTGCACGATCCCCATGAGGTAGAGGAGGACGATGATGAGGATTCGCACGAGGATGAAGAGGAATTTGAGGATCATGCTGATGACCATGAGGAGGATTCTTCCACCATTTTTAAGTTAAACGATCCTAAGAACTTTAGAGACTTGAGTGCGGATGGTTCGGTGCCGAAGAACCTTGAAAGTAGTGTACATACTGAATTAGAGAGTAATTTAGATTATAGTGTTAGCAATAGTCAGCGAATTACTGCCATTTCCCATGACAGCGGTACGAACGGTATACGTGTTAGTCCCAGCGAGAATACCAAAGACGCAGGACTTTCTCTAGTGCAACGGAGGTTAAAGATGTTTGAAAATGTCGAGGTGGATGTTAAGGGTCATGCGAGAGAGGTCAAGAGAGCTGACGATAAGATTGATGCAAGAGAACAGATTGTCATTAGTGATACAGAGAAGATGACTGTTGTACATAAATCTGATGATAGCGAAGATGCTGGAGGAGAAGACGTTGCTACTGAGGATGTGCTCAAAGTCAGGCAGGAATCTACTCGAAGTTCTGTTGAGGATGTTACGAAAGAAGAGACCAGTGAAGATATCATCCAGGAGGCACAGCATCCTCTGGACTTTCCTGCTGGCAAAGAGATTACTCCTAGGGATATTTTGAAAAATATGCAAGAACTTGAACCGGAACCGAGATCAGGAAATTTCGAAACTATCTTATCTAACATGAGTGGAATAGAACTGAGCAACGAGGAAGATGAATATCCGGAAGATTTGAATCCGTTCAACAGCGACGAAGAGGATGGAACTGATAAAGAGAGATATGATAAGAAATCTTCTGTGAAGAAGGTATCGATGAATCCTTTCGGAAGTAGCGAGGACGAGGAGGAAGAGGATTTGGTGCCTCCAAAACCAGCAGCTAGGACGAATAAACTTCCTGAACAGCCTACGAGACGGAAACTGGAGGCACCACAGATTAATTTGAATCCTTTCTGGAGCGACGACGAGGAGCACAATAGCGATTTGGAAGTTAACGAGAAACCTAAAAGTCTTCCGGTGCCTAAGCCACGTACGCTCAAGTAAGTGTTTAATTAAGATTGTTCTATTTTGTTTTGTAATTGATACGACTGATTTTTTTCTTTCGTTAGACAAACGCCAGACTCAAATAGTTCTCAACGTAAGAACACCCTGGATCGTAGTGATTTGTACGCGTCGAATACTTCCATTACGAGTTCTGGCTCTGCAACAACTCCTAGTGGTACTTATCGTAAGAAAAAACCTGCACCTCAGCCACCTACTGCTAAGGAACTGTTTCCTGGACATAATACCACGGCGACGACTCCCACAGCGCTGCCCGTGAGTCCAACTATATATTTATGTGGAATTAATAAAAATTTTATGGAATTAGGAGAGGAATAAAATATTTCAATTTCAGACAACTTCGCCAAGGACTCCAAGAGTACGAAAATCGAAACCAGCACCTCCTCCGCCGATGCCTACGAGCACTCCTTACAATGCATCACTTGGTGTGCCATTGAAGATTGGGGAATCCCCGATCACAGAATTGGATGATACGGAAACCAAGTTACAGATATGGCAAGATCAGAAAAGTAATAAAGATGAGACCAATAGGAATCGACAGAGTCTGTCTACATTGTCCAGTGAAGAAAATCCCAATTACACGGGTTATCCTGACAAAAGTGCTCAAGGTAAATGGAAGAGGAAAAAGGGACCTGCACCACCTCGGCCGATTCCACATCGTAGAAAGGTGAAGAAAAAATTAATCAAATAAAGTCATACAATTTATTGACGTAAAACGACTTTGCACTAACTGATTATATTTAATTTTTTTTAGATTAAAGTAATGTCAATGAAGGATGTTAAGTTGGAACTGGATGAGATCGAAATGCAACAACAGGGTTTAGAGAAGCAAGGAGTTCGTCTGGAGCAATTGATAAGAGACAAATGTGAAACTGGTGATCCACAGCTCGATGATTCAAGTCTCAATATAGATGTAGAGGAACTTGTTTTGGAGCTCTTCGCCTTGGTGAATGAGAAGAATGAACTCTTTAGACGGCAAGCTGAATTGATGCTCTTAAGAAGGCAGCAACGCTTGGAGGAAGAACATGCAGAAATTGAATATCAGATTCGTTGTCTCATGTGTCAACCTGAGGCAACGAAAACGGATTTCGATAAACAACGGGAAGAGGGTCTCATTCAAAGGTAAAATGTCTTAAAATCTGATTTCTGCGTGCACTAGGCGAAAAAGCATGACTAGTAATTCCTCAATAATAAATAACAAAAAATGTTATCTAATATTACAGATTAGTGGAAATCGTAGAGAGGCGTAACGAGATTGTAGAGTGTTTAGAAATGGATAGACGTCGAGAGATAGAAGAGGATCGCAGCATCCACAAGCAAATGGGATTATATGTCGGTAAGGATATAATTAGTAATTATTTTAATTAATTGTTATCAGTATCTTGCAGTGATGTCCGCTTAACAGTGTGTTTTTGTTTCTCTCATTATTATAACAGCTCAAACGATTACAGCAAAGGGCAAGAGTGACCTTACGACTGACGAGGAATCTCGTAGGAAATCGAAAAAAGGTAAGGTCAAAGAGAAGACAAAGGAAAAGAAGTCGGCGAAGAAGAGCCAGAAAAAGGACGCTGATAAGGATGTAGACGAGAGCGAATTGAAACTCAAGCGCCATAGCAAGAAAAAGTGGTTTTAACTCGAGTTTAGCGCTAAATAATAGTCGCGATATGTTGCACGTAGTTATAAGCGATATTTAATACTTTTATAAATATTTTTTTTAACATCTTTGTTATTTATGCACCGGCAACATGACCGGCTAAAGGTTATCAATAAAAATACGCTCTCGAATGATTTCGCGATTCTGAGATAGAATTACAATTTTAAGCCGCTACTATATTTACGCTGTTAATTATTGATGATACATGCAATGATATATGACAGAATTTGACAATTTGTATTTTTATATGTGTATAGTACTTTATTTATTGTCTTACACATATTTTTATTATGCGCACTGGTGTTTCGTCAGTTTTTATGAACACTTGCGAATCTGGGAATGCCTGTTCTTCGAAGTAGAGATTCCAATTTTCTAAAAAAAAATCATTCAACTATCTAGAATGCTACGTTGGTTACAAAAAGAATGATACTGAAAAAAGTACTGATACCTAATTCATACAGAAACTGCGATATAGTCTCAGTATTGCGAACAGTAGCAGCGATAATGGCGTAGCAATTATTTTTGGAAAGGAAATATTTTAGTCCGCCAATTAGTGCGTCGAAATTACTACTGTCATAAAGCACGTCCGCTGCTAATATGACATCCGGGTATTGCCAGATTCCGTTAATTGTGGACTGCTCAATTTCTTCCCATGGTAAGTTTACAACAAGAACTTGTGTCCCGTTAAACTTTGTATTCATATAAACTCTGCCTTGGCAAGATTCTTGTTTCGTGCACAAGTTTAATTGAATATTTTGACAGAGCATCTTAAGAACAGCAGGGTGACAGTCTGAGAATGTAAAACTATCAGGAGAACATGTACTGATCACAGTCAATCCAGTTAGGCCTATTCCTGATCCTAGTTCAAGAATATTTTTTCCTTTCAATATATCCATATTTTTCAAGCACCATTCTCCCAGACCTAGAGCAGCCTACATTGTAATGAATTAATTTTAATATAATAATTTAAGAATTTCGAATTGACTTTACCTGCCAACTACATAGGCCTGTTGTGCCATGTGAGATTATATTTGTGCTCTCCTGCAGAGTAATACAATTCTGTTTTCCCAGTAGAAAGTGTTTGTAGTGTGTTTCGCATTCTTTGGATTTTATCGAAACTAGCTCACAGTACTTACTGTATAATTCATCATGTATTTCTTGATCTGTTTGTTCCAGCTGAATTGTACACAAAGTTAGAAAACAAATTCATTAAAGCAATGTTATAACAAATAGCATATGCTTGAACCTTGTTAATAAGATATTTTAAAAATGCTCTCTGATAAGACTTTCTTATTGGATATTTTACAACTACTGGGTTGTTTATTGTATTATCCAGGATTTGTTTTTGAATATTAACGTCCATTGGATAATGTGTATCGTGCCTGAAAGTCTGCAATTAAAAAGAATTTTTTCTTAATAACATGCTTTAAAAAATATATATAAAAGCCGACGTCTGTTACCTATTCTTTCCACTTACCGTAAAATTAAATTTATTTATTGACGTACCACAAAGAAACTGTTTCTTTACATATTCAACCAAACATTCCGTTACCTCCATTCTACATTCAGTATTAAAAAATTGTCAGTAAGTATAATACAATTCAGCTCCTGTCAACAATACTATTATGTATTTTTGTCGGCCATTTTTTTTTTTCGTCAGTGGTTCTCATGTTTCTCTTTCTTGGTACAGGTGAATTCGTCATATAACCAGCCAATCAGCACTTACGACAATCCGTAATTATTTGCGAAGAAAGTCGAAAGTTCCCGAACAGCTTCGTGATATTGAGGAGTGTTGATTTTATTTCTGATTTTGACAGATGACGGTGAGCTCCTTGATTTTATTATTTTATTATCTTTTGAGAAATTATAGTCACCCTTTATGAAAATTCTATATTTAATCAGTTTATCAGCAATGGGTGAAGCAACTTGATATACTACTGGCACAGTAGTAAACCGGTTTCTAGCATAGTCAATACCTATGCCGGTTGTCTCTTAAACGTTTTACTATCAAGGTAACTGCACATTAACATAGTTTAGAACCTTGTCGTTAATCAGGTGTGCTTTATTTTTTACAGTAATGGAAAAAATCTGATAAGAAACACAATGGCCTCCGCCGCAGAACAGCAGCAACAACAACAACAACAACAGACCACCCTGGAGTTTTACCAGGCAATGGCTGATTTTAAGAATATGTTTCCACAGATGGATGATGATGTTATCGAGGTAAGGTAACAAGACTTTATATGTTACATAATTGAACTACAGTATAATTTTATTTGAATAAGTTTGCTGCAGATGGTTTTATTGTTTTTCAGGCAGTTCTCCGATCCAATCAGGGTGCAGTGGATACAACGATCGATCAGTTACTGACTATGAGTACAGACAACGAGAACGAAAAGATACGCAGTGAATTAGAACAAAATGAAGATTCAAAGCCAGCTAAAGCAGACTCAGCAAAATCTTTGCGTAGTATGCACAAGTGGCAACCACCTCTGCTTGGACCACTACCTGACACATTTTTAAGAATTCCACAACAGTTAGATGCCTCAGATGGTTCAGAAACGAGCTGTGTTCCTGATAGTTCAATGTTGGAGGATGAGCGTATTGCAATGTTTCTACAGAACGAAGAGTTCATGGCTGAACTTCGCTGGAACGAAGACTTCCTTTCCACTCTCGAGAATGGTAAGTTTCAATAGGAATTCTAGCTTGATCCATTCCTAGTTTAATTTCAATTTATTTTCTTGCTTAAGACGCTAAACTCCAAGAAACTGGTGTTGAAAAGTCTGGCGGACCGACTGTTCATGATGACGAGGATGTGTTCAAGGAGCGATTAAGAAATATGGGCAAAGGTATAAGCATGCATGTTATATAATCTTATACGACGTAACAAAGTCATTATGTCATGTATCATATCTCACTTGATTTTTTTCTTATTTTAGTGTCACGACGCAAGTTTGCGCAACTGACTAAAGTATTTACGCGTAGCAAGAAACGTGGTGGACGTCAGCTGTTGCCACCGACAGCATCTTGCGACGATCTCTTAGATCCAGAAGAATCCTCTAGGCAGCAATCTTAAGAATCGTCACCTATTACTCACGGTAATAATACTTAAGCATTCAGCTTAATCCGTAATTTCGGTGTCGTTTGCAACCAGGTCACAATTTATCTTTACTCGCGTATTAACCCCTCGCGCGACACCGTCATACTCATACTACTTATAACATAACATAGCATAACATATCGATATTGAAAAAATCATTCCCAGAGCCTAGTGAAAGTGTTACTACTATTCAGTGACATAATAAAAACTAGTATAATCTCTCGCGAATTTATAATATATAAAATAGAAACGAATAGCAATGACAAGAGATACAAATCTAAAAAAAAAAGTGAAGATCTCTGTATTAAAATATCGAAAGAATCTCGTGTGAATCTCAGTCACTTAAGTATGAGGGGTTAATCGAAGCCGTTAATTGACTATGTTAATCAAATAAATGCTTTGCGCTATTACGTGAAAGACGTGCTACATTGAGCAATAGTAACATTAGAACTTTTAGGTCATTTTAATTCGCGAGATAACTACCAATCACTAATGTAATCAGTACCGCCGCGTAGTCCTTAGCCCTACTGTAATACGTTAACTTAAAAATATTCCGTGAGTGAATAATCGTGCATAGGAGTTTAATGATCTTGGAACATCCGAGTAACCATTAGCAGCTCGACCTAGTCGGAAACTTCTAGTCACAGGACCTATTAATGTAATTACACGATGTCTGTCATGTAATATATATAAACATTGTTGCTAAGTATATTTATATGACTAGTGTATAGATATTTATATAGTACAAGGAATATAAGTATATAAAGTATATAGTATAAAATAAAAGAAACCAAAGACAAGAAGAGTCGGATGTCGAAAAGTATCATGAGGTAATAATAATAATTTATTATTAGGTGTAATAATAGTAATTTATTATTAATTGTCGATTGTTGGCATCACATTTAACGAGATCGTATAATGAGTCCCTTTGCATCCTTCTCTAACAGAGAAGCTTTTTGGTAGCGTATTATATATATATATATATATATATATATATAATAAAATATTAAAATAATCGCAAAACTTAACGCTATGGCAACGAGCGAACACGTAACGTTACGAATCTGATTGCTTGAAAAAGACCCTGGCGCCCGAAAGGCTGTAGTAGAGTAATTGAAATTCAGCATTTCGATCCTCTAATCGTTTCAAGGTTAACGCTCTGGTCTGCTGCAATTTAATGTCCTCCTGATCGTCCTTACTCTTAGCCAGGATCTTCTCTGAGCTGATCTGCTGTTCGACAGTATCGAACCATTGTAAACCATCAAGTTCGGCACTTTGATCCAGCAGAGCATTAATATATGCAATCCCCATAGCAAAGCCATCATCGGTGAAGGCTGCACCAGTCTTATTTTTCTTGAAGAGCTTCTCCTTGCTCGATACCGCGTTGTCGACGAAGCTCAGGGTGAGCGGCGGTATTATAGCGTAGAACTGTTGTAAGTGACTGGACTTCGCGTCGCGGAATGACGAGGCGAATACGTCCACCAGGAGTTTAAAGTATTCGATACCCTCGGTGAAGTTACGAACGAGATTGGAGATGTCTTCCTCGAGTCTCTTCGCTGCTGCTTGCGTTGTCTCCGAGTAGTTGAGGCTCTTGCAGAGGTTTTCGAAGAAGACAGACGAGTTTATGTCGGGAAGAAATGAAATTGCGTTAGAACGAGCCTGCTGACCACCTGAACGTATTAGTCTTACGTATCCTAACGCGTTTCCAATTTGTGTTATCAGCTGTCGAAATTGGTCTAGGTAACTTAGGCCGTCGGGTGTCATCCCTAGGTTCCTTATTCCCTTCTGGAATTTTTCGGCGCGTTCATACGTATACGGCGTGGCACTGTTCTCTCGTTGAGTCTTGATAAACCTGATGTCACGCATCAGACGCGACTTTATGTGCTCGTCGAAGAGAAACTGCGAGAAGGTATGCAATTTTATACGCAGAAATTGATAGACAAAGTTTACGGTAGTGCTCATTATGCCCGTACCATGTGTTCTTATGGAATTTTCAATATGTCGGATACCTATGGTATTCAAATGCTTATTGGCACTGGTACGTTCGATGAACGTTTGCGTATTTAGATTGTAGGAATATTTAGATACAAACACGTGAATGTTTCGCATTATCTCCAGAGCGTCCAGACCCTGATCCAGCGTCTGCGTAGGCAGATGATTTTGCACCGTATCCAGGCCTAGCTTGTACTTTGCCAGCTGGTGCATGGTATCGTATGTTCTCCAGTCGTGCGGAGCCACTGTAGTGAGGTTGTAGAACATGTCATCCAGGTAGTGCTCCACAAAGCGTTTAGCACAAATCATGTTCTCGGCAAGGGGTAATGGCGAGGATCGTATTATCCTGGTGCCGTCCTTGGCACCGATTTCGAAGGGGTTTGCATCGTCTAGTTTTAAATGTGCATGCACGTGCAATCGTAAACTGGTCTCAATTTCACGACAAGCAGGTTCCAGGACATTCTTCTTCAGGATGTTCCGCTGCTCGCTGATCTTCGCTGTGGTTAGATCTGTCGGTTCTTGTTTTTCCAGGGCACTGTTAAATGCTGATAATAATTGAACTATGTGGCTGATGTTCAGATTACTGTCTGTAACTAGATTTAGGTACGCTGGGAGCATACTCTGGTGATGAAGCAGTATGGAGTAGTCACACAAAAAGTTAACTTGCTCGTCCAGGTCGACGATGGTGTCGTATTGGTCTAGATAATTTCTTAGTTTAATCACTTCATCTTCTCTGAAGTTCTCTGTTATCTGACTGGCACATACCAGGGCACAGCGAGCTATCAATCTTCTGTCCACTGTGGCTGGTCCATTTATTAAGCGAATGCTGAGTCCTATTAGAGAAAGAGCATCCAATCTCTCTCTGTTGTAACTTTTGTCCTTCTGGAGAAGTCTCTTTTTCGTTGTTTCTAGTAAAGCCAGAATTTGATAACTCAAGTGTTGCACAATATCTATTTGAGACTGTACTATCAATGCTCCCAAAACGTGGAATGATGTTTCTAAGGTTTTTTGTACCTCGACCAGTCTACATACTAGATTGACAGTAAAACGGTTCATCGGTTTACCCAGGGCAGCATGAGTATTCGTTATGAACTCGACGTTTTCACGGATTTCAGCCATAAGCGATACCAATTCTACAAGTAGATTACGTTTACGTTCCAAGTCCACTATGCGAAATTTGGTAGATGTTCTTCTTAGAATATGAGACATCTCTGTGCACCAGGACATCGCTTTCTGCACCAGGTTATTAGTTACCGTTGGAAGTGATGTCGTTCTTGTCCATAAGATCTTTTCGCCAACCTGGGTACTGATGAAGCTACCACATTCTTTTGGGAAAAATTCAAACAGGAATTTACTCGGTACCCAGAAAATATTACCCACCAGTGTCACTCCATAGAACTTCTTGCTCACTTCCCAAATCCTTTTTATGAGCTTCTTGTCAGTATTGCCAAAGAGTTTAGACACAACCATTACACCAACACTTATGCGAACCCACTTCTTCTTTACAGCTAACACATCTGTAAACTTACCCTCAATGTCTGTCATTGTATTTTTCAAGTAAGTTACAATGTGATCGTACATTATTGAGCTTTTGTTTATTTCCATGGAACTGTCGAGAGTTCGAATAAAGAGATTCTTTTTCAGTAGTTGATCTTTTAGATCTTTAAGGACTTTCTCAAACGTGGATAACCGCCCAGCAGTTACATTAAATTGCTCAGGATTGTGTGCAAATGAACGTACTCTTAAACGATACTCTTCCCATTGATCAAGAATTGCTGGATTAGCATCGATTAGTTCATCTAATGTGATAGGGATAACAAAAAGTTTCATTAAATGTTCAATGACAATAGGTAGGTAAATTTCACCAGGTCCAGTACCACTAGCTAAGCTTGATAGCTGTTGAATTGTTAAATTTATAACAACAGAAACTCGATTTACATACATAGAAAGGTCCTGTAAATCAGATAGAAGCACTCCAATACTTTTTGCATTAAATCCATCACTCCGTTCTCCATGAACAAACAATTTATTGTAAAACCTTCCAGCTTCAGATTCCAGAAACCTTATCTCTCGACAGGTACCTGCCGCAGCAGCTAAAAGCTTCGATAAAGACTTGTTCTCCATCTCAACCAAAGAAGGAATCCCAATATCTTCCTGAACATTGTATTGAAGGCGTACAGGTCCTTCTAGGATGAATTCCAAGGAAGACGAATCTATTTGTGATGGGTATGACAGTTCGTCAAAGAACTTGCCATACTTTCGCAGTTGCATCTCCCCAGCTGCCTTGTAGAATGCTTGGTTCCGCGACGAATTCCATGTCGGGGACTCAATCATGATTATACTAAAACAATTTAATTGTCCTTTGTTACAGTAATAATTATAAAAAAAAAGTTTTTAACAGAGACTCCACAATATTTGACATACTCAGCTTAGTCCTCCGACAGATTTGGTGTAGGAAGGTTGAATCTTTTCGGAATTATTCAAGTCCGTCACTAATAAAATTACTAAATGCACTGTTCAAATTTCATAGGGAAATGTTAATATTTCTTAAATTGACGTTTGGAGGTTACTGAACTGACGTTTCTCTGCTTATCACATACAACCAGGAACTAACAAAAAGAGAAGCATGTCTATATGCCGAAACCAGAGATGAGTAAGGAGATGCACAACGCTACGGTTTTAGGCGATACCAAAAACATGGCGCTAAATCGAAGCGGCGAGTCCGGGAATAGAATTTTGTGATCATCGCCTCCGTTGATAATGCATATCCCGTCGTAGCCGAACTGAACGTGATCACGAACGGGTAGCCTGGCGGGCAGAGATTCTCCACAACTTACAACTGATTCCCAGAGCAACCCTTAGAGTGAGGCCGCTTATCAGATATTGCCTAAATATTTTTTCTTTGTAATCTTAAATACAAGTGTACAGTGTAAGCTCGATAAGATTTATTAAGCCAAAATCCAGCACCGTATGGCTGCCTACGTTAAGGAGTGCAGCGATGCAGTGCTAGCTTCCATCATTATTTAACAATAGTTCCAAGCGGAACTATGGTCTCAACATTGAGTACTAGAGATAACTATTTCGGAACTGTTTGAAGCACAATCTGAAAACAACACTGAAAGCCAGCTACTTATGCATACCTGCACTAAAGCATATGGTGCGACTAGTATCCTTAATAGGTATTTTACCGATGTTACATACCAGAACTATTGTTAAAACCTACCAGGAACTATAAAACTCTTCGAGAACTATTGAAAAAGCCTATTGTTGAAACATTTTTAAGAGATTTTAAGAAAGTGCGGTGCTGAAGCTGACACCCGTGTAGCATCTCAATTTTGAACAATGTTTCAACAATAAGCTTTTTTAAGAGTTCTAGGAGAGTTCTATAGTTCCTGATAGGTTTTAACAATAGTTCTACTACGCAATACCGTTAAAATACGTACTTTTCAAAAATTGAGGTGGCAGTCGTGGTCGATTTTTATCAGGGCCACTGGGACGTTAATTTAGGTCATAGCAGTTTCCTGAGCTTATCCGTACCCTTATCTGTCTTTTCCTTATCAATTATTATTGTTCCCATAAATTCACTTTATTACTTAACATTTATATAAAATACTTAGCGCAATATACTACACACAATTATTTTAGATGTATTTATACGCTGGTACATGGGTAAATGTTGTGCCGTGATTTTTCGATGCACGGTCACAAGGCGACTCCGGCTACCGATGCAGATAACGTTTTCCATCTCAAAGCTGCGCTCTCGGGTTGATTCGTATAGGTATACCAATGCTCTCGTAAGATTTCGTTATTGTTTAGTTGACGTCTAGGTGCTCGAATCTGCCGCGGGGAGGCGGTCTCGACGTAGCGAGTTGCCCGGCAGACGACAGTACCCGACGGAGACGTCTCCACTGACCGGCAGAAGCTCGGATGAGATGCCGGCGCCCCGCTGGAGATGAGCAAAGGGCTCTAGAGTGGGCGGAGATAAGGTTTCGTTACGATAAGGGGAGGACCCTCCTGCCCGAGTTAAAGATGTGGTACCCAGCTATCGTCCAATGTCCTGGGGAAGCCGCCGTGGAGGATCTCCAAATGCTACGTACCGATTTGCTAAGGAACGCTCTCCACTTGATTCAAAGGGACGGCATGAGGAAAAGGAAAAGTTATCTGCTATAAGGATCTCGACCAATTCGATAATCAGAATAATTAGTTCTCGAATTTGGCTATCATCAAAGCAGTCTGTCTCGTTGATAA